TTGTAGGCATTTGTAATTTTATTTCGTCAAAATAAAATAATCAGCTTTAATATAAAATAGTATAACATAAGGGTTGAATTGATGTTTGAACTTTCTCCTCACCCCAAAAGTTTGCAAATTAATCTCAAGGCTATAAAAAACGTGTAGTTATCGTTATCAGTTTGATATAATTATCCACCTTTTCTTAAAAGTGTCCGATTTGGTAGTTCGACTACTTTGAAAAATATCCCGAGGGTCCCACGCGACTAGTTTTGTGATTAGATTATGAGATAACAGCTTTATTACCTTCTAAATTTATATCTTCCTTAATTAAGACTGGTTTAATTTTCTTTTTCAGGCGAAAATAGATATTTTAGGTAGAGATAAACTCTTTTATTCCCCTGTAGTTTCAACGTTTCATTCTCTGTTTTAACAGTAAAATCAGGGACTAGAAAAGTTTAATAAAAATATCTTTATTGTCATATAAACATATTTAGTTTGTGACAAAAGCAAAAACAAACATAATATAGCAAAGAAATAACAATTCTATAATAAATGAACACATGGAAAAAAAATTATATAAGACTTGTAATAGTTACATTTGTAAACTAGTCAACATTCAAAGATATGTGCATTAGACATACTTGATCCCAGTATTGAAGTACATCAATAATTTTACCTCCATAAGCTAAGTAAAGATGCTTTCTTGTCGCATGATTCGATTTAAATAACCTCAAGATTAAATGTTACCAGTAGTAACCAAAAGTGCAAGTCGTGAAAATATGGGGTTAGACTAGTACTGTACATGTAAATGATATATTTTTTTTTGCTGAACAAAACGTCTATGCTTAAAAGAAACCCCAGGGATTTGTGTTTATAAACATCTCTCTATATGATCTGGGTAGCTGGTCCTAACAATTAAGTAGGAAACTGTGGTTGAAAGTGTAGAAAATCTCAGGTAAAATAATCCTATAAGCACCACAAACAAACATGGATATAACATGATTATCATAGGTGTGGTAGATTTTCTACTATTATTAAATATGATATAACAATATTGATCCCTGTGTTGCATCAGAGCCAATATTTCACACGTGTAATATAGACATTTCCGACAACTGACATAATGACATTGATGCTATTATCCTCGAGCTCGTATTCTCAGTGGATAAGTTGAGGTGTGTTCAATTACCCTGTTAGGAATAGGCAAACAGATATCATTTACTAAAATAAAAAAAAAATTAAAACCTTACATATTTGAAGTATGCATAAGATGCGGTTGTACTTTCATCTACTAGCCTAACTATTGTATACCTATTTACTGTAAAACAATTTGTTTATTTTGAATTGTTTTACCTCGAAATACATGAATATGATTCCACAAAGGTTGCAATGTCATAAACAAAACCATAAAAGAAATAGAAAGACAATCAAAACCATAAAAGAAATAGAAAGACAATCAAAACCAAACTTTCTATTATGCTTTTGGAGAAGAGTGTTAACTTTAAATAATTCTGTAACCTTCTTTCAAAAATTCGAAAAGAGACAATATAATACCATTATTTATGCTAAAATATTTGTTTGATTCTAATATACTACATAAATGTTTTTTTTTTATATTCATACAGCAAAGGATGGGTCAAACATGCCAATGTGACGGTGCCACTCGAAATTTCGAACAAAATTACAATTTGATAACATTATCAAACTTTCGTACAGCTCAATAATTAACATGTCGATGCTAAGTGAACATTCTACGTGGAGCTGCACCATGAAAATCAATCATCTACAATCAACGATTGTGAAAATAAATTAATTATCAAATTTATGACAATTTGAAACGGATGTCATAAATCTAAAGAGTCAACAGGGGCTATTTGTTAATTTAATTAACTTCTCAATACTACCATAGTTATTAAATGATTTATTGCGTGTTAAGTGATGGAAACAATTGTACGGCTGTCCAGGAATCTCCCAAGGGGGCGGAGACGTTTGTGTCATACGCTACATGATTTGCGTGATTTCAAAATTAAGTGGCAAAAATCGATATTGTCATTTTTTATATGCCTAAAGGACAACGCTGTCGCGCGCACTGGTTTTACAACATTGCCAGTATTTACTCTCTGACGTGAAGCAAAGCCTTAGAATTCCCGGCCTTGCTGTTCTTTAAACGTTTAAAGTGCATTGTTTCCATTTAGTTTCACCTGAGACTACTATAACACATGTGTTATAGTAGTCTCAGGTTTCACCCAACGCAAAAGAGTAACAAATTGAAAATAAAATGTCAGGTTTTGACCATTTAAAGTAGTAATAGGAATGTTCTTCTATAATTGATTTCAAATGATTTATCACTGTTTATACTAAGGCGCTGTTCCTTTGCTTTTTGTGTGTTTTGTTGTGCATATACTTTTTTTGTGTGTCATGGATGGATACCTCATATCCTTTCTCTTTTCTATTAATGTAATACTGAAATGGCATCCATGCAGGTAGTTAAGCTATCTTGTCTTTATACTTTGAATAGTTATATTTGAAAAATTTCAGAATAATAGATAATTTCTCAAACCATTAACCTGTCTTCCATAATATCAGTAGCTATTTGCTATATTCTTGATTTGAACAAGGAGGTTATATGAACAAAATCTGACTGAAAGAACATTTTTAGCATGCTTTACTACAGCTTTATTCATTTTCATTTGCCTCTTTTTTCACTTTAAAAACTTATAAGAAACACAATTAGCAATATTGGAAAATTAAAAATTAATGGATTGACCCCTTCCAGCATAACCTGAACATTGTAAAACTATCTTGCCTTTACTAGGTCATAAGTAGGTTAACCATATAGAAACCTATAAAGCATCTGTAACAACTTAGTTACATAAATACAAACAAAAATTTTCCACCTTAGTTTTCTATATAGTAATGGAAGCCTCGATGGTTGATTGCTGGCATTATCAGATTTAATTTTGAATCTTAAATCGATCTATGATTGTGGCTAAGTTTGATTCTAACTGGTAAAAGACAGAAATCAAAGTGCTTCTAAGCACTGGAGGGTAAAGATTGCATTCATTTTGCAAGTTTGTGATATTGAATGAGGGTAGGAATGCCCTTTACCGTCAGGCGTCAAACAGTCATTTTCGGCTACTGTTAGCGTCAAATTGGTTAAAATTTTATCATGATTTGTCAAAATATCCTTATCGTGATTCATCAGATGTCTCAAATAATTATCCGTTACCGTTATTTTTGAAAAAAAATTAACGTGATTCGTCAAAAACAGTCAATTTTTTTATCATCATGAAGAAAGTATACATTTTATTGTCATTCACCAAAAATTACCGTTAACGTCATTTGGCAAGATTTTTTACCGTTATACGTCATGAAGGTACCCCCATTACAACCCTCTTGAATTGCATTTAGAGCTCTAAGGTAAATTATAAAGTTGATTTGGAGTAATCGTCCTTTTTTAATGATTGTACATTTGTAGTTGAATTTATTATATAACAGATTTATACACCATGCATTACTTAGGTAATTTTCTGGACAAGTATAGGAATTCAAATACACACCATATTGTAACTTTATACATTAATAAATTGCATGACATTGACTAGATAGGATATAAAGAATGATCAATTCACTGCACTATTTTGTTTGAACTATCAAAGGTAGTGATAAACTTGGAAGATATAGATATCAATTCAGTACCATTTTAGTTTTGATTGCATTTCATGCAATCTTTACCCCAAAAAAGTAATTTTTCTTTCGATTCTTATCCAGCTTAAGGAACAGGGAAATCTGCAACTACCAACAATTTTATCCCTGTGGAAATAAGTTGGTCATTTATCTTGGAAATTGTCGACGTTATGCAGCAAGTATTAATTGTAATCAAGACAGATGTGTATATGTAAATAGATGTCACTTCCCAAATAAATTTGGCTCAGCAAAACAAGCCTTTTGTTAATTTAAAATGCATATCAAGGGGGAATAAATCAAAACCAACAAATGTTATATCAAGTCATAAATGTGCTTAACTTGTCCGCTGTGGCGGGGGCATAAAATGTAACATCATCATCTTAAAATACACATGTATGTCATATCTAAATTGTATAACCTATGAATGGCAAATTATTCTTTTTTAGGAATTGATAAAAAAAAGGGGGATAGGAGTCTGATATGATTATACAATATAAAAATAAGGAGATGTTGTTTGGTTGCCATTGAGAAAAAAACAAGTATCCACCAAGAACCACAGGAGAAGGTTGAAAACTACACCTTAAACATAAAGTAAGATGTTCTCCAGTACAATATTGTTGCTAAATCTTTTGTTATGATCATTTTATAAGTTGAACCAGTCAAAAATACCCTTTCTACACTATATGGCAATAGCGCCTCATCTCGTGTTCTATACATTATTTGAATACAGTTCAAACAAACCCAGAAGTAAAAACCTGGCTGCTAATTCTGTTTGTCCTGATATTTGACTTACCAAACTAAATAACCTGACTTGACTTAATAAATGATGTTTATGAATAAATATGTTTGTGTGTAGACTAACAAAATCTGTTGCTGTCCCCAAAATAAGTACTGAAATTCAGAAATCATTGCCAGGTTTTTATTAATGGGAATGGGTACAGCAATAATAAGAACTCACAATCTGATATCTGATACATATATATGTATACAACTTTTCCTAAAATCGCAATACTTATTCTCAAATCTTGGATTGTCATGTCAAATTCACAATAACTTCTGAATTTACAGTGTAAAAACCTTCACTTAACCACTTCGCAAGGTAATTTTTATTATGTTTATTATACATGTTGACACAATAAAAGTTACATTGAATACCTCAAAACTTCACTGTTCTATGAAAGCTTTATTTTTATTTATAACAATGACCTAATTATCTAGCATTTCTAGAATTGTGACTTAAAGTATGTATATCTTGGTATTTGATGAAAAAAAATATGTTCTCTGCATGCACAGACCACAAATGACAACACTTTCCAAATATGAACACCAAATAAAATGTTATTTTATTTTATTTTAATATAAAAATGATGTTCTGTGACTGTTATGTTTGATCTAAACCTTGTTGTCTGGCTTTAAACCTTGACATTCTTGCTGGTTTGTCTTGCGAGATTCCAACATCAGTGTTACTGGAAGATGTCATTTGAGTTGACCGCTCAACAACAGAATCTGAAAACGCCTGTAACATAAAATTAATATGAATCATTTCATTTGCCATCATGATGACAACCTGTATTTGAAGACAGAAATTGTACTAATTTTGAAACCAATTTATGCATCCAGTGTTATTTTTTATGTCAAGAATAAAATTTTACTGGGCATTAAAATAACAAACAATTAATAATGCAAGAAATTCGTATACTCTTGTAGATATTGAATTACTTCGAAAATATTGCAGAATCATTGACACTGGTGTCTGTTTTGACTTATGAGTGAGCCAATGGCAAGTTTTGAAAAATGTCCTTATTGGCTGGTAAACATTTCTGGACCCATGTTGCAAACTTGGAGCATTTAAAAAAAACTTACCACAGGAACAGGTACTGCATCTTTAGTATCATTGGGCATCAATCTCACATTTTTCTTTGTTTTAAGTTTCTCGCCATCATCCTTAAGTATAGACCTTGGTCCTGATGTAGGATAGAACTGGGAGTATATGTCGGCTGGAGATTTTATATCAATCTCATTTGTCTCAGTGTCATCATCATCATCATCTGTATTATCCACTCGAGAAGCAGTCTGAAAAAGAAAAGTTGGATATTATATTTTTTAAATTCATCTCCAGCAATTAGCCAAAGCTTCTTCCTTTTAATGATTGTGTTGTAGCATTTATGAGGACTCCATTTTTTCTTGTCTAGATATTGAATCATTTTATCAGTTCATTTTTTGTCCTCAATAATACAGTAACAAAAATTTCAATATAATCTGTTACATGTACTATAAAGCCAAAGAAAAACTGAAATTTAAGTTTTCCAGTCTTTCAAACATGTTCTGGTAATCCCTTAGGCTGAGTATCATGTGACTCCACACACCAATTGTCCATACAGACCAAATAATTTTTTTTTTTTGGAGTAAGTATTCTCTTAAACCAACACTTTCTTTAAATTTAAAAGGTTGCACTTTGTAAATTCAACTGTTTCACAATTCACGCCTCTTTTGGGGAGAAATTTAATATTCATAGATATTATTTTTTTTACCTACTGGTTCTCAGATATGATCTTTATGCTTCATCTTGTAGAGACACAACTTTGGAATGTTACTAGTATATATAAATGTGGATAGTGGACAAATTGAATTCGGAGGAAGACACAAAGAGAAGGGAGGGGTAGTACAGAAGTTTAGTATAAGTTGATTTTCTATGCTAAAGCCTGTTTTCCTCAAATTGGTGGTCCAAAGGTCACTGGTTAAAATCATTGCATCTTAGATCCAAAATAGTGTTCAGTCCTTGACCTCAGAATATTTGGATCCCACAACTGAAATATCACAAGTTAAATGACCATAAAAAAAACATTAAAAGATGTTTAAGAAGATAGTCACAGGATGTTTTGATCTAAATAAGTTGTCTAGCTCCAAATTTCAATGTATAGTGAACCAAAAGAAATATAGATTAAGGAGTGACACTCGATAAAGGTCAAATGTCAAGTCATTTTAGGGAATAAAATCCTGATGACCTCTTTGGTCTAACATCACAGCAAATACTAGCATGTTTTTCTTGATAAATCTGTTTTACCTACCTGTATAAGTTAAATTTCACAACCAACTGGTCCTTCTTTCAGGTAAATGGAAAGAATGAAAAAGTAAACAATATATCAATGATTTAGAAAAAGCCATTTATTTACCTGTTTTGTTGAGGTATGTGTAAACTTGATTATTTTTGTCGTGGATACTGGTTCACTTCCTTCATCATCTGATTCTGCAATTTCTGATGACGATTCCTGAGCCTGTGCGTCATTGGTGTCGTTATCACTGGAATCTGATCCACTTCCAGTGTCAATACTGAGAATGCTATCATCACTATCATAACTTTTGTGTAATAGTATTTCATCACTTGTTACCCTAGGAAGATATAGTGACAAGATAACTTTTCAAAAGTTCGTTATAATGTACTAATTTTACATTTTTCCCCATTAACTAAGATAACTAGGACAAAAATGTACATAAATTTGTAATCTCTATTTTATTAACTTTTACAGCAACCAGAGCATGTTGAACTGCACATAAATATCTAAAATAATAATAAATGGAAATTTTATACTTCCAAAGAAAAAAAAAATTAAATATCCCACAGATTGAAATGAAAATGTCCACTTTAATATGGCAAAATAAAAGGTGAGAAATTAAAATGCCCTTTTTCAAATTTTATATAAAATTTGATCTGTGTGGGATGTGAATGCATCAGAAATAAACAAGAATAACCTAATAGAAAATTCTGAACTTTTGTACCTTTAAGCAGACCTATAAGACACGTTTGAAAGGCAGAAATGATGTTCTGGAAAACCAATTGTTTCACAATTTGAACAGATGAACAGATACATGTAAACTTACTTTTACAAGTGAGAGGTTTAGCTAGCTATAAAACCAGGTTTAATCATCATTTTCTACATGAGGAAATGCCTGTTACAAGTCAGGAATATGACAGTTGTTTTCCATTCGTTTGATGTGTTTGAGCTTTTGATTTTGCCATCTTATAAAGGACTTTCCATTTTGAATTTTCCTTGGAGTTTGGTATTATTGTTATTTTACTTTTTAGAATGATTTTAATTACCTAGCAGGCAACATCAACAAAATTGTTAATACATGTATCAATTTCTTGTGTTGTTCCAAATACAACCAACTTAGCAATTTTAATTGTGACGTCAAGCACATGCACCCAATGTTCTTTTGGAATAGGAACATGACTTTGTTTACAAAGTGAAAGAACAGCATCATATTGGAATTACTATTTAAGAATATGATCAATATTTACATCAGCTAACAGAAACCATTTAAGTGTCAAATATACAGATTTATTCTATGATCATACTTGTGCATTTCTCTTCTCTCTGATTCTATTCTCTCTAACTCATCTAGTCTATCCCATAATTCTTTATCTGTCATAGGCGTGACTATTTCTGAAGATTCATCTGTCTTCTCTTTAACACTTTTTTTGTAATCCTTGACATTTTTCTTATGTTGTGCTGTTGTAAAAAGTCAATTTAAGTAAGCATTCAGTAACAAAAACCTATTAAATAACATTATTCACAATACCACTTCTGTAATGTGTTTCTTAAGGACACAAATCAGTTATTTTTTTTTAGGGAGGGGGGGGGGGGGGGTCAAAATAAATAAACTTCTGTGAGCAAATAGATTCAAATAAGAACTCATTTTTCCAACTATGGGTTAAACAGAAGTGTCTTTTTTTCAACATTTTTTTGGTGAAATATGAACATGAAGGAGAGTTCAGAAAAACTGAAACTCTGTTTTTGCTCTCTTTATGCAGAAAAAAGATTTATTTATTTTTGCCTTCTTTTATCATAATACACTGTATTTAGTTCTGAAATAATGTTCAAATCTATAGCAGAAAACGTTATCATTATCTAGGTTTGCATTATTCAGCAATTTGATTCATTGCCAAATTAAGGTTTACTTAAAACGGGTAGGCCCGGTAGGATGCCTTTTTGGCCCCAAAATATAGCATTGCCAAATTAAGGTTTACTTAAAAAGGGGTAGGCCCGGTAGGACCCCTTTTTGGCCCCAAAATGTAGCATTTCAAAAATTTGTTAAAAATGTAAGCTTTTAGCTATTTATCGGATAGTTGAATACTTTTGTTACATAAAATATGGGCTGTTTTTGACAATACAATGCACATGCGTCAGATACTAACATCATTAATTCATGCAAAATTACTGAAATCTTCACAATTTTAGCATTTGTGCTTATTTTTAGACGGTTTTTGTCTATAATGGAAGTAGCCGCACTTGTGTTCAGTCTTAATATTTAAATATATGTTGTATTTGATGATGATACATAACATATATAAAGGTTGAGACTGAACACGAATGTGGCCACTTCCATTTTTGACAAAAACCATCTGAAAAGTGACGTTTTGTGGCATATTTGATAGATTTTTCATATTTAAGCTTGAATTTAGGTGTCTTTAATGACCAAATCAGTTCAAATCTTTTACATAAACTAATTGAATTGAATGAAGAAGACACGTAAGTGTTTAAAAAATGTCAAAAATCTTTCATCAGATGTACTTCAAATTTTAGGCCAAAATAAGCCCTAACCAGACCTTCTCCTTTCAGTCTAAACTCATTTGGGATTTATATCAAAGAAAGTTTTTATTTCAAATCTAGGTTAAGAAATTTTCACACAAAACACTGAAATCCCACTTCTTCAATTTGACATGCATTTCATGAATTCTTTGAGGTATTAATCAACCAATAATTATTTTTTCAATTGACCTAAGTTATCATAGACCCAACAACCTGATTGAAAAATATCTTTGACGAAAAGATTATCTGCCCATTAAAAATGACTTATCCAATTAGCAACATTTACTTACAGATTAAAATGGTGTTACAAAGAAGCATGCATTATGATTGTAACCACAGCAATTATCATATTATCTCTTAATTAATTCACACAGGTGCTTTTAAAATATGTTCAATTACAGATATAAAATTGTCAGAATGTTTACACTTGTACTGTAAATATTTGGAAAAGGAAAAATCAGATTTTTTACATAATTGTCAAAACAATATGCCTTAACAAATACAATGACTTACAAACAAACAAATAAAGTTAAAAGGATTTACAGATAAATATATAAATAAAACTAATGGAATTATTTGGACTGCAGTAAATATTTACCTTAGTATTTCTATGTTCAAATATTGTTGAAAATAACCAAAACAACTTTAAACATGGTCACACTTTGGACCAATTATGACAACAATACTAGGGGGAGCAGATGGGTCTCAAATTATCTTTACTCAGACCATGGAAGTAATATTTAAAAGGAATAACAACGACTAATTAGCATGTATTAACAGCCTGCAGAGCTCGGTACTAAAGTCATATGATTTTATCCAATTATAGTCTCAGCGGCAAGACCCCTTTGGTTACTATCTGTGATACCGCGGTTGTAAAATGGCATCTGGAATTTCTTATCAGTCACGTGATTTTATCGAGTCCGGTAATTATAAAGCACCTGTGTGAAATCCGAGGTTTATTAATAAGAAGGTGGCGCTGTATCATATAAAACCTCTACCTTCAGAAAGAAGTCGTATGATGTAAAAAACTTGAAAAACGGACGAGAATTGTTCAACCTACAACAGTTTAGCTTGGAAAATTGTTTTTAATTTAGCATATTTTTGCTTTTTACCGTTTGTTTTAAACTGTTCTAAAAGTATTTTCCGGTTAAAAGCGGATCCCGAGTAAAACAGTTAAATACCGATGAATCGATCAGGTTTCACATGATGTTGAACAAAATAATGTAGACAGATGTAGACATAGAATATTTTACTGTTGAAATGTGCCAAGTTTATCGAGATTTATAAAAATATTTACTTTCAAGTTCAAGTAATTGATTACGTTATTGAAACTGGACAATGAAAATCGGGATCAAAAGTTCGTAAACATGTTAAATTTATATCTATTTTAAAAAAGTGTTTACAATTGAATACTAATATTAATGTAGCACGTTACAGCAAAAAGAAAATCAACCATACGAGCTTGACGCTATCTGTCTAACCGCAAATTTATTTTATATGAATTTGTTTATGTACAAATTAAAGAATAGAAACGTTTAAAATTGTGAATATTTAATTTGCCTGGTATACACGGAAGACTTGGATTATTCGTATTTAATAAAAGGGGGTCGAAACATATTTTTTGTACAATCATCTTCTTAACTTTCCGAAATGTCTTCTTAATTAACTGCATGGTTTTAAGTATTAAAATTGAAAATGATCCACCCTTTTTCTTAAATTCAATATGTGATAACTGTCGGCCTAAACTATTAAGATCGAAAAAGACATAAATAGGAAAAATAGACTAAAATCAACATTGAATGACTGACTCTATTCGGTAGCGTACAGCAGCGGAATGTAACGAGTGAACTATTCGGGTTACTTCGTACGTACATACGACAACAACTGGTCTATTCGTAATTTTCCGGGAACACGAAAATGACCGAAAAGTGTCAGTGATTTGATCTATCACATGTCGAGAGTCAATTACCATGCCATATATTTAACCAATTAACGAGTTATCGAAAGATGGGCGGTAACGCAGATGAAACCTTTGAAGTGACGACGATGTTATTCCTTTCAATATTACTTCCATGCTCAGACCTAACTACCATTGCTTTATACCTCTGACGGATTTAACATGATTCAGTTGTTGAGAAAAAAATAAATTACATATAAATTAGAGCAATACTTCAGTATATATATTTTATATTTTGCTACTGAAATAATGACAGTTGCTCAGCAGTCACTCAAAAATGATATAGAAAAAAGTTAATGCTTGAGAAAAATGCTAAACACAAATGACTACACCAAACTTTGGTCTTTTGTGGATAGTTGTCTCATTGCAAAGCATACCATATCTAAGTATTTTTATATACTGTAAATTCAGAAATTATTGCAATGTTTTTATTATTGCGAAAAATGCGACATGGTTATAATCTCAATAATTCAAACTCGCATTTTGAAATTTTTTATATGAATTAAACAGGATTTTTCTTAATATCGCAAAAATTAAAATAGCATTCTAGTCTAAAATGACAAAATCGCAATAATAAATGCATGCAATAATTTCTGAATTTACAGTAAACTCTTGATATTTACAAATAATACAGAAATTGTAGTCATAAAAACTGAGGGATGAGCAAAAACATGAAACCTTGAATTAGTTCTGTTTTTGTTAGCTCATAAAGAAACATTTACATAAGACTCAAATATATAACAAATTCACCTTTCCACTTTTCTTCTTTTTCTTCATTGTATTCCTCAACTATATCAAATGTATCTGTTTCCTGCAAGTGGACAAATTAGTTATATTTACTGCAAGAAGAAACAAAAGAAACAAACTAAACTAACAAAAAAAACAAGAATATGTTTCCATGAGACACAATGCCCCACTTTCACAATCGCTTTTCCGTGATCAGTGAATTGGAAATCTTGGTGAAAACCCAAATTTCGGTACATGCATAAATAAACAATATAAAATCTCTTATAAGTTTTTAGGAAATGTGCAAATAAACAACATTTTATATTTCCTGCTGATAATATGAAGAAGATTCATCAAACATTTTTGTTCACTTTTTCTAATGGGTCTATCAGGAAAATCAATAAGGTTTATAAAAACCTTAGACTTGGCCTGCTGTTATTTCCTAACTTCATCATGTAGGAATTATTATCAGATATTGAATTTAGTTTTATCAAAGTCAAAATTTAAGATATAGAGTTCCATTACATCCAAGATTTCCTAAAGATACTAATTAATACTTTAAAATATCAATAGTTAAAATACCTTTGAAAATTGTCCTTTGACAGCATCAAGTCTTGGCTGAAGTAACTCCTTTTGTTTCTGTAAATTTTCTATCTCCTTGTGAATTGCTTAAATAAAATAGGAAGAATCTGATAATTACAAGCATTCACATAAAATATTTTATAGGCAAAGGGAAGCATGTTTAACTTTTTTAACAAATTAGTATGAATGTAATCTTACAGATTGGAAACTTTCAAATTTTCTACAAATGTTTTTTTTTCTCTTTCAGTCCAATTAATGTAAATTAAGTTTGTAGTTTATTATAACCTTTGCATATGTTTTTTTCTTCATTTCAATGTTATTGGTTCAAATTGTTGTATTTCTATTAGAAGGGAAATAACTCTTCTTTCTTTTTCAAAAACCCACTGTCCAATGAAAATGGCCAAATATAGATCTTTAAAATACATAACAGAAGTTAAATCATATCTTTTATTCCCTATAACTATCAACAGTAATCACTTAAACATTTTGTCATCAGAATCTATCTGAATTTATTTGGGACACACTCTCTAATGTTGAGACACAATCTTAATTTGATTTTATTCTCAAATTGTTTTAAAAATGAGGACCATGAAAACAGACTGCAGACAATATGTTTATTCTGTTAAGTTTTTTGTGTTGTAGAGTTGCTGTCTCGTTGACATATACACAAAATGTCCTTTTATTCATATAATAGTATAACCACATTCATATATTTTTGTATCTCCATTCAACCCGCTTACATAATGATAAGGATAATGTACAATGTAAAGAGAGATAACTCTAATTCAAATCAAGGTTTTTTTTATAGCATCAATATTAAATTTACTAAATTATGATTGGTGTCTCATTGAAGTATACATAGAATGATCTTTTATTCGTATAATAGTTTAACCACATTCATACATTTTTGTATCTCCATTCACCTCACTTACAGAATGATATGGATAATGTACAATGTAAAGAGAGATAGCTCTAATTCAAATCAATTTTTTTTTTGAAAACATCAATATTAAATTTTACTAAATTATGACTTCTGTCTCATTGAGGTATACCTCTTTTATTCATATAATAGTATAACCACATTCATATATTTTTGTATCTCTATCCAACTCACTTACATAATAATATGGATAATGCACAATGGAAAGAGAGATAACTCTAATTCAAATCAAGGTCTTTTTTACAGCATCAATATCGTTTACTAAATTATGAATGATTGTTGTTTACTAAATATAAAAAAAGTACTTTGATTGGAAAAAGTCAAAACAGAAGGGTAATAGGGAGCAAATATTTATATTTCTGGGTGTAAAAGAAAGGACTTCATATGTAATAAACCATCATCAGTGATTAAATGAAGTCCAATTTATTCACAAAATGTTAAAAAAAAAAAAATAACATCTTCAGGCTTTCCAATTAAGTTTAAATCCGCTTATTTACAAATTGAAATTTTTCTTTGCAAAAGAATTTGTTTTTGCCTTACAAGTAAAAATCATACAGAAAACTACAAAAGTAAGAGACCTAATAACCTTTTTCTATAAATTTAACTGAAATTCAAAAAAATCTTAACAAGAAGCAAGAGAACAATTATCATTTTGAAGCAATTCAGTGCAGTTCAACTTACATTTGGCTCTTCTGTCAATAATTCCACATGCTTGTTTTGCTGATCTTTCAACAAACCAATTGTCTCCTAGAAGGACAAGAATTTCATTGGTATGGACTAACTTTCCAGGCATGAAAGCCAGAGGACCAAATGGAACCTGTAATAAATGAAAGTTGTAAGTCAAACAAAATAGCAGTGCTACTCTGCTTTAACAAGAAATGATTGTAACAGGATGCTGTTACGAAGTCTCCCAAACGAAGCTCCCATAATTCGTAATTCCCAGGGTCGCCTGACATTGGGCAACATCCAGTGAAAATTGGTTTGGTCCAGTAAAGTTATATGCATTAGTGATGCCTGGGGACTAACCTTGTATATCATTCAAATCATCTTGGCATGACAAACCAGAATATATATGATTTAGGGGTGGGGATCTCGACCATTTACAAGATACTAGAACATTGGGGGTGGGGAGGAACCCCTGGGGACCGACCCTATACGTCATTCAAATGTTCATTACATGACGAACAGGATTATATATGGTTTAGGGGTGGGGATCTCAACCATTTACAAGATACTAGAACATTGGGGGTGGGGAGGAACCCCTGGGGACCGACCCTATACGTCATTCAAATGTTCATTACATGACGAACAGGAATATATATGGTTTAGGGGTGGGGATCTCAACCATTTACAAGATATTAGAACTTTCTCAAATGGCAGGGGGTCGGGATGACCCCTGGGGACTAACCCTGTATATCATTCAAACCATCTTCGCATGACAAACCAGAATATATATGGTTTAGGGGTGGGGATCTTGACCACTTACAAGATATTAGAACTTTCTTAAATGGCAGGGGGTGGGGGTGACCCCTGGGGACTAACCCTGTTTTTCATTTGATGTGCTTTATCATGACAAACCAGAATATATATGGTTTAGGGGTGGGGATCTCGACCATTTACAAGATATTAGAACTTTCTCAAATGGCAGGCGTCGGGATGACCCCTGGGGACTAACCCTGTATATCAATCAAACCATCTTAGCATGACAAACCAGAATATATATGGTTTAGGGGTGGGGATCTTGACCACTTACAAGATATTAGAACTTTCTTAAATGGCAGGGGGTGGGGGTGACCCCTGGGGACTAACCCTGTATTTCATGTGATGTGCTTTATCATGACAAACCAGAATATATATGGTTTAGGGGTGGGGATCTCGACCATTTACAAGATATTAGAACTTTCTCAAATGGCAGGGAGCCACTGGACGTTAAGCAACCAACAATCAATCAATCAAATGGCAGGGGGTCGGGATGACCCCTGGGGACTAACCCTGTATATCTGTCGGGGCTAACTCAACTATTGTTATACAGAAAGAACACAACCATACAGTTTAACGTTTACTTCATATATATTCGAGCTGCTAAGGCTACGTCTTGCATTGACGTCAACCCTAGATACAATTGGTAAAACGCGACGTCTTAACTCCCGCGGTATTCTCAACATTCTCCGGGCCGCTAAAAGTAAATATTAAAATTAAATTACAATAAAGTAAAAATGAATGAAAATTACTGTCTATCAAATCTAAACTTGACTTTAACTTAATAACTTTAGCACAGTCATTAACTTCCAGATTAGTTATCTTCGAATTAAATCACAATGAGTCTATCTCGTATACACAAATCACAGTATGTCTATATTTTCCGTGCACCTGTTCCTTCTTTCAATGAAATAGTATCATATTATAGGTTTTTGAAAGTAAGTCAATAAATCAAACATTTTCGTAACAGTCCATAATAAGTCACAACAGTTCATTAGATACGTATCATTCAGTCCATCTTTTAATATTTTCCCTGTCGGTTCTGCTTCCTCATCTCTCTCGATAAATCCGCGACGTGTCTGTTCCTTTATAATTTCTTTTAAGCTAAATTCCTCTGATTTATTCGAAACCAGTACGTTCAATATGCTAGATGTCGTAGACGAACGTACCCTTCCTGGTTGTAAGGGTCCTGATAATAAGTATCCAAGCTTTGACTTAACCGCGATCGGTCCGTCTCCTCTTATTACTTCATCTTCGATAAAGTTCCAATAGTAGTCGGCACCAATAAGTAACGATATCTCAAAAGAATTGTCCTGAGTAACTGGATGAGCGAGTCTTAATCCTTTGAGATAATCCATATACCGCATATGATTATGAATTGGAACTGCTATAGTAGGAACAATAAGGACTTCAATAGGAAATTTACGACTATTTTCGGTTTCGACAAATACGGTGGTTTTGCGTAGTTCTCTCGTGCTTGTGTTGTCCTTTCCAAATGCCGATAGGTTTACAACTTCAGCTCCTTCAGTTTTCAAATTCAATTTCTTCGCTAGATCATCTGTTAAAAAAGATCTTTGTGCACCCTCATCAAATAAAACATTCGTATCCATACATATATTACCTGACCATACAGGAGCTACAGCCGTTTTCAGTAGCACATTTGTACGCATCTGTGTCTATGAATGCAAAACTTTAGTATCTTCCTCGTTTTCAGTGTCATTTATAAGATTGACGGGTGTAGATTGAATCTGTTTATTTGTATTGCTTGTAATGAATGCTAAACCTTCGCTGTTAACATTGCTACTTGCACTACATAGGCTGGAATGATGTCTCTGGTTGCAGTGTCGACACGTTCGTTTCGATTGACACTCATTAGCATGATGATTACCTAAACAATTAAAGCATAAATTATCACGTTTTACGATAGACATGCGAGCTTTATGATTACTAACATTGGTACAGTGTGCTGGTGCATGTATCTCTTTACAAAAAACACATGGTCTTTCTGTAATATTCCGGGGTTGGCTCTTCGCGTTGTGTGATGTGTTTTCTCGCGGTGATTCTGTTCCTGTATGAAATGTACATGTAGATGCAGTTGCGAACTGACGGTCTAAAGACTCGAGATATGTACCTGTATTTTGTCCTGCCTCCATGATTTGAATTTCATTCAATATGCTCCTTCTCAGATCTTTCAAATTCCAACTGGACGGTCCATGTTCTCTTGCTAAGTGTTGTCTGATTTCACTTGGTAACTTTCTCATGATAATCGGTACCAGTAAAGTTCCATATGACGTCTCAGGTTGTCCGAGCGAATCTAAACCTCTTACGTAGGCTTCACATTGGTCATAAAATAATCTTAAGCTTGACAAGGTGTATCGTGGTTGGGCAATATCTAAAAGTGCCTGTAAGTAGGCTTCCGTAATTCTGTGTGTTTGTCTGAACCGTTCCTTGAGTACATTTATAGCCTCCATGTAATTACCATTTGTAAGCGCAAATCCAGTTATCGTATTTAATGCCTTGCTTTCAAGTTGCGATTTCAGATAATTAAATTTCTCAATGTTTGTCAAAGTAGGATTAAAATGTACAGCAGATTTGTACGAGTCCCAAAACGTTTGCCAATCTAAAATGTTGCCATTAAACTTCGGTAGTGATAACTTGGGTAAACGATGGTTACTAGTACTAGCTATATTTTGTGGAGCAATATGACCTGTATCATAGCCATTGTAGCTTGTCTGTGGTTGAGCGGCGGATGAAGCATAGAATGGTGTTGCGTTTTGAAAGTTATCAACATTTGCCGGGCGGAAAGGAGGGCTTTCTACATTGAGTACTTGATATGAAGATTGTGTTACATTGGAACTTGGTGTACGGTTTTGACCAATTTGTATAAAATTACGAAAATGTCTAAGTTTAGTGTCTAAATTATTTGAATACTCATCTGTATCTACTATTTCACTTTCAACGTTGTCTGAATCCGTTGCTTCCAATATCTGTTCGTTCAGTTTTTCCAACAATTTCTTCTTTTGCGTAAGATTATCGTATGTTGCAAGTAGTTCATCTCTGTCGAAGTCCGTGTTTTCCTTCGCCTCCTCGAATTTTCGGAAAAGTCTCGTCACTGCACTTCTATTTCCAGTCCTAATATTCTTTAACTTCTCCATCTTCGATGTAATCCTTTGGTTACGGCACCATAAATGTCGGGGCTAACTCAACTATTGTTATACAGAAAGAACACAACCATACAGTTTAACGTTTACTTCATATATATACGAGCTGCTAAGGCTACGTCCCGCATTGACGTCAACCCTAGATACAATTGGTAAAACGCGACGTCTTAACTCCCGCGGTATTCTCAACAATATCATTCAAACCATCTTAGCATGACAAACCAGAATATATATGGTTTAGGGGTGGGGATCTTGACCACTTAGAAGATATTAGAACTTTCTTAAATGGCAGGGGGTGGGGGTGACCCCTGGGGACTAACCCTGTATTACATTTGATGTGCTTTATCATGACAAACCAGAATATATATGGTTTAGGGGTGGGGATCTTGACCATTTACAAGATATTAGAACTTTCTCAAATGGCAGGGGGTCGGGATGACCCCTGGGGACTAACCCTGTATATCATTCAAACCATCTTAACATAACAAACCAAAATATATATGGTTTAGGGGTGGGGATCTTGACCACTTACAAGGTATTAGAACTTTCTTAAATGGCAGGGGGTGGGGGTGGCCCCTGGGGACTAACCCTGTATTTCATTTAATGGGCTTTATCATTTAGAACATTTTCAATTAAAAAGATTGTGTCTATCACAAACGGTTTTCAATTTATAATCATTTGAAAATTTTAAAAAATAAAATCCCATAGGGTTCTATAGTAAAACCCTCTTTTCTGTTTGCCCTTCAAAGTACTGTAAATTCAGAAATTATTGCGTGCATTTATTATTGCGATTTTGTCATTTTAGACTAAAATGCGATTTAAATTTTTGCGATATTGAGAAAAATCCTGTTTAATTCATATAAAAAATTTCAAAATGCGAGTTTAAATTATTGCGATTATAACCCTGTCGCATTTTTCGCAATAATAAAAACATCGCAATAATTTCAGAATTTACAGTACCCCTTTATAAACCCCATTGCACAAACAAAACCCTGATTGCACCACTAGACATGTTAGTCTAACATATTGTGAAACCCTAAGTTAATCTGACAAGCGGTTTTGGAGAACGGGTGCGGACAAGTTCAAATTTAAAAGCGGCGGAAGAGGAAGAAGAAGAAGAAGAAGAAGAAGAAGAAGAAGAAGAAGAAGAAGAAGAAGAAGAAGAAGAATAATAATAAGAACTGAGCAAAAACAATAAGTCTTCCCAAACTTCGTTTGGGAGACTTAATTAACTGATAAACTTTGTTCATACCTGCTTATCAACTTTTCCAGTAGAATACAGTAAATATTATGCGATTCAAACTAAATAATTTTGCAACAGTAGAAAGAGGCAGAAAAAAGTTTGATCACTAAGTTTAGACACAAAAAAAGGTATGTTTATTCTACCACACAGGAAATAAGATTTTTTACAACAAGTTCAAACTCCATACACATAAGTGCTTTGTTACTACATGTACTTCTTATAATTTCCTCCACAATTTTTGTGGAAAAATATAGCATCATTTTAAAGAAAAAGAGTAGAAATTCTATAAATCAAATAAATGCAGAAGATTTCAATTTCTAAAACCATGAAAGACATATATTGTCCTAACATAAAATAAATATGAGAAAATAGACCTAGAGATGAGGGATAAGACAAAACTGCATAGAAATTGGTAGCCTTATGTCCTTTTTGGGATGAAAAGGATAAGTAAGCAAAGAAACTAACAAGTAACACACTTCTTAAGGTTTTAATAAGATGTTATTTCAAAAACAGAGTTTAAAACTACAGTGGTAGCTAGAAGCTAGCCTTAAAAGGAAATCAGACCTTTACCGGCAGTACAATAAATGACCAACATGTAGTAATAACATCACGTTTTTACCCAAAGTTGATTCAATATTTTTGTATTAAAGACACTCAAATAATAAACTGCAAAAATACTTTTTTCTAAAATAAAACTGAACAATGTTCAAGAGTAGATAGTCAAAATAAACACAAGGTAAATTTAGAATGCTGGTATTTCTGTATTATAGATACAATGGTTAAGCGTTGATTCTTGAAAAAGTAACCATGAGCCCAAAGGGCGAATGGTTTGTTTTTCATGAATCACCGCTTAGCCATTGTGTCTCTTACTTAAACTATTGTGTTGATGTCTTTTCACAATTTAAGCCTTTTCTAAATTAGAAGTCATTGTAAGTGAGTTTGCAAAACCCTGTTATCATGTTCAATTATGCATTAATAAATCAAAGTTCACAATTAATTGGTTAGAGAAATACAAATATAACACAACATGTCTTTCCTTAAATTATTATGCATCTGAATATTATCCATAATTTACAAAATAAGACATATTTGAACTTATTTCTAACTCAGACTAAGTATATATAACAAGTATGTTACCTAAATTTCTAGCAAGAAACTTATCCGAGGCACATCACGATTAACTCGCATAGGGATTTGGGAATATACATTTGTAAAGATATGTCGTAAAACAGATGAAATCATACTATATTTATACAATTGTGAACACGCTGAAATGTCTCGCCTGCTTTACTGACCATTGATTTTATGTTGAAAGTCTTAAAGATAATTAAAGGTTTTACTAAAAGCATTAAAAAAATTTGACATTTTTAAAAATCTATGACAATGAGGTCAAGGTCAGATAAATTGTGTCAGACAGACATACACACCTTACAACTTTTTATACACCAAATATAGTTGACCTATTGCGTATGCTAATTGAAAAACATACCAAAACACAAAAACTTAACATTGACCAATGAACCATAAATATGAGGTCAAGGTCAGTTGATGCCTGCCAGACAGACATGTGCACCTTACAATGATTCCATACACCAAATATAGCTGACCTTTTGCTTATAGTACTTGAAAAACAGACAAAAACACAAAAAACTTAACATTGAACAATGAACCATAAAAATTAGGCCAAGGTCAGATGATACCTTCCAGACAGACATATACACCTTACAACTTTTTATACACCAAATATAGTTGTTCTATTTCGTATGCTAATTGAATAAACTGCTTCGCTGAGCGCAGCTGTATACGCCTGCAGAGGTCCAACCCTGAACAGTTGGGGCAAAAATGGACATAATATTCAAGCTTGATACAGGTCTGAATTTGGATTGTAATTAAATATTTGACAAATTATAGGTTTCTGAATAAATGTAGACAAAGAACTTGAAATTGGTTATATGAATTGAATTTATATTCAATTAAAGATTTCTTGCTGTTGTGCAATACTTAGTAAATCTGTTGTCAGACTATAAACAAATAAAGTTCAATTTCTTCTCAATGTCATATTTATTTGAAATTTATGAAAATCAATAGGGAGATTACATCAATAGCTATAAATAATTCACCAAAGTTTCATGAGAACTGCTGAAAGCATTTTTGAGTTATTGTCCAAAAACTGGAAAATCCCCCCTTTTTTAATGAATAAAACCCCATAACTCAGAAATGTAAAATCTAAAATTTATAAAATTCTAAAGGGAGCTTACATCAACAGATATAAACAATTCACCAAAGTTCCATGAGAACTGCTGAAAGCATTTTTTAGTTATTGTCAAAAAACTGGAAAATCCCCCTTTTTTTATGAATAAAAAACCCTGTAACACGGAAACGTCAAATCTAAAATTTATAAAAATCAAAAGGGAGCTCATGTCAAAAGATATAAACAATTCACCAAAATTCCTTGCAAGTTGGTGAAAGCATTCTTGAGTTAATGTCGGAAAACTGGAAAATCCCCCCTTTTTTAATGAATAAAACCCCAAAACTCGGAAACGGAAAATCTGAATCGGACAGACGGACGGACGGTCAACTGTATACCATAATACGTCCCATAAACGGGCGTATAAAAACAGACCAAAACACAAAAACTTAACATTGACCAATGAACCATAAATATGAGGTCAAGGTCAGATGATGCCTGCCAGACAGACATGTACACCTTGCAATCATTCCATACACCAATATAATTGACCTATTGCTTATAGTACTTGAAAAACAGACCAGAACACAAAAACTTAACATTGACCAATGAACCAAGTAAATGAGGTCAAGGTTTGATGAAACCTGTCAGACTGACATGTACCCATTACAATCATTCCATACACCAAATATAGTTGACCTACTGCTTATAGTATTTGAGAAACAGACCTAATCACGTACTTTTAACCTTGATCACTGATCCATTAAATGAGGTTGAGGTCAGGTGAACTCTGTCTGACTGACATGTATACGTTGCAAGGAACCCATATACCAAATATAGTTATCCTATTACTCATAATAAGTGAGAAATTCACATGACAAAAAACTCTAATTTTTTTTCAAGCAGTTGCTGAACCATGAAAATGAGATCAAGGACAATGGACATATGATTGACGAAAACTTTGTAACATAAGGTATCTCCATACAAGTATTGAAGCATCCAGGACTTCTACCTTCTGAAATATAAAGCTTTATACAAATAGTTTACACCGCTGCCGCGCCAACACCGCCGTCGGATAGTAATACCTATGTCTCGCATACTGCGACTTTCGTTGCAGGCGAAACAAAAACAAAAATGGACAAATTGAATGTAATCAGTTTCTTTTAAAATACCTGAAATAGCCAATAATGATCCAAAAATAAACGGGAAAACCCGCTATTATTACAAAAATATCCACAATAACATACAATCTAAGAAAAACAGAAAAACTAAAGAATAGGGACAACAAAGAGAAAACAGGGATTCAAACCTAAACCGACAAGTATCTACTAACTCGACTCTATAACTCATTGATCGTTGTCACCTCTTGGCTACCAACTTATACTATACGTTTGTCTGTTATGTATATATAAAGGTACAAGCCCTGTGTGTCCGTTGTACTGATATGTATCATATGTTCATTTATATATATAAAATAGACATATAAGTTGTAAACCATTGAATTGGTAGCCGAGAGGTTTCGTCACGGTGTTGATATCAGTCACACACAACAGATTTCAAGAAAAGGTTCAATTCCCAGTGAAGGCATATCAAAATTACAAAATTTTAAGATAATTTTTTAATTAATTTCCATTAGTGAACAGAAACCAGTAAATTAGCTAATTCAAACTTAATGAACTTTTGCACACAAAGGAAACAATTGAATATAATTTTGCGAGTCCATTTCAGCAATAGATTAAGAAGAGTTGATTCTAGAAAAAGAATCCACGGTAAATGAATAGACTGACATCAAGACAATGGTTTAAAATAACATTAATATCAGTTTTCAAAGGACTCTCTTAAGCTGATATAGACAGAAATGGCTAAGTTCATGTTATATTCCCATGACATGTAAGAAAGTTTGATTGAATTCCATACATTCTGTTTTTAAATTTTTTGAGTTTTGGATTCATAAATAGATATACATGCATATATGCATATTTTGGTATGGGAATCTTAAACTGAAGCCTCCTAAACATATGTAAAAGCCTGTGTCAATCACCTATATGTGTATCTACTAAACTAAACTTACCATAACATCATGAGTTACTTTGTCTGGTAATGTCTTCAGTCTAGATTTTAATGCTTTGTAATCTGTTCTAAATTTCTCCCTGAAAAGACACATAAGCACTGGTATTAAAGTTAACTGATAATAGTAAAGTTTGTTAAAAGCAGTTAAATAACTTTTCATTAGAATACAGATCTTTTTCTAAATGTACTACCGGTATCATGTCAGTGATAATATAGGCAAGCACGTATTCTTATTTGATATAAACCCATTTGCTAGTACTATGAAATTGTTGAGAAGCAATATTACCTTAGGAAGTTGAAAACTGATATGATGATAGAATGGTTAGGAAAAAATATAGTAATGGAAATTTAGAATTATAGAAATTGTTATTTAGAACTTGATAGATTGGATAAGTTTCCCTTTAAAATTCATCATTTTGTGAGTTCTTGAATTGCTGCAAAAAGAAAATAGAGAAAGGGCAAATGAATGGGAAAAGAAGGATTCAAGGCAGTAACTAACAGATCCTTACTGTTTTCTTGGATTTGTTGTTTTTATTATTGTTTTTTTTAAGCCATACACTTATTGCGGACCTGTTTCTGTATTGTTATGAGTTACAATTTATGACTAAAATCAGCAAAGACCCATCGAAACAACATCTAATACAAAAATTTAACAACACTTTTAGATATTTGGATGATATATTGGCTCTCAATAATGACAACTTCAGTATGTAAAGAGATTTATCCTGCTGAACTGACTTTAAAATAGAGCTAATACTAACAATGAACACTGCCCTTTCCTGGATCTTGATATCTATATCTTTAACGGGAAGCTTGATGCCAAAATTTATGATAAAAGAGATGATTTTTCATTTCTTATTGTTAATTATCCATTTTTAGATGGTGGTGTTCCCTTGTCACCATCTTATGGTGTTTATATATCTCAATTTGTTCGATTTGCTCATGTATGTAACACCGTATTTGATTTTAATGAAAGAAATCTCTGTATTACTGAAAAATTTTTACACCAGGGTTTTCGATATCACAAACTAAATAAACATTTACTAAATTTTATCATCGGTACAAGGACATTATTCGTAAATATAAATCAACATGCAGACATCTTATACGTTCAGGTATTTCACATCCAATCTTTTATGGTAATATTCTTTACAAAGCACAAAAATGTCGGCATTCACCTCAAAAGCTAACCAAACCTTTAAACAGAAGGGATATAGTTACGATACTGTTGGCAGGTCATTGAAGATGGCATATTTTGGTATTAATATTGATTCACTCATAGGGTCTTTGCATTGGAAATAAACACATTTGTTCTAAAACCAGTTGTTGGCATGATACGGGTTATGTTCTTCTCATATATTTTATGATGGTATGATACTTAACCCCTAACGGGAGGGATTGTGCTTGATTTTCATATGATGAAGACATAATCTTTCAATCACTTTTAATTGAAGTCTGGAGCTGGCATGTCAGTAACTGCTAGTAGTCCTTGGTTAATTTATGTATCATTGTCATTTGGCTTAGTTTCTTTTGTTACCTATTCTGACATCGGACTCGGACTTTTTTTAAACTGAGTTTTACTGTGCATATTGCTGTGTGTTTGTTTATTCGATCTACATTGGCTAGAGGTATAGGGGGAGGGTTGAGATCTCACAAAACATGTTTAACCCCGCCGCATTTTTGCGCCTGTCCCAAGTCAGGAGCCTCTGGCCTTTGTTAGTCTTGTATGTTTTTTTAATTTTAGTTCATTTATATGTTTTGGAGTTTATTATGACGTCCATTTTCACTGAACTAGTACACATATATTTTTATGGGCCAGCCGAAGCCTGCCTCTGGGTGTGTGATTTTTCTCGCTGTGTTGAAGACCCATTGGTGGCCTTCGGCTGTTTCTGCTCTTTGGTCGGGTTGTTGTCTCTTTGACAAATTCCCCATTTCCATTCTCAATTTTATTTAATTAATGTATGGCCACTTTTAAGTAATTCTTGATTTTTAAATTTCATCAAAATTGACTGTGCTTCCACTGCTGTTATGTTAACCCAGGCAAACAGTAGCTTCAATTAATTTGGATTTTTATTTCAAGTGTCAGATATGTTAATGTGTACTTCTTGTCAATCTATATTTTGATCATTTTATGCCTTTGTTATGTTGTTAAGTAATTACTGAAATACAACTTCTCGATCACAAATTCTGACACCAGATTTCTGTATGGATCAGTGAGTGGATGTATATATGTAGATAGTGATTTTCAAATTCTATGTAAATGTACTTAACATTAAACAATGTTTGGTTTTTACAATATTATAAAGGGCCATATGTATCCTATTTATTTTATTCATTATATTGTTAAATTCTTACCCGAGAATACAATTAATGTAACAGTTGTTTCAGTTTATGTCTTAAATAATCATTTATAGTTACAATTATATTTTTCCATCTTTCAGAAACTATCAAATAAATATAGCACTAAAAAGAACTTTTTGTAATATAAATAAAATGCTTCGCTGGGCGCAGCTTGATACGACCGCAGAGGTCGAACCCTGAACAGTTGGGGCAAGTATGGACACAACATTCAAGCTTGATACAGCTCTGAATTTGGATTGTGATTAAATATTTGACACAGCATAGGTTTCTGACACAGAAAGAATGTGGTCTAAGAACTTCAATTTTTTTAATTTACCTATTATGGTCCAATGTCCAAAATCAAAATACATGGTTAGATTCAGCATATCAAAGAACCCCATATATTCAATTTTTGTTGAAATCAAACAAAGTTTAATTTTGGACCCCAACTTGGACAAACTTGAAAACTGGTCCCATAATCAAAAATCTAAACACATGTTTAGATTCAGCATATCAAAGTACCCCAAGAATTCAATTTTTGTTAAAATCAAACTAAGTTTTATTTTGGACCCTTTGGACCTTACTGTAGACCAATTTAAAAAACGGGACCCAAAATTAAAAATCTAAAAACACGGCTAGATTTGGCATATCAAAGAACCCCAATAATTCAATTTTTGATGAAATCAAACAAAGTTTAATTTTGGACCCTTTTGACCTCAATATGAACCAATTTGATAGCGGGCCCACAAATAAAAAATCTAAATACATGGTAAGATTCAGCATATCAAAGAACCCCATATATTCAATTTTTGTTGAAATCAAACAAAGTTTAATTTTGGACCCCAATTTGGACCAACTTGAAAACTGGGCCAAAAATCTAAAATCTAAATACATGTTTAGATTCAGCATATCAAAGAACCCCATATATTCAATTTTTGTTGAAATCAAACAAAGTTTAATTTTGGACCCCAACTTGGACCAACTTGAAAACTGGGCCCATAATCAAAAATCTAAACACATGTTTAGATTCAGCATATCAAAGAACCCCAAATATTCAATTTTTGTTAAAATCAAACTAAGTTTAATTTTGGACCCTTTGGACCTTAATGTAGACCAATTTAAAAAACAGGACCCAAAATTAAAAATCTAAATACACGGTTAGATTTGGCATATCAAAGAACCCCAATAATTAAATTTTTGTTGAAATCAAACAAAGTTTAATTTTGGACCCCAATTTGGACCAACTTGAAAACTGGGCCAAAAATCAAAAATCTAAATACATGTTTAGATTCAGCATATCAAAGAACCCCATATATTCAATTTTTGTTAAAATCAAACAAAGTTTAATTTTGGACCCTTTGGACCTTAATGTAGACCAATTTGAAAACTGGACCCAAAATTAAAAATCTAAATACACGGTTAGATTCGGCATAACAAATAAATATATGTGGTCAAAGATTTTACAAATCTAATGCATGGCGCATAGTTTGATATGCTGAATCTTACCATGTATTTACTGTGCAATTAAAGATTACTTCTTGAAATTTTTCAATATTTGAAATTTGAAAAAAAAAAAATATTTGAAGAATAATTCTTTTTAATTTCTGAAATCTGAAATGAGAAAAAATTGACCCCCCACAATTTCTTTTTAAACCCCCCCCCCCCTTTTTTCCCCAAAAAAAGTCTTTCCCTCAAGATATGGTCATAATCTCAATTCAAATTTCCAATGGAGTTTGCAACCATAATTACCCATTTAAATTTACCATAGTGCTAACTTAATCTATTTTATAATAGAATTTAAAATATAGTGTCAAATCTTTCATATGGATTTTTTTGTAAAAAAAAAAGATGCAACATTTGCAGATATTTTTACTGGTCTTCCTTTATAAATATGCATTTCTTTAAACATAATTTAAAGCAGTGTAAGGGAAGTAACCAAAACGTTGTATTTTGATTACCTCCCTTACACTGTTTTAAATTATCTTAATTGTTCATTAACCATTACTTTATACATAATTTAAAAGCAGTGTAAGGGAGATAATTTCAATGATGTATTTGATTTATCTCCCTTACACTGCTTTAAATTATGTTTTGTACTAAAGTATTTGTCCATTAACCAGGACAACCTTGTTTTCCCCCTTTTTTGCCCACAATTCCTAAACGGTTTGAGCCATAACCCCCCAAAGCAAATCCTAACCATCCCTTTGTGGTATGGAAACTTGCAGTATAATTTCAGAGAGATCCATACACCGTTCCACAGTTATTGTCTGGAAACTAGAAAATGCTTATTTTTGGCCCCTTATTCCTTAACTGTTGGTACCATAACCCCCAAAATCAATCCCCACCTTCCTTTTGTGGTATTGAACAATATGGTAAAATTTCAAAGAGATCCATTCACTTAAACTAAAGTTAGAGTGCGAAAACCAATGTGTCTTCGGACGATGACGACGACTCCAACATCATACCAATTGCGGTTGTATAAAAACTACTCTGTTTATCAAGTTTATGAAATTCATTGTTTCTCAATTAAAAGATAAGCAACTTTAATCAATGAATTGAAACAATGCATTTACATGGGAAAATATACATTTAGCAAGAAGATCTAACCGAAAGTCTGTTAATGCGTGTGGAATGCATAATATTCACTTTTTCGATCATTATTCTTCTGTCAGCTGTGCCATAAGTGCGTCTGTAGTTATTATCGTAAGAATATCGTTTTTTCGGTCATAGCTGATCTGTTTTCGATGAATACCACCTCTATGATAAAACCTTCATAAAACTCTGGCAAGAATTGTACACATGAGAGCGCTAATGATGCAATTTTCCATATAATCAATATTTCCAAGGGACATAACTCTTTTAAAAATAATTGATCAGCACCTATTTTCAAATTTGTCTGAGAAATTGATGATATAAACCTATAATATAAATTTCATAATAATCTGGCAAGAATTGTACACATAAGAGCGCTCATAAGGCAATTTTCCATACAATTAATATTTCCAAGGGCATAACTCTATTAAAAATAATTGATTTGCACTGATTTTCGAACTCATCAAAGACATTGCTGATATAAACCTATGATATAAGTTTCATAAAATTCTGGCAAGAATTGTACACATGAGAGCTCTAACAATGCAATTTTCCATATAATCAAAATTTCCAAGGGGCATAACTCTTTTAAAAATAATTGATCGGCACATATTTTCAAACTTATCCAAGACATTGCTAATATAAACCTATGATATAAGTTTCATAAAAATCTGGTAAGAATTGTACACGTGAGAGCACTAACGATGCAATTTTCCATATAATTAATGTTTCTAAGCGGTATAACTCTTTTAAAAATAATTGATCGTCACTGATTTTCGATCTCGTCCAAGACATTGCTGATATAAACCTATGATATAAGTTTCACAAAAATCTGGCAAGAACTGTACATCTGAGAGCGCTAATAAGCCCAGTATTTCCATGTCCCCAGCAACGCATTTAGCAGGGGACAAAAACATTATGGTAGAATAAATTCCTTACAACATCTCTGTTTCCTTTTTAAAGAAAACACAGAGATGTTTACTTTAACAATAAAAAGCCTGCCACAGAAGAACAATCAACCTTGTCAAAGTTTTTAAAACCATCTGGTAGTCAGAAATATCAATTAAATGACACAAAGTAAAAAGAAGCTATAGATTCACTTACTGAGTATATTGCTGGTGATTTACTCCCATTTTCAACAGTTGAAAGTCAAAACTTTAAGAACTTTTTAGAAAAGCATAACCCAAAATTTCAAATTCTGAGATGGAAACATCTCTCATCTAAACTGATACAGAATAAGGCCAAGGATGAACATCAAAAACTGTATGACAACCTTCAGAAAGCTGATAACATTTGTTTGACTGTTGACATTTTGGTCTAATGTAATGTGTAATATAATGCATTACTTTGGTAAAGTAATGTTTAATGTAATGCATTACTTTCCAAAATACATGTACTTGTAATTATAATATAATGCTGGTTTTGACAAAGTAATTGTAATGTAATGCATGATATTGCAATGTAATTCGCCATGTCTGATATACAGTGTTCCCGCCCACCCTTGGTGCCCTTACCCCCCTTTCTGCCCTCTAAAGTAAAAGAATGCACCCCTCTGCCCTTTTCAAAAAAATAAAATTTCCAAATTTCATGCCTACCGGTGTTTCCAGTAAAATTGTTACCTGATTGTGTAACACTAATTAACTGACAATGGGATTACATTAAATACCTAATGCTTTGGCAGTTTTATCACCTTTGTTAATGATTGTTTACTGCTAATTAGTGGATTTAAGATAATTGAACAAATACTAGATATCTAATACAGAATATATTATATATATATGAGACTCCAATTTTATCGATTTTATTTAGCCATGGATACTTTCCTTTCCAGGCAAAGAATGTCTTATCTGTCACTATGTGTCTTTCATTAATTTAAGTACTGTGGATTCATTTTTATTCGTGGTATACCAATTTTCGTGGGTTTCGTGGGTCACAGCGAACCACGAATTTAAGAATTCAACGAAGAATAATCCCGAGAAATGTGTATGGAGTTCGATGTTTATTTCCGGTTATGTTATGCAGTTCTAGTATAGTGTTGACTAGCGATAAACATTGTAACATAACACGTGTTTTTAATGAAAGAAGATACAAGTATTTTGATTAAATCAATAATAAATATATCGAATATCACTGATAATTTACTTTTTAAAATTGATTAAAACTGTTCATGGAAAATAACTGCAAGTTGTTAATTACCGTGTCATAGTTTGGTTTACTGGTGATTAAAACTCAATAGGATACACCTTATCGCTATTTAGTCCAATCCGGAAAAAACAGTCATTTAGGCAACTTCCTGTTTGGGTCAACAGGCCTTGAACAGGTAAACAACAAAGGTAATCAGTAACGAGCTGAGGGAGGGAAAAATTTAGAAAGCGATCAATACGAAACTTTGATAGATTATGATCCACTTTTTCGAAAATCAAATTATAGTCAAAAAATATTTTGTTTGAAGTATTTACGATGTTTTAAACAGATCTCATTAAAAAGTATCATGGATGGTGCATTGTTTAAACAGGGCCCCAGATAGCTTCAACTGGATGAAAAGTTGTGTAATTTTAGAACTTATCCGGAATCGAATAAATAGAGATTAGGTGTATTAAGTACGGGGATATTGCCCGTAGGTAATATTGTTTAAGACAGGAACATTTATTTTCACACCTTTTACTAATTATAATTTTTATGACTGTTTATTATATCGTGATTAGGAAAATGAGCTTTCAATCATAGAGTTTTGAATGCCTTATAAAATTCCGACAACAATTTATAAATTGTAAAACAAACAAATAATTAGTTGTCTCCGTCCATTATCGTAATAGAAGTTTTCAATGAACACTTTAACCTAGAATGACCAAGCGAGGATTTTGACAATTCAAAACTTTTTCAATGAATTCCTTCTTTTTTGTTTGTTTTATTATTGATCAAACCAAGGAGGTTATATGATCTCCTAAATCAAAAAGAAATCAACGAATTACGTATCTGATTTATTTATTTTTTTTGTAATCAGCGATCCACGAATTTACGTATACCACGAAACGTCTTTTTTTCTCTATCCACGAAAATTGATACCCACGAAAATAAATGAATCCACAGTAGTATTTTCATGAGAGAAAGAAACGACACAGTCGATGATTGCATCTAAAATATCACATATGAACGGAGTTGTCGCCTTCTCCACTAAGAAATTTATTATGTGACTTGCTTATACTACTTCTCTGCTTTTGCATGGTGGTATGTTGTGATAAAGTTCAACAGGCTATACAACTTTGTTTCTACATTGTGTTCTAGCGGTGCTTATTTTCTGCCTCTACGACTCATGGTCTGCCAAAGAAAATTGTATAAACTGGTCCCTTATGTTTACCAGGGATACAGCTTTGGGCTAGGGAAAATTCCACACGGGACTCAGATCAGCTATTTAAGGTAACACTCTGCCATTTTTATATCGAAAGTAGCATTCCTAATGTTACAAAAATAGATTTATGCAACAACAATTTATCAAAAAGAGTAAATAACACACAAGCTAGTGAATAGAAGGGTTGAGAACGCATAGTTTCAACATTTAATTGGGTTTTCCTTTGGATTAATTGGGTTTTTAAACGCTGCAATCGTCAATTGAATTGGGTTTACAATTGTTTTTATTGCATAATAACGCCAATACGCAGCTTATCTGGAGCTCTGATCATATTTGTTATTCTTCTATTGTTTTGTTCACAAAAGATAATTAGTTTACAAGCTTGAATTGTATTACATTTCTCATGTTGGGCACATACTTTAAACTTTTAGTTTTAGAGCTTGCATTGTGGTATTGGTTTTTCTCACTGTTGAAAGCTGTATGGTGACCTATAGTTGCTACCTTATATATTATTTGGTCTTTTGTCTCATTAGCAATCATACCACATTCTCTTTTTTCATAAGGTCTATACAAAAATTATTTGTACAAGTGCAAATCATTTTGAAGTCAAGCTGTGACGCATGCGACGACCTCAAAAAGCCAGACATTTTTTTCGGCTGTACTTTTAAAGCAAAATCTCAAGTTTAAGACCAAATTTTATCATGAAATGTAGAAATACGACTAGAAGTGTTAGCATTTATGCAAGGAAGGTGTCACTGCAAAAAATAAAAAAAAATAGCCTTACAAGACGTCATAATTATTTGGACTACAACATTTACATACTGCCAGGCTAATTGGCAGTTAAGGTTAGTGTGAATGAATTAAAAAAGACTATTACCACTGCTTAATGTTTGCCGTCGTTTCTTCTAACGCTATTTCCTGTTCTTGTTTCAACCGTTCTAAATTTTGGCGATTCATTTTTTTTTTGCTTTCGTTTAGTCGCTTACAACATTGAAAATTTTCCGCGAAAAAATAAGCATAGAACAAACCCGGATTTTTTCCGATTTCAAATTTGGCGTTTCATTTAATACTTGATATCAATTATAACAACAGATAAACTATATTATTCTTTCTGTACATACTAGCATCCAGATTTTTGTTCAGGGGTTGGGAAAGGTGATATTTGTATATTTAAAGACTTCCAGATTCAGAATACCGATCGTGTGTTAAGTTTAGCTGCTATACTTCCTGTTAGCCGCTTATGATAATTGAAAAGTGAAAATGATTGAAGACCCTTAATATTTTTTTAATATAGCCCTTCTCTGTCCACCGTAAGTCTACAATGGGTGACATTAGAAGAGGAACAACAACAACAGGGCGCAGGACTTCTTCGTCAGACATGATTTCAAGGCGTCTTTCAAGAATGGACAGCCGATCATTATCTGGGGTTTACTCTTATATCCCAACTAGTGCTACAGTGAATATTAACGCAGAAGCCCAAGAGGAAGCGCTTAGAAAGTTGAACATCAATTATGCAACATGTATGTGAATTACTAATACAATAATAGTCACCGCTGAACAGGACAAATTCAGGTCGTCTTGTTAGCCTGGGTTTTTCTGAATCTGGGTCTCTTCGCCTACTAACAAGTTCACCCATTTAACCGTACCGCCTTCAAGATGAGCAAAAAGTTTTGTTTACATGTTCGCTCATATTCTGGTTAGCCCTTATTATTATGCCAGCACAGATTACTGGAGATCATGAAGGCAGATGTTCAATGGTATACATCAGACCTGAATTCTAGACAGTTCGGTACCCAGACAAATCGGCATCCGGACAAATCGGCACCCGAGAAAGACACTTCGGCACCCAGACAAATCGGCACCTAGACAAATCGGCATCTAACATAGACAAATCGGCACCTTATAAAGATAAAATCAATTATTTTATCCTTGATCAAAATATAGTGAACCAAACATTAAAGTTACCTGGCACTGATATATGTATGTGGGTATGAACTCAATTTACAAGTTTAGTGTTAATATAGCGATTATGTTTGACTGTTTTTACAAATTACCAATTTAATTCCTGCACTATTTATGACATTATTGTCAATATTGTATATGGTATCTTCGAAGAAGTATCTTATTCTTTTTGTTTTTATTATTTGTGAAGACTGTATTGCAGCTTAGTCATTTGGATAGCTGTCTTGTCAACTTATTCGTAGATCTAATGTTGTTGAACATTTTTGTCACTTAAAGTTTCCCTTCATCTATTATACTTTCTTAAAAAAAACTTGAAAATTTAATTTAAAAAAAATGCCTTTCAAGCCAATAACTCTTATAAGGGATAAATTTACAATTTCGGTCAGTTAACTTAGTCAACTTAGTTGTAGATCTCAACTTGCTGGCCATTTTTGCTGTTCAAAATTTCTCTTTATCAGCATTTAAGATCATAATAAAAAAAAAAAAAAAAAATGAGAATGTAGCAATTCATTCTTTCATGGTGCCATCAGTTGTATTTTGGAAGGCAACATTTTTTTTAAATTTCGGCAACTTTTATTTAAAACGGCCTCTATTACATAACGGAGATTGCATAACCCGTGTCATGCCAACAACTGGTTTTTAAATAATCGTGTTTAGTGCCGATGCAAAGACCCTATAAGTGAATCAATATTAACGCCAAAATATGCAATCTTTAATGACCTGACAACAGTATCGTAACTATATCCCTTCTTAATAAGTCTATTTAAAGGTTTTGTTAGCTTCAGAGGTGAATACTGACATTTTTGTGCTTTATAAAGAATATTTCCATAAAAAATTGGATGTGAAATACCTGAACGTATAAGAAGTCTGCATGTTGAGCTATATTTACGAATGATGTCCTTATACCGATGATAAAATTTAGTAAATGTTTTGACTAGTTTGTGATATCGAAAACCCTGGTGTAATAATTTTTCAGTAATACATAAATTTCTCTCGTTAAAATCTAAAACATTGTTACATACACGAGCGAATCGTACAAGTTGAGATATATAAACACCGTAAGATGGTGACAAGGGAACGTCACCATCTAAAAATGGATAATATGTATGTTCGCTCTTAATGAGCATGAAATACTTGCAACTGGACAATAAGCAAATTCAGTTAAAAGTTAATTCATATGTTACATATTAAATTTGCAATTATGATAATCATTAACAACCGGCATTGAACAAACTAATGCTAATAAATTACTACCTCATCAACTGTTTCCCCATCATAGAATTGCCGTAAACGTTATTGATTTTATTTAGGACATACGTGTATTGGCGCTAAAAGACGTGAGACGTTCTGGCGTTTAACAGTGGACACGTTTTGGCGAATAACAATTATCGGACACGTTTGGGGGTTTTGAAATCGAACACGTTTGGGCCATATTGAATATTACGGACACGTTTGGGGAGAATAGACACGTTTGGGGGAATCGGACACGTTTGGGAGTGTTACATATGTTTCTGGGTTTTTACTCATTATGGCTTGCACGCGCTTTTATGTTTATGGGTTTATATTAAAACAATAAAATATAGTTTTCAGGTATTGTGTTGTCTTTACAGATGTAAGGATCAAACAGGAACACAAGCTGAAACACAAGCTATACACTTTTGATCTCTCATTTGTCTCTATTGAGAAATTATCAGATTTATACATAAAATACTGATTAATGCATAACTACAATTAATTATGATTTAATTAAATGATGTTTATTCAAACACCGTCAAATCTAACAATCAATTATGATTTAATTAAATGATGTTTTACTATTCATACACAATCATTTAGGATTTAATTAAATGATGATTTCAAATTTTGTTATTGCATATTTTATCAACGGATTATAATATTACGGTAACAATTCTTTTATTTTTCCTAATATATATATTTAAAAAAATAAGGTGCCGAATTGTCTTGGTCCCGAAATGTCCGGATCCCGAACTGTCCAAAATGGATGCCGAAATGTCTTCGGACTTGGGTGCCGATTTGTCTGGGTGCCGAAATGTCTTGTTACCATCAGACCTGCCAACTATCCCGATTTATGGGTACCACGATTTCCCGAGGATTGCAAGAACAAATTAATATCCCGAGGACAAATTGATTTGTCCCGAAAACATGATTTTACATGGAGTTTTACTGCTTAAATTTGTGTAACAGCATACAACTATAAGGTTTAAGACGTTGTAGTCGTTTATACTCAATAAAAGTACAAGTTATCTTCAGAAAATCGATTTGCATGTCTTGTATGCAAATTCCTTGTTGAAAACAATATGGCGGACGTAATTATTCATAAGGTAGATAACTCGACTTGAAAGCAAAGTACTGTATTTGATAAGCTTAAATACCCGAAAAAAGTTATGACATGTATGATAACTGTATCAACTTTTCATCATTTCAAGTTTTTTAAAGAATTTTTTCATTTCAGTACTTTTAATACTTTTATTTTTTTTAAGTTGTCTTCTTTTTGAAAAGTTATGTCCGCCATATTGTTTTCAACAAGGAATTTGCATACAAGACCTACTAATCGATTTCTTGAAGTGAAATTGCACTTTTATTGGGTAAAAACGATAATATCTTAAAATAATATTCTTTAATATTGTTTAAAGTAGTATAACACCATGTAAAATCATGTTTTCGGGACAAATCAATTTGTCCTTGGGATATTCATTTGTTCTTGCAATCCTTGGGAAATTGTGTTTCCGCCGATTTACGGGGGATATCCCCCATGAAAGGTGTTAGCCTGAATTTTGAAAATCTTTATTATATAAACTGAACACCTCAAAACAGGCATTCAAATGAGTAGGAAGCGTATTTAAGCACATATATACTCATTCAAACACTATAGTAGTAGATTAAAAATAGATATAACAATTTAAGAGGAGCATTATGTCATATTGCGCTTAAAATCCCCCATGGAGATTTTTAAAAGTTGGCAGGTATGATACATGTACATGTCATGTATGTATTGTAAAACTGATTTCACCGTTAAAAATTAACTTACATGTATAAAGATTCAAATTTATAAAATAATACATTAAAAACAAAATTTTATTGTTATTTACACAAATATAACAATTTTAGGCCACCAGACTCTGTTCATTGTTCATTTAAGTACAAATGTTTTATATGTCAGATCAAATTATGAAATAGTATTGCAAACAAGGGCAAACAGTATTGTTCACTGATGGATCCTGCTGAGGGAACCCATGACCTTTGTGGAGCAGCAGCAATAATTTAAACTAAACACTCAAATCTGCAGAAAACTGTGGATGGAAAAAAGATCCATACTACTAACAGAACTAATAGCAATTTTAATAGTCCTTGAATGCATAACTTAAACCTGTACAATGCCATAAAAATGTTTAGAATTACTCAAACAGTTAAAGTACTATGGAATTCCTCACACTTACCTGGACCCCAAACAGAATATAGAGCATCCAAAGCAAAAATCTTTCATCATGTTCATGTCTTTCCATCCCCAATTTAATTTTATTTTACGAGGGATAAAAATTATATATATTTGACTTGTAGTTCATAATTATATAAATATTAATGAATTTTATTTATAAATAAAACCAAAGGTGGACGATCAAAAATTGTGCTTTTGATGCATATTCAAGTATATAATTTTCATTAGACTTTCAGACATTTATTTCAAAGTTATAAAAAGTATTTAAATTGAGAAATGAAGTTTGATTTGCTGAATGTCATTAATCATCAATACTGTTTCCTAAAAATAATTCTCATACGTACCTTGTGCAAAATTTACACAAATTTTTCATGTGCAAATTCCGCTTACCATGAATCACATCGTCATGTGTCTCAAAACCCTCCAATTTTTATAGTTATTGTTCATTATTTTATTATGGGCCTTGATCAACTTTGTGCCGGAAAGACTTGGGTCGAATCGACTTGGGGTCTGATAGGATTGGGGCCAGAATGACTTGATACAAATGTACCAAGCAAAAAGGCTTATCAGTAATCATATCCTGGACAGCAAAACTTCCTTTTGAACCGTTCATGCATATACCATGTATACTCATGTATGTATATGCTTATTTCTTCAAAGAGGGCAGTTCAAAGGGAAATAACCAGGGCATGCCAATACAACTGGTAATTCGGGGGTTGTAACATCCTTGCAACTACAGCAGCACAGGAAGCAAAAGAGCAGCTTAAAAGACATGTTAAAGTACATTGTACTTTACGGACTTATATGAAAAGATAATATAATTCACTCAAACTTCTGTGATTTTCCAACAGAAAAAACCATTAAGATATTTGCCCAACTGAGAATGGGATATAGTGAAATCCACTAAATTACAAGAATCGGGTAGGCCAAACCAATGCTGATGAGATGTAATTGTGGAGCATCTTAAACACCTCACCACCTTATCTTGATGTGTCCCTGCTATGGAGATGAATGGAAAAATATGTTGCCTCAAATTACAAACAAGATCGAGATTCGAAACATAAATTAATTACCGCATTTAGCCATGTATAGTATGCAGTTATATATAATAGGCACCCCTTTTTCATCATAAAATATTAAAAAAAAATGGAAAAAAATAGAAAAAATGAAAAAAGTAAAAAAAGAAAATTTAAATTTAAAAAAAAAAGTAAATAAAATTATTTTTTTTTTTTTTTTTTTTATAAAGTCTAGTTCACTGTAAAAAGCCTTTAATAGGGAACAATTAAACCATGTACTTAATCTTCATTTAAGTCTATTGAAAGATAAAAATAATAAGATTCATTGTTCAATCAAATTATTTTAAAGTCACAAACAATTAAATGGTAGAGCTTTTATCATGTTATTAACATTTATTAATTTTATAAAAGTAAAGTTATTAATTAAAGATCCCTTTTGAAATCAATGTTTGTCTAAGCTTGTCCAAGCTGATGCTCTGTTCAAATATTATAAAAGTAATAATTAGAATGTTATGGAACAAAAGAAATTAGACCTCAAACATTTTGAAAGTTGATAAGCAGTAATTGAAATTTGATGACTCTTTAATCCGATATTTCTTTTTCATTGATCATGTTGATTTAGAGCACTGCCTGAGGTTATTATATTGAACACCTGTCAAAAGTTGACATGATTATTCAATTGCTACACACCCATACTTAATCCTTAATTACATTTAAGCTCACTCATGCAGGATGTCACACCAGTAATGTGTATTCAATAAAGAAGGAAAACAAACTTTTTTAAATTGCAAATAAAAAAATAAAATAAAAAACGTCTTGAGCATATACAACAATGAAGAAAAAACACTTATAGTAAAAAAGAAAAAAAAATCAAAAATAGTCAATATTGGTGTATAATATGCACCCCCTCTACCAACTTCCCTTTGGGGGTAAAAAAGTGCGTACTATACACACCTAAATACGGTACCTCTACTTACCAGACTAGATGGTGAAAATATCGTTGAGACAAAAAGAAGATTACAGATACTGGTCACTTTCATTGACAAAACTGGCAGATTTGATTCAACAGTCCTCAATCCTAATCTCTAAAACAGTACATACCTATAACATGCTCATAGGAGAAAATTACAATTTATATTTTTGTTTCAGTGTATCATTTAATGTAAAAATGCCAGGTGAGCAATACAGGCTCCTTACATTAATACTTATCTTGAGAGTCTGACTTATTCTTACCACTAAAGCTATCTCTATTATCTTGTGACTTTGTCCGTGTATTACATATTAAATATTCAGGAGGTTTACATGTCATTCTCTTAGGGCTAATACATGTAGGCTCCGTGTCGAAGGCCGTTCTTTGACCTTTAATGGTTTTACTTTTACAAATTGTGACTTTGTTGGAGAATTGTCTCATTGGCACTCATACCACATCTTCTTATATCTATAGATTTCTTTTCAGTAAAGCGTCAGATACTATGTTACCAGAGCAGTACTTTAGGAATGTTTCCCAGCATTGGTAATGATCAGAAGCCATCCAATATAGCAAGAGTCAGAGAAAGTATCTATTGTGCTGTCGCAGCTTGGGCACTATCACAAGCATACAGGTATACACCTCCATATGGTTAAAAAGTTGAAATGATGGCATGTTTAGATCTCAGAAACAAGAAATTAGATATTGAGTGAAAGGTTGAATATAAAGATAAGAAGATGTGGTATAATTGCAACGAGACAACCCTCCACCAGAGACCAAATGACATATAATGAAACTATAGGTCACTGTACGGCCTTCAAAAATGAGCAAAACCCATACTGCATAGTCGGCTATAAAAGGCCTCCTTTTCAATGTATTGTTTGAACATACAAACAAAACATTATTTTTATGCCCCCGCCCTGGCGGAGGGGGCATTAAGTTTTACCCTTGTCCGTCTGTTCGTACGTACGTCCCAAAATTGGTTTCCGTTCTCTAACTTGAGTTTGCCTCAAACAAATGTTATGAAACTTATACACAATGCTTATTACCACAAAATACAGACTCTAACTGTTCTAGAGTTATGCCCCTTTATAAATGGAAAAATTACAAAATTTTTAGTTTCCTTTCTCTAACTTAAGTTTGCCGCAACCAAATGTTATGAAACTTATACTCAATGCTTAATATCACAAAACACAGATCAAATTTGAATTTTAGTGGCGTCACTTTAACTGTTCTAGAGTTATGCCCTTTATAAATGGAAAAATTGCAAAATTTTTAGTTTCTGTTCTTTAACTTAAGTTTGTCTCAACCAAATATTATGAAACTTATACACAATGCTTATTACCACAAAATACAGATCAAGTTTGAATTTTGGTAGCGTCACTTTAACCGTTCTAGAGTTATGTCCTTTATAAATGGAAAAATTGCAAAATGTTTAGTTTCCGTTCTCTAACTTAAATTTGCCTCAACCAAATGTTATGAATCTTATACACAATGCTTATTACCACAAAATAAAGATCAAGTTTGAATTTTGGTGGGGTCACTTTAACCATTCTCGAGTTAATGCACCTTTATAAATGAAAAAAAAATGCAAAATTTTTAGTTTCTGTTCTCTAACTTAAGTTGCCTCAACCAAATGTTATGAAACTTATACACAATGCTTTTTACCACAAAACACAGATCAAGTTGAGTTTTGGTAGCGTCACTTTAATCGTTATCGAGTTATGCCCCTTTATAAATGGAAAAATTGCAAAATTTTTAGTTTCCGTTCTGTAGCTTAAGTTTGCCCCAACCAAACATTATGAAACCTTTACACAATACTTATTACCACAAAACTCAGATTAAGTACAAATTTGGGTAGCGTCACTTTTATTGTTCTTGAGTTCTGTCCCTTTATAATGTATGCAAGCGGGGGCATCATCTGTGTCCATGGGGACACATTCTCCATTTATTTTCCATTAATTACTGTGGATTCGTTATTGTGCGTTGGATACCAATTTTCATAGATTTAATGGGTATAGGGGAACCACAAATTTAAATGTTCAATGAATTACAAACTTTCTGTAGGAATGAATGCAGACTTTACATTTGTCATTTCGGGGCCTTTTATAGCTGACTATGCGGTATGAGTTTTGCTCATTGTTGAAGGCCGTACTATAGTTGTTAACTTCTATGTCATTTGGTCTCTTGTGGAGAGTTGTCTCATTGGCAATCATACCACATCTTCTTATTTTTATACGACCGCAAAAAAATTTTTGTGGTCGTATATTGGTATGACGATGGCGTCGTCGGCGTCGTCGTCGTCGTCTTCGTCCAAAGACACATTGGTTTTCGCACTCTAACTTTAGTTTAAGTGAATGGATCTTTATGAAATTTTACCACAAGGTTCAATACCACAAAAGGAAGGTTGGGATTGATTTTGGGGGTTATGGTAATAACAGTAAAGGAATTAGGGGCCAAAAAGGGGCCAAAAATAAGCATTTTTGTAACTTCCAGACATAACTTGTGTGTTAGTGTATGGATCTCTCTGACATTGTACCACAAGGTTCCATATCACTAAAGGAATGCTGGGATTGATTTTGGGGGTAATTGCCTCCAAATTTTAGGAATTAGGGGCCAAAAAAGGGGCAAAAAACAAGCATTTTTCTAGTTTCATGACAATAACTTGTGTGTAAGTGTATGGATCTTTCTGAAATTGTACTACAAGGTTCCATATCACAAAGGGAAAGCTGGGTTTGAGTTTGGGGGTAATTGCCCTAAACGTTTAGGAATTTGGGGCCAAAAAGGGGCCAAAAAACACATTTTTTTCTAGTTTCCAGACAATAACTTGTGTTCAAGTGTATGGATCTCTCTGAAATTGTACTGCAAGGTACCATACCACAAAGGGAAGGCTGGGATTGAGTTTGGGGGTGATGAATCATAATGGGGGTTCAAAAAATTTTGGGGGGGGATTTATTTTTTTTTTCCTTTTTTTTTCTTTTTTTCCTTTTTTGTTTCTTTTAAAATTTTCCATTTTAAGTTGGTTATTTCTGATTTATATTTAAAATCAAATAATAATGATATGGTAGGAGATACACACTATATAATAAGTATTGTGCAATAGCAAGAAATTTTCAATTGCACAGTATTGCACAATAGCAAGAAATCTTCAATTGCACAGTATTGCGCAATAGCAAGAAATCTTCAATTGCACAGTATTGCGCAATAGCAAGAAATATCCAATAGCACAATATTGCACAATAGCAAGAAATTGTCAATTGTACAGTATTGTGCAATAGCAAGAAATATTTAATAGCACAGGATTGTGCAAAAGAAGATACTTCCTATAAATTGCTTATTTCTTGACCAATTTCAATGGGGTTTTATTCTTGATTTCATGGGGTTCTTTAATATGCTGAATCTAACCGTGTATTTAGTTTTTGGATTTTGGGCCCCGTTTTTAAATTGGTCCACATTGAGGTCCAAAGGGTCCAAAATTAAACTTTGTTTGATTTCATCAAAAATTGAATTATTGGGGTTCTTTGATATGCCGAATCTAACTGTGTATTTAGATTCTTAAATTTTGGTTCCGTTTTCAAATTGGTCTACATTAAGGTCCAAAGGGTCCAAAATTAAACTTAGTTTGATTTTAACAAAAATTGAATTCTTAGGGTTCTTTGATATGCTGAATCTAAACATGTATTTAGATTTTTGATTATGGGCCCAGTTTTCAAGTTGGTCCAAATCGGGGTCCAAAATTAAACTTTGTTTGATTTCAACAAAAATTGAATATATGGGGTTCTTTGATATGCTGAATCTAACCATGTATTTAGATTTTTTATTTTTGGGCCCCGTTATCAACTTTGTCCACATTGAGGTCAAAAGGGTCCAAAATTAAACTTTGTTTGATTTCATCAAAAATTAAATTATTGGGGTTCTTTGATATGCTGAATCTAACCGTGTATTTAGATTCTTAATTTTTGGTTCCGTTTTCAAATTGGTCTACATTAAGGTCCAAAGGGTCCAAAATTAAACTTAGTTTGATTTTAACAAAAATTGAATTCTTAGGGTTCTTTGATATGCTGAATCTAAACATGTATTTAGATTTTTGATTATGGGCCCAGTTTTTAAGTTGGTCCAAATCGGGGTCCAAAATTAAACTTTGTTTGATTTCAACAAAAATTGAATATATGGGGTTCTTTGATATGCTGAATCTAACCATGTATTTAGATTTTTTATTTTTGGGCCCCGTTATCAACTTTGTCCACATTGAGGTCAAAAGGGTCCAAAATTAAACTTTGTTTGATTTCATCAAAAATTGATTTCATCAAAAATTGATTTCTTGGGGTTCTTTGATATGCTGAATCTAACCATGTATTTAGATTTTGAATATTGGACCATAATAGGTGAATGTCCAATTTAAAATTTTTAAGTTCTTAGACCACATTCAATCTGTGTTAGAAACCTATGCTGTGTCAAATATTTAATCACAATCCAAATCCAAAGCTGTATCAAGCTTGAATGTTGTGTCCATACTTCCCCCAACTGTTCAGGGTTCGACCTCTGCGGTCGTATCAAGCTGCGCCCTGCGGAGCATTTTATTATATTTAGCAAAACCATGAAATCAATTATCCACCAAAAGTTTTCCTCAATCCAAGAAAATTGGTACGCAGGAAAATAAATGAAACCAAAGTAGGTTTTCTTGAAACTTTTTATTTGGAGTAAATATTGTCATATTAATATAGCACTGGATTCTGACAGATTGACTTTGATTTTTATCAGATTATTTTGGGATGTTACTATAGTGCAGCAGTATTTATGTTTTTTTTACTTTACTTAAATCAGAGACACTTGATTTAAATTTGTGCGTTTGTTGTTTTTCATCAGAAATATCTACAATTGAAAAAATTGAATGCCAAATGTCAATGCATATGGTGGACCAAAATTTGGTTTTCCCACATGTTTTATTCATGTGAATCTTAAATAGATTGTTAAAGTGAACATGATCATGTAAATAATTTTGAACTTTAAACAGTTTGAAAGCAAATATTATAATGCGTCTTCAAGACATATAATATATATAGACTTAGGCATCTTTATATATACTAGTCTGTCACTCTATATATCTACCTGTCCAGATTTTGGTACTTTTAAGTCTATCTATTTTATATGAAAACATGATGATAAAACACATCTTCTTTCACCAATACAAATGCCCATTGAATTGATTTGATCTTCTATTCTTTTTATGTTCCATTTTGTTTCTCCTAACCACCTACATTTCCTTTGAGGTCATTTAAAAAAAAACAGTATATCAATAATATTTTCTAGAATCCCCTTTGAACATACATCTCTTACTTAATTCAGTAACAATCTGGTATGAATTACTGATATATTTTGTTCTTGTATGAATATAAAATACAGAGATGTGGTATGATTGCCAATAAGGCAACTATCCAACATAGTGCAGATATTAAAGATCACCTTACAGCCTTCAACAATAAACAAAACCCATATCAGATAGTTACTGGTAGCTATAAAAGGCTTTGAAATGAAATCAGTATATATTTTGCATATATTAGCCATGTATGTCCACATCTCAGAAATACATGTCAGCTCTCATAAACATAAATGTATCTGTAATTGACTGATTTTTAACTAATAAAAAAATGTTTACCATTTGAGGAAAATTGATGATGATCAAGGAAAAACTGTTGAACTTGCTCAGACAGCAGTAAAATGCATGAGAGGTATACTGTTTTGTTGGTTCAGACAAGCTGATAAGGTAACTCAATATCATAATATATTTTTTGTAAAGAATCTTACTCTTATTTTAAAAAAAAATAATGGTTTGCATAATCATGATAAAAGCAGTAAAGTAATGAAGAAAATTGTAAGTGCATATAATAAAAAAGTTTATATATATTTTATGTCTTGGATATGAAAATAAGAAGATTTGGTATGATTGCCTATGAGACAACTCGTTTGAAGGCGCCAACCCTCCCCCTAACCTGGGACAGTGGTGTAACAGTACAACATATGAGAGACCTCTAGATGTCATTTCTATCCTTTTTTGGTTAAGTTGCTGTCTTATTTCCTTTTATTCATATGTTCCTTGAGATGGCACTTGAAAATAGGTTAATTACCTGTAGAAACAATTGTAAGAAATTCAAAATCCACTCTGAATAGTTTTTGACACTTATCAGCTCAGCATTCCAATGGTCTTGTATGTACTAATGGAACAGTCCTTACTGTGACCTCAGAGAAATAATTTGAATATCAGAGAGAGTTCATGTGATTATTTTTATTGATAACATGAAATGGCACACACACAAAATTATATATGACGTAGAAAAAAGTTTTTGTTTTAAAAACTCATCAAAAGTAATTGCATTATACCTTTAGCATAAGTTTCACTTACAAAAAAATGATCAATATTTAAATATTTTTGCAAATATTGAATTTGTTTAATTCACTGCAGCTGTCTCTTTTGGTAAACATATTTTTATGTCAATTCATTATAAGGAATTTGCATATTATATTCCATTTAAGTCCTAGATTAATTTCTAAACAAAGACAAATAATTTTAATGAGGAGTATTATGAATCAGATGAAATTTCCAAATATAAGTGGGTTTTGAGAAAAATAATTTGAAAAAGATAAATGTCAAAAATTACTACAAACTATATATATGTATAAAAATACCCTGCGTAAAAAGGAAAATAACTCTTACCTTACTCTTTTAAAAAAAATGGATTGTTTATTTATGCTTTTTAATTAAAAGCCACATGTATCGTACATGACTGTGCTTGTCACAAGTCAAGAACCTTTACACTTTTACAGTGGTTGTTTTTTGTTTATATCAACATATTTTGTCATTTTGGGAAACTGGTAATGTTGGCTGATCTTTGATAATCTCAGTAATATTTATGGAAAAACCAATATCAAGTTAAGTCCTTTTATTTATAGGTAGAAAAGTTTAAATTAAATCAGAGTCCTGACTTTGCATTACATTCATCATTTGACATGGTGACAGGAGATCCAGTGTATGGAGATCAGGATTATCCTCACTTACAAGTAAGAAAAGTAGTATTTTTAGGAGGGGGAAGGTAAAGATTGCAGGAAATTCAATCAAAACCCTTATGTCACTGGCTTGATACCTATATCTTCCAAGACTCATCTCTACCCTTATGTCACTGGCTTGATACCTATATCTTCCAAGCCTCATCTCTACCCTTATGCCACTGGCTTGATACCTATATCTTCCAAGCCTCATCTCTACCCTTGTTGGTAACAAAGTGTAGTGAGGTGAACATTCATTAGATCATATCTATGCCTGTGTCAAACTATTGATAACAAATATATACTCAGATATTCAAGTTATGAAATGATGTGTATGTGTGTAACCTTCCTTGTCAAGAGAAATATTTAATTAAAAAATTATATATGTAAGTTGTGCATGGTGTGAATTTATCTGTTAATTTTTTTAAAAGTTCAAGTAACTACAATTATGGTCAAAGAAAGATAACTCTAATTAAACCTAAATGTATTCCATTGCAATACAATGTTAAGTTCATGCTGTAAAATGAAAGCCATCTTTTCCCATCAGTGCTCACAAGCACTTATAGATAGACTATTTTTATTTCAAAGTACTTTAGATAGCAGTCCAATATGTTGTTGTGTTCTAAATAGTTATTTCAAATACTGAACAAATAAAAATGAACAGATATAGTTAACGTTCTTTCTTAGATATATTTCGGTGTAATAAATTCACATATATCGGTACTCCCTGAATTATAAGAAAATAACCAGTTTGAAATGTTGCTTCACCAAATTTTTTTTTTTCAGATTGATGTGGTTGGACTATATTTGCTGTTTCTAGTGCAAATGATTGCATCTGGTTTAAAGGTAATCTTACAAATAGTGTTAGTTGTACATGACTTTAAGAATTCTTTCTTCTCATTAGCTAAAAGCATAGGGAATCTTCATTTGTAAAACATTTACTTCACCACGAGAAAAATCATGAGAGGTTGATATAAGATTTAGAACAGCTAGAATGTAATTTATCTAGGCAACATAGGTTTATGACGTCATGCAAATTCTTGTTGTTTGTCTTCTTTTTTTCAGTGTTATTTTTGTTTTTAGTAAATTCTATTGGATATTTCAACTTATAAAAGTTTGCAACTGCCAGAGAAGATGATATAAAAGTCAATGATTGTAAAGTACTTCATACATTTTGTGAAATGAGGAAAAACATCATTTTTGTAGTGTTTAAACATTAAATATAGATGTCACTATCATCAAAATGTAAATGAGGCTGTATTAAATTGACTGTTTTTTAATTTCTTATGTTTCTCTTACTGAAAAATAAAACAACATATCTGTAGACTACGTTATTATTAAAAATACAGTCAAACCTGTATTGAAAGGTCACTCTTTGGAAAAGAGAAAAGTGACTTTATAAGAGAGGTTACCTTTGAATCAGGGTTTAAAATGCATAGGTATTACTACAACAGGACAACAAGAGGTTGACCTGCCCATGACAGGTTTTCACTTAAAAGAAATGACCTTGTAAGCAGGTTTGAATGTTCATGCATTCTTACAGATTGTGTACACAACAGATGAAGTAAACTTTATACAGAACTTAGTATTTTACGTTGAGAGAGCCTACAGGACACCAGATTATGGAATGTGGGAGAGAGGAAGTAAATATTACAATGGATCTACTGAAGTCCATGCAAGGTTTGTTGTAGTGTCAGATGATGGACAATTAAAATTATTGTTTTATTTTAGATCATTCCATAATTTCAATGGGAAACAAATGATATAGTGTAATGAAATGAAGTCTTTCTCTGAATTCTTTATAATCTATAATGAAGGATTTTTTTAAAAGAAGAATTTTAAAACTTTCCTCCTGGATTTTCATGTGAACTACTGTAATAATAGAAAACAAGTATGGTGGTAAAAAGAAAGTATGGTCCCTCTTGTATTAATGATTTAAAGAGACTTACCAGTAGTTTAATATTAGACCGTATGGGAAACATTTTAATCTTATTGCAGAAATATACTTTGTTGGCGTTGTTATTTTTTTGCAAACCTAACAACTTATATGGTAGTCAACAGAGATTTAAAATTTAGAATAAAAAATTTCAAAAACTGCTGAAGCAGTTGGAATCTTAATGGAGGAATGTTAGTTGTTATGTATTGACCATGTGTTCAAAGGATTTTGTAGAGGATTTGTTTTGGTGCAGTGTTAAGTATATAGGTTTTGTTTTCTTAACGATTGGTTGTTTATACTGCTAGATATTTTTCTTATAAAGGTCTGTCTTTCTTCGATATTTGGTTTCTTATTGTCTCCCTTGGTATATTCAGGCTAATTCCTATATGGTTAATAGACCAATGGTTGTATATTTAAACTGTAATATTTAATCTTAGATTATGCTAAAGTATAGATAATAAAATTAATCAATTCTTTCACAGTTCAATTGGAATAGCCAAAGCAGCATTAGAAGCCATTAATGGTGTAAACTTGTTTGGAGATCAAGGAGCTTCATGGTCTGTGATATATGTTGATATTGATGCTCACAACAGGAACAGGACTATTTTTGAAAGTATTTTACCCAGAGAATCAAATTCTAAGGTATGAAATAAACATTCAAAGTCCAGATATTAGATTCTTTATCAGAATATTTTTTTTAGGTTTACTTCGGCATGACATGGACTTTGTCATATCTGCACACTACATTTTATTCACTTCTCTTCCTTATCCTCTAATTAGAATTTAATGAAACTTTCTTAGAACCATCAACATATAATGACATTATGCACCTCATTTTTTGTTGCTATCCTAATTATTTTTTGAATTTCCTTTTGCAGAACATAGACTTTGCTACATGTATTACTTTATCTTAGAGATGGGTGTTGTACCATTGTGTACCCACCCCTAATTAGAATTTATTGAGATGTTATCAGAATGTTTAACATATAATGTTATTATGCACCACCTTATATTTTGTTTTTTTATTACAATTTTGAGGATTCTTTAAGCATATCATTGACATTGCCATTGCTTTAGCCTTATGTGGAGATGGGGGAATCATTTTGTGAGCTTTGATCACAGTACCTCTTGTTATTTATCAGTGTGTCTTCTTTATGGGTTTTCCCTGGCAAAAACTTCACCATTTCTACAATATGATGATGTGTGTCTTCACAAATTTACTTGCAGTTTCCATCATGATTAATATGGCTTTACATTTGAATGGAATAGAACTGAACAGAATTACCTCACAACAGTTGTGCCATTTCAAAGTTTTGTGCAGATCAGAACTTTTTGTTTTTTAGATTTACTATTCTTTGTAAATGTATGTGGGTATCATATATGACTAAACAATTTTTAAAGAAACTATGTGATATCTTGGAAAGAAGAGAGAGAAAATAGATGGAAGAATTAGTCAGAGTGTTATAAAAAAATGATGGTAAAAAAGTGGAGAACATGATTGAACTCTCAGATTAAACCCATATGTCAATTTTTGTGAAAAATTCTCTCGATAAATATTGTGGCAAAAAGACAAAGTTATTATCATCTATTATTAAGTAAGTACGTTTTAAACACTGAATTATTCACAACCCTTTTTTTTTTTGCACAGTTTTTCATTCCTAAATTGGGTGTCGTCATTAACATGAATTGAACACATGGTAAAAATCATGGTCAAAGTTGTAGTCTTTATAGTGTAAAATCCAATAGAATATATAATTTATCTTTCAGAACACAGATGCATCATTATTACCAACTATTTTCTGGCCCTCCTTTGCTATACATGAAAAACATATTACAGACAGAACAGAAGATAAGGTCTTGAGAAGATTGAAAGGCAAGTTTGGAATCAAACGATTTCTGAGAGATGGATACAGAACTGTACTAGAGGATAAAACTAGATCATTTTACAGACCAGCTGAAATAAAAGTAAGTGTTTGATAATAATAATAATGCTTAAGGATTAACTGTATACCGCCATCTTGGATTGTAAAATAGCAGTTCACAATAGGTCTAGTTCTTTGCTTAAATCTACAAATTTTGAGACAGGTTGGCAATTAATGGGTTAGACTTTAATTAGAATAAAGGAAAATCAGTGATTCATTGCACTATTCAGACTGATTTATCAAATACCAAATACTTGTGTTTGTCGAATCAAATTGTCACCTGAGCTATTTAAGGGGAGATAACTCAAATAGTAAAATTTTTAAAGAGAACTTTTCAATTTTTACTTGTAGCAAGAAAACAAGTTATTTTTTTCTTTTTATTTTCTTAAAGCATATTTTAAAACCTATCTTCTCATATTTCATTTCAAAATTCTATCTCATAAATATCTTTTTATTTACAAAAAAGTGTTTTTTCATGAACGATCTATGCAAATTTGGGCATTTTTGCACGACTTGTAGCTTCAAAAATAGCACGGTGACCCCATACTTTTTTTTTTCTTTAAGAATTTTTTTACCTTCATTTCTGAAGATTCATAATGATATATAAGTAATATTTCATTTCATTTTATTTCCTTTATTCAGCACAACTTTTGTCTCGCTTTGAAGAAGTAGTAAAAAGTGAGACTTAGGCGTGCTGTTTTCCTCGTCGGCCGTGTCAACAATGTATTAGTTTGTGATTAGGTCAGTCTATGTGGAAACACTAGTGGTATGTCAATGATATTTAGTATGCAAGTGTATTATCAAGTGAGAGGTTTAGCTAGCTATAAAACCATGTTTAATCCTACATTTTCTACTTAAGGAAATGCCTGTACCAAGTCAGAAATATGACATTTGTTTTCCATTCGTTTGATGTGTTTGAGCTTTTGATTTTGCCATTTGAATTTTCCTTAAAGTTCAGTATTTTTGTTATTTTACTTTTAAGCATAGGCACATCTAATTTCCATGCAGATTTTTTGGCAGCGACCCCCTCTGAGTCATGGTCTATTGACACTTATGAATCACTGTACATTTGTTTGATAACCTGCTTTTATTTATTTGTATTTACATTTCAGACATTTGATGGTATTGAATGTGAGTGGCCCATGTTCTACATATATATTATAATTACAAGTAGGTATGAAATGTAATTATAAGTATGCAATACTTTCACATTCTCTACCACGATAAATGAATCTCTACCAACAATGTCAATGAAAATAAATCCTCACCAATTAAAGATGTATTTACAGGCCATAATTTTGTTATAAAAAATCAAACTGGTACTAGCTGTTCAAACTCTTATATAGCTCATTTATACTAGAGCCTTGAACACAATTGACCTTGGGGTCCTTTAGTGAAAAACATGTATAATAAAGAGAACTTTTTTTGAAAATAGAACTGAATGATAAGTCTGTAATGATTCCATAGCATACATTTTATTTGGGATTTTTATACAGATAAAAGAATATTTTTATTGTTGGTGCATTATGACCTTGACTTCAATACTGTCAGAATTTTTGTTCGTTTTGATCCTTTATTTTCATTTGTATTAACCTAGCAAACTTTGGCTTAATTAGTTTTAACTGCCACCACAACTGAATTCTTAGATGACCTTTTTCATGCTTAATTTAAGTATTCTGCCTTGTAATAGTCTACAAAATTATAGGACTGTTGCTCTTATAAACAGTGTGCAGAAGGGGCTGGTAGAAGCACCTTATGTTTACTTATTTTTAAGATCCTCTGATTATTGAGGGGCATTATGTTTTCTTGTCTGTGCAACTGTCTGACCATTATTCTGTTGGTCTGATTGTCCATCCCGTACCAGGTTAAAGTTTTTGGTCAAGGTAGTTTATGATAATGTTGTAGTCATATTAACTTGAAACTTAGTACACATGTACATTATGATGTGAACTTTCTAAATTATATGACAGATTACAGTTTTGACCTCAATTTTACAGTTCACCAACTTTTTGGTTAAGGTAGTTTATCAGTAAGTTGTGGTCAGATCAACTTGAAACTTATGTCAAATGTTCATTATAATGTGTTTGAACCAGATTTCACGGTTCACTGAACAAGGACAATGATATTCACAAGCAGAGCATGGTATCATTTGGACACATATTCTTGCTTTTAAATATGCATGTTACCAACTGCAAAATGTTTTTGAACTTATCCTGCAATGGTATCATTTCAAAATCTTACTTGAAAAAGTAATGAAATTTATACATGTAGGGAGATGGAAGATATATGCTGAGTTTAAATGTGTGACAGGGTCATGAGGCAATTTTTAAAAACCCCAACAAAAGATATGAATATATATAGCTTCATCATATTATGTATTGGAAGACCTTCTGTTTTGACTTGTCTCTTCTTCAGTCTGTCATTCCCTCTCAAAAGTTTTAGATTTTCCTACAGCAGATATGAACATTATTGAGGCATGAGCTCTTTGGTTAATTGTTAAAGACCTTTCAGCAACCAAAACAAATTTTATATATGAAAGTAACCATGGCCACAGAATAAGATTGAAAAAAAAAGATAAATGTGTTTAGGGTAGTCATGGAAACAAAAGAAAAACAGGAGTAAAACAGTTAAACAAGATTGAAGTTGGACAAAAAAAGATATGTTGGAGCATAGAAAGTCTAATAGAATACCATTACATACAACATATAACCAGAATTTACTAAACTTTTTGTATATTTTGAGCAATAACAACATTTTCTAGAAAAAAAATACTTTAGAAAGTATTTCCAAAAGTCCATTAAAAAAAGAAGAAAATGTTGCAGACATTTTAGTACATCACAAAAGTAGCAATTTAATAAAAAAAAAATGACAGCAGTTTAAAGGCATGAATTGCAACACAGCTCAAGTAGATGATAATATTCATCTTTGACTGTCCAATGTATTTAAATAATTGTTTGCAGAAAATGTAAGCAGAGCCATAAGTGATTTTTTTCCAAACAATAACAACCAATAAGATTTCTTATGTCTCTTCCCACATTGCATGCAAAATCATCAGCACCAATCTGTAGCAATTATGGATTATACATGCTTACAGAACAAAAATGAAAACAACACTTTATAAATTTCATGTGTCTAAAGTGCTTTTCTGGATTTACCTTCATCATGAACCCTCAAAGCTGAATATTTGAAAGCCAAGGATGTATAAGAACTGAAACAGTTGCAGAGCTGTATGACCAACACTTGATCTTGTCATTCAGTAGACTATCATAAGCTAAGACTATATAAGTCTGACTCTTCAGATACTAATGCTATGACTTAATAGCCATTGTCACTTACTTATCTATGAAGCACTGAAACATTTAAATAAAGGAAAAGGTTTCAAGGCACAAAATTGTATTCAAAATTTCAAATAAGTAAAAAGGCTTATGGTTTGAACATAAAAGCCAGTAACTGGTAAATTATTTTTTTCGTAGATTGTGATGCAAAATTATTTTTTCTTAATGTATATCAGTTGGTAATGAAATAAGTAATACTAACCTTTTAATCTTTTTATATATTTTTTTCTACATAAAAGTCATTTCACTACAAATATCCCATGTAGCAATATGCAATATGCAAGATTATTTTACCGGTAAGTCATAAAGTAAGAATATGAAATAGATCGAGTAACATATTTTTCTGTTTGCAGGTATTATTCAAGGTGATAAGAAGCGTGCAAAAAAATATCAGGAAGAACTTGAACCATTGCTCATAAAAGACAACTATCAACTAGGTAGCTACTGCTTTCTTTAGTATTATGTTTAAAATTCTTGTTTTATTTTAAAAGATAAAAAGTAAGGAGATATTGTGTAATTGTACATGTAATATGAAAAAAGGTAAAAGGAGAAAATGTGTTGTATTTGTTAAATACACAGCATACTCACTTAAAACTAAAAATAAAAAGACCTCTAAACAATATACAGTCTGCAACAAAGGACAAGTGCTTTAGATTGCCATGACTTTACACAAAGACCACAAATGATATGTCTTTAATAAATGAAATAAAAATACAATGATATAAACCAAATACAAAGATTTTTGTTGAATGAAGGCAGCCAACAAGTTAAAAAAGGCTTCATATTGTGTGGAGCAATTTAATTTTCAAAATGAATCAAAATTTTGCTTGTTCAGACATATTAATAAGAGATTGTGCTATTTTTTGACTCATTATAACTAAAGAATTTTTTTCAATTTACATTTAATGAATTTGAAAAGTATACTATATACTTCTTAATATAATTAACAATATTCATACTTATCATGCTTATGTAATTTTGTTTTCTTTGTCAAGATTTATTTGTTAATTTCACAATTTACCTATTACAACATCCAACACGACTATAGACATTATGGCTAATTAAAAAATAAATATATCTGTCAACTTATGACCTTTGCTTTAAAACCAGAATGAATACTTGACTTTTTCTGTCTTTGACTGAACAGACACTAATTACAGAATCACTTGCACATTGCCTGAAAGTATTCATTCAAATACAATACAGTTTTTTTTTAGAATTTGTTTTCTTTGTCAAGATTTATTGGTTAATTTCACAATTTACTTATTACAATATCCAACACAACTATAGACATTATGGCTAATTAAAAAATAAATATATCTGTCAACTTATGACCTTTGCTTTAAAACCAGAATGAATACTTGACTTTTTCTGTCTTTGACTGAACAGACACTAATTACAGCAGAATCACTTACACATTGCCTGAAAGTATTCATTCAAATACAATGCAGTATTTTTTTAGAATTGAAAAGATTTTCATTATAGGTTTTCTCTTGAAATAGGTGTACTGGTACCAATGTTGTACTATGTGAGGAAGGAAGATCTTGTACTCAGAAACACCACTGATTTACACAAGCATCCAAGTGCAGAAGGAAACACTGATGGTGTTTTCTTGTGGGGTCAGGCTTTATATTTCATCTCTCAGCTATTAAGTAAGTAAAATGTGTTCATTGTTATCTACTGGAATAAGGCTTTATAATTCATCTCCCAGCTATTTTAAAGTAAGTAATTGTGCTCATGTTATCTTGTAGGGTCAGGCTTTATATTTCATCTCTCAGCTATTTAAAAGTAAGTAATTGTGCTCGTGTTATCTTGTGGGGTCAGGCTTTATATTTCATCTCTCAGCTATTAAGTAAGTAATTGCCTTCATGTTATCACAATAAAACATATAAAGCAAGAATTGTAATTGAGTACCAATCTTATTATTTTATGAAATACTTTTTTCTTAACTGGCATTGGGTATAAAAACTTCTGGAAAAAGTATTATTACCCCTTCCCTGAACATTTTTAGGTCCACATATTATTGAACAGTTATCAGTCACAAGAAGTCGCATTTAAACTCTAAATTTTATGGCCCCACCACTAAGTGGTCGGGGCCATATTGTTTTACCCTTGTATGTCATTCTGTCATTCCACAACGATCAGCTATATGAAATTTTTGTCAAGCCTGCAACATTTATGTCACAAAAGTGAGACATAGTGATCCTAGATTCCGTTGGCAGCGTCAACATTTAGGTTCTGTCTCTGTGGTTAAAGTTTTTTTAGACATCAACAACTTTGTCAAACCTTCAAAACACAGATCAAGTTCGAATTTTGGTGGCGTCACTTTTACTGTTCTAGAATAATGCCCCTTTACAAATGGAAAAATTGCTGAATTTTTCATTTCCGTTCTCTTACTTAAGTTTGCTTCAGCCAAATGTTATGAAACACAATGCTTATTACCACAAAACTCAGATCAAGTTCAAATTTGGGTGGCATCACTTTTACCGTTCTTGAGTTATGTCCCTTTATAAAGTAATATGCAAGAGGGGGCATCATCTGTGTCCCATGGACACATTCTCCGTATATTTATGATTAAGAGATAATGTCTGAAGCAAACTTTTGAAAATACATTTTTTTTCATTTTCAGTATTTTCCTGGTAGATGGACTTAGTTTTTTTACAGTTAACATTTACAGACAGTCTGGGATTAACTTTTTTGACATAATAAATTTGTAAATAATCATGGATTGTTATGAAACTTGGACAGAAGCTAATCTTCAAGTCCATGAAATACCATCTAAAGAAAAGACTTTGAATTTTTTTTTTAAATTCTGTATCTTACTGACAAATGGACTCACTTTTTAAGTCAACATTACACTTTAACACTGACAGCAGCAATTGCAGGTGAGACACAGGGTTCCGCAGTACCCCCTTATGAATATTTTCTTAACGCCTTCACATATTGAGCTGATTTTTAGTATGTGAGTCTACTAAGATGAGTTACAGATCTAATTTACATTTGGTTCCGCCCCACTGATTTTTGGCAAAATTATGGGCTTTGGATTTGCATTTCTTCCAACCATTTTGATTTTTGTGAAAATTATCAACATTTCATTATCAAAATTTCCATTCCTAAAAGTCCTTCAAGCTTTTTTTTGCGAGAGGGACCATTTGTGTCATTTCTACACATCTAGTTAAACTTTAAAATCACTATATTTCAGGGATAAAAACAAATGCCCAACCAAAAATTTAACATATAAACACTCATGTCACAGAGTGTAATGTCTAATGATATTTGAAGGATGATTATGATGGTGATGAATGTCTGTTTAACATCCAGTGGCAAATTAAATGCATAGTCAGGACAAGAACATGTTAATGCAATATAGATATGAACCATGGTTTTTACTAGACCAACATGCATAGCCTGATTTATAATGTGCTAGTTTACAAGGTTACCGACGGCACAAAGACATATCACTCTACCTGGACTATAATTTTGACTCCGAGATGACCAATCTTTGCTCTTACCCCTTAATGCAGGCTCTTAGAGGAGAAGAAGTAAATACCAACTTTAAAGTCTTTGGATTGGCTCGGCCAGGAATCAAACTAACAACCTCCTACACTCGATACAAGCACGCTACCATTAGACCACACAGGCAGTTAGTGAAACATTTGAGAAAATTGTAACAATGTAAACGTCATTCAATGGTTGATTATGATTGAAGGATGATTCTGGAAAATTATTCAAATTTTTTATATAAAAAAGTGAATCCAACAGACTTACTCTTTCATTTCATTAGTATTGTTTGACATACTGTGGATTCATTATTATTCGTTGGATACCAATTTTCGTGGGTTTCGTGGTTACAGGTGAACCACGAATTCAAATATTCAACGAAATACAAATTTTCTATGGGCTTTGTATGCAGAGATTCGTAAAACCACGAAATCAAATCTCCACGAAAATGAAAGTTTTCCTCGATCCACGAAAATTGATACCCACGAAAATAAATGAATCCACAGTAACTCATAATTGTTTCTATAGCAGTATTTAGATTTATCAGATATTGTGCATGCCAAAGTTATTGAAAACCAAACAAATCAGTTGTAATTAGAAGTATATTTTTTGCATTCTCATTTTTATGCAAAAAATATTCCCCACTGCAAGTTAAACAAACAGCTATCAGCCAATCTATTTTAGTAAAACAGAATTTGTAGTAATGGAACTCTGTCCATCTCTTTGTCAATTAACACCTCTAATTCACAAGATCTCATACCCTGTAAAGGCCGTGTTATTCATAAGTTATATGTGATAGATAATCTCTGGTATCTGTATAAAATAAGGAAATGTGGTATGATTGACAATGAGCCAACTATCCACCAGAGAACAAATGACATAGATAATCATTGTAAAATTGTTGTATTTTGTGTATATGCCCCTTGAGGGCCCATGATTGGATAAAAAGATCTTGAATCTTGAATGGTATTTCACCTTAAAGCCTGTAGTACACATATACATAAAAATTTAGCACACTATACTATACTTTCTTCTCATGGCCAAACCTTTGGCATTTTGTTTGATTGCCACAGTTTTCACTAGCGATAACAAGATATAATTGGAGTTTTTTGTGTAATATTTAAATTCATTCTGTTTTAGTTAATGATTTATTAAAGCCTGGAGATCTTGATCCTATTTTACGACATTTACCAGCATCTGAAAGACCAAAGTCAATGATAAATACTAGATACTCTACATTTCAAGTAAGTCAAATATGATATTGTTGACCTTTATACTGATATCTTATTATGAGCTTTGGTTATTGCCACATACATCTGTTTGAGAAAAAAAAGTAAAATCACAAAAATACTGAACTCCCAAGGAAAATTCAAAAAGGAAAGTCCCTAATCAAATGGCAAAATCAAAAGCTCAAACACATCAAACGAATGGATAACAACTGTCATATTCCTGACTTGGTACAGGCATTTTCTTATGTAGAAAATGGTGGATTGAACCTGGTTTTATAGTTAGCTAAACCTCTCACTTGTATGACAGTTGCATCAAATTCCATTATATTGACAACGATGCATGAACAAAACAAAAAGACACAATAGGTAAAAATGTCAAAAATAGGGGTACAGCAGTCAACATTGTGTTATCATCTTAATCACTATAAAAAACAAATGTAACAAAGAAGCACAAAAAGGCATACATCAAATTTAACATCCTCATTTTGCTTTTTTATTATACGATTTTATTTATCTATGTAAAATCCACCCATAAAGTATGGAAGGTTTTAAGTACTGGCGTAGAATCGCGCATTTGACGTCACACAGGTAGATATAAAATAATTTTTGTCGTTCAAAGTATGACGGGATACATAAGTACAGAGTCACGTCAAATGGATATCACAAAAAACAGACTTAACAGTAAAAGTAATACTTCAAGACCATCGTGTATTATTTGTGAAGTTGATACGGAATATTTATCAACAAGGTCTTGGCACCTTCCGATGAACTTTTTTAGAACAAGGAGGAGACGTTCTTTGACATACCCCTGGTTCATCAACTTTTTGCTCAGACACTGATAACATTTTACAAAGGTTGAGTAGGAGCTGCAAGCTCTCGAATACCGAATAAGTTGGGAAATGTATATCCCATATGCAGGTGAAATTGGTATATTGCTACTAAGGTGGGGGAAATTGATACTTCCAAAATTAAAATCGTCTCGTTTGTCATAGATTCTGGTACTGAGATGACTGTGTATGTCAAATTCGAGGTATAAGTCTTAAAATGAAGAGGAGGAGCCGTGTCTATTGTTTCTTTAATTTCTAGTTCTGGGGGATATATTAATTGAACCCAATCAAAAAAGTTCGGATTGTTAATGGAAAGAACATCATCAATATATCTGAAAGTGAAATTTAATAACCTGGCTTCTTTGATCTTCTTGTTTTTGACAAGTGTCTGAAGGAACTCCGATTCATATGAAAATAAGAAGAGGTCGGCAAGGAGACGCGCACAGTTCGTTCCCATAGGAATGCCGACAATTTGTTGAAAAAGTCTACCTCCAAATTCAACAAATATGTTGTCAATAAGAAACTCCAGCATACTGATCACTTGTTCCTCTGTGTAGCATTTTTTACCCTTTTGTTCACTACATTGTATTTACAAAATATGCCTTATGGTATCCCAAAGTAATAAATTTTTAGCGTATGCTACCATTTTTATGTTGAAAAGCGTTGTGGATATTTCTTTTAGACACATTTTTCAATTTCACATGGGGAATGGTGGTATACAAGGTTGAAAAATCAAAAGTTTTGATAGAACTGATTTCAGAAAAAAACCGAGATTTAAAATTATTCAGAAGTTCTTTAGAGTTTTTAAGAATCCACATATGGTTAATACCACTACGTGAGTAAACAGTTTCACAGTATTTCTGAAGACCCTCTTTCACTGCGTACAGAATTTTAGTCAATCTAATGGACAATTCTTTAGTGGAACATGCAGATGAGCGGGCAATGTACCGTTGTTTGTACGGAATTTTGTGAAGTTTAGGTATCCAATACAAACAAAGGAAGTCCTCTGATTTGTTGTTCAATGCAATGTTTCGCCAAAATCTCATCCTTGTCAAATGATATGTTTTTGTATGTGGGATTACCTGAGTGCTCATTTATTCCCAATTCTTTTATATGACACTCGTAGTAATACGATTTACAAACAAAGACAATATTATTTGAAGCTTTGTCCGCAGGAACAACAACATACTTATCATGAAGAGATGATAGACATTTCACAGCCTCTTTGTCTCTGAAAACCGACTTTGGTTGATCATTCACACAGTTTTTCAACTTATGAATGCGACGTTTTATCAGAGACCTGATTGTTTTGACCCGTCCAGTTCAACTTCTTCTCGTTTAGCCCATGCTCTGGCATAGTCCTCAATGGAATCCATAATTATTTTGAAGTTATGGTTCCAATTGATGTGTTGGGGTTCTCTAAACTTAGGACCATGAGAAAGCATGTGTTTTTGGAAAATATGAAAAAAATTGTTTGCTGTTGTTTACACAATATGCAATATTTAAAAGAAAAAACAGCTTTGTTTTTGTCTCAAGAGTTAAAAAAAAAGATATCCAGCAAGGTATAAAGAAACCTTCAAACCAATCATGTTTAGCTCATCTAGCTGGATCAGTGATCAAGGTTAAAGTAACATAATTTGGTCCGTTTCTCAGACACTATCAGCATTAGGTCAACTATTATGTAGTGTATGGAATGATTGTAAAGGGTGCATGTCAGTCTATCAGGTTTCATCTGACCTTAACCTCATTTTCATGGTTCATTGGTAAATGTTAAGTGTTTGTGTTTTGGTCTGTTTTTCAAATAGTAAAGGCAGTAGGTCAACTATATTTGGTGTATGGAATGATTGTAAGGTGTACATGTCTGTCTAGAAGGTATAAATTTAACCTCATTTTCATTGTTCATTGGTCAATTCTTAAGTTTTTGTGTTTTGGACTATAAGCAATTGGTCAACTATATTTGGTGTATGGAATGATTGTAAGGTGTACATGCATATATGTCTGTCAGACAGGATTTATCTGACCATGACCTCATTGTCATGGATATTTAAAAATGATATGTTTATGTGATACTTGTAGTAACATCTTTATTTTTTAGACTTCAAACATAAAATCAATGGTCAGTAAAGCAGGCGAGACATTTCAGTGTGTGCACTCTTGTTATATAAAAAGAAATGTTGACTCTCATGAACAGGACATTTTTGTTTTGAAATCTAAATTGGAATAGAATTAGTAACTATTTTAAAAGATACCTAAGACTGTTATTTTTCAATTAAGTTACTTTTAAATCAAAATACTGCTTGTTAGATTAGAGAATTTATATGAATGCTTTCAAGCTGAAAGAAAGAACAATTGTTGCCTTGAAACAGTCATGTTCTGAGCAAGATACATAATTAGGCTGAATCAGCATATATATTGATATACATAAGAGTCTCAAGAAAAAAAAAACCAACCAGCAACCTGAGGCATTGGATAGCCGGGAAATGACAATGGTACACAAGAAAAATGTATAATATGAACATAAAGGTGTATGCAACATTACAACTAAGAGATAATTATAAAAAAGATTAAATTTTGTGGTTAAGAAAGACAAATTTTGTAAGTACTACAAACAACCTTCCTCCATGTCAGTTTTTGTTCAGTATCAAACACTTTTCACTTTTCAGGTCACTCCCCCTGATTTAGTCACACAGGTTGTGTTGATAGCAGAAAGTGCACGTCTGCAGCAGTTACTTGCAACCTATGGTATACAGACACAGACTCCTCACCAAGTAGAGCCTATACAGATCTGGTCTCCTAAAGAGTTATCTAAAGCTTATGAATATTTAGGGATCAATAAGAAATTAAAGTTGACAGGAAGGCCAAAAAGACCATTTGGTGTTCTCAGTACTTCCAAGGTAATAATTTGGTGTATATATTTGTTAAAGCCTCAATTATTTTTTATGCTCCACCTAACATATAAGAAAGGCATTATGTTTTCCGTCTGTGCATTCATACGTTCATTAGTCTGTTTTGTTTTTAGGTAGGTAAAATTTTGGCTAAAACTAGTGTGATCACATCAACTTGAAACTTAATGTTCATTATGAATTTGACTTTATATATGTGAAATGTAGTAAATAAACAACTCAAAAGATTTTTTTTTTAATTTAGCCTATTAATAGTGCTTGAAAAAAATACACCAGAAATTGAATTGAATATTGAGGGTAACCAGTTTTTGAGCTGTTTTTTTTTAACTTCTAGCATGATGTTAAAAAAAAAGAACATATAGGGGAAATCATAAAATTCTTGTTTTCAAGCTATATCCTTTTTTCCATAGAAATCATATGTCATAACAGATGGGAAGAACAATTTTTACAAGACTAGGCTTAAGGAAAACATTTCTTCAATTCTTCCAGCCAACCAGTCATCTACTCCTTGGCTTGTCTATAAAAATGGTGTCATGATATGATTCACAGGAATGAGCATAATTAAGATTTCTGATAGGAGTTATTCCTTTGCAGTTTTGACACAGCACAAGCATATTTTTAGTTTAATAAACTCCCTGAAGTCATTTCTTGCATGTCCATACTTTTTTGACCGGATTTTCGAAGGAAATATTGGTTATTAAATTGGGGATGTACGGCGGGCGGCTGCCAAACAGTGTCTCCACCATAACATGAAAACGCTTTAACAATTTTTTTTCAAATTTAAATATGTTGTTTCCTGGGACTTAATGAAGGTCTAGTTCAATTTTCAAGATTTTATATTTCTCCTTTTTGAGTTATTGCCATTTTTAATATCCAAAATTGGTATTTTAAAATTTTTTCTCTCTTGTCATCATATTATGACTAAGGTAAAGCATATGGTAAAAGTCTTATCTCACAATTATAATTGGAGTGACAGATTTATTTGAAAATTTTCTGTTTCCTGATAAGATCTGTAGGACTGTATATATAAAGTTTGAAATTTACTAGTAGGACTGTATAAATGAAGGTTGAAATTTACTGTTCATTATTAGACACTTTGAAGATAATTGCAGATAAGTTTTATAGGTTTTTAAGAGATAGACATTTTGAAGTTAATTACATTACTAATAATTATATACCTAATGTTAGAGTACTTTGTTAAAAGGTTAAACCATAGTTCTGTTCAAGGGGAAATGACCTTTCAATTTGCAAGCATGATTCATTAGATAATCTATTATTTATAAGTTAAAAAGTTAAAATTAAGATAAGATAAGTTGCAGATCTATATTAGTATGTTACAGATGAAAGAAAAAATATTGGGAACTATCAACTATATATATAAAGTTTGATTTTGATTTATACACTAAGTGATAAGATAACAGTCACATCTGGTAATTTTCAATGCAATCACCCAATTATAATTGGAGTGACAGATTTATTAGAAAACTATTATTTATATTTGATTATAATTCAAAAATAAATATAACATCATATCTCTTTACATCATATCTAATTTTAGAGTCTATGGTTAAATCATATTAACATGATTAGTTCATGGAAATAAAGTTTAAGTTATTTCCATTTAAACAGAAATGGTTTAACTAAGAAGTATTTCATCAAAAATTGAGTTCTTGAGGTTCTTTGATATGCTGATTCTAGCAATGTACTTAGCATTTGGATATTGGACCATAATAGGTAAATGTTCAATTTCAAATTTTTCAGTTCTTTGACCACATTTATTTTGTGTCACAAACCCATGCTGTATTAAATATTCAATCACAATCCAAATCCAGAGCTTTAATGTTGTGTCCATACTTGCTCAACTGTTCAGGATTTGACCTCTGCAGGAAAATCTGGTTTGCTGTCACTCTGACAGCCTCTTGTTCATTTCCTGGAGTAAGGAAATAAGCTTGCATATTGACCCACATTTTGATCTCCAATACCAGTAGTGATGTTTATACAATGTTTATATTTCAAGTAATTATACCCCACGCAACATGTTGCGGAGGGTATAATGTTTTTGACCCGTCTGTCCGTCCGTCCGTTTGTCTGTCCGTCCGTCCGTCAGTTGTGTTTCTTGTCATCGCAACTCCTCTCAAACCACACAACAGAATTTCACGAAACCTTTTTAGATAATAAGGACATACTATGTAGTTGTGCATATCGACAGGAAATTACGATTCAATTCTTTTTCTAGGAGTTACGCCCCTTTGAACTTATTTACTTTAATGTACTACTGCAACAGTTTGTCATCGCAACTCCTCTCAAACCACAAAACAGAATTTTATGAAACCTTTTCAGATAATAAGGAAATACTACGTACATGTGCATGTCGACAGGAAATAACAATTCAATTTTTTTTCCAGGAGTTACGCCCCTTTGAACTTATTTGCCCAATATACTACTGCAACCTTTTGTCATCGCAACTCCTCTTAAACCACACAACAGAATTTCATGAAACCTTTTCAGATAATAAGGACATACTACGTAGATGTGCATATCGACAGGAAATTACAATTCAATTTTTTTTCCAGGAGTTACGCCCCTTTGAACTTATTTGCCCAATATACTACTGCAACCTTTTGTCATCACAACTCCTCTCAAACCACACAACAGAATTTAATGAAACTGTGTAGATAATAAGGACATACTATGTAGATGTGCATATTGACAGGAAATTATGATTCAATTTTTTTTTCTGATACAATTTTTTTTTCTTACACTTATTTATTTCTCCAATGACAATGTTGGGACGTGGGGTATGTGAGTGCGCTCACTAAGGTTCTTTTTATTTAAAATGTAATTTGGTATGTGCCTCCATAAAGGTTTAAAAGCATACATGACAATTTGTAATATAGGTTCAGGTTGATGATGTGTTCAACATACGGCTTGCATGAGAATAAATATTAAGTTCGTCTTTTTTTAAACCAAAAGGCATTCCAAAATTATTTAAACAATGCATATTCAAGACTGATGTAGATGATTTTTTAGGGAAAATAAGCAAAAATGTACAAGTAGCAGTCATAGAAATAAGTAAATGTGAAATAGTGTACTAAATTCAAAAGAAAATACTTTTAAATTTTTTTAATAAAATTATAATAAGTTTAAATATCATAGAATTGTTAGAATCACCCCCAGTGTTTGGTGGGGTTCATGTTGCTTAGTCTTTGGTTTTCTATGTTGTGTTTTATGTACTGTGGTTTGTCTGTTTGTCTTTTTCTTTTTTGGCCTTGACTTTGTCAGTATATTTTTCGGCTTATGAGTTTGAATGTTCCTTTTGGTGTCCTTCACCTCTCTTTTAGAAAATTATAATACTGTTTTTCATTCATCAAAATTTAGTAGACATGTAAAATCATTTTTATTGTTTGATTCATATTGAAGCAGCATGGTAAATCAAAGTCAAACCTTTAAATTGGCTGTTCCTGGGTCAACCTTCATGCAGCATGGTAAATCAAATCCAAATTTTCAAATTGGCTGTTCCTGGGTCAACCTTCATGCAGCATGATAAATCAAATCCAAACCTTCAAATTGGCTGTTCCTGGGTCAACCTTCATGCAGCATGGTAAATCAAATCCAAACCTTCAAATTGGTTGTTCCTGGGTCAACCTTCATGCAGCATGGTAAATCAAAATCCAAACTTTCAAATTGGCTGTTCCTGGGTCAACCTTCATGCAGCATTGTAAATCAAATCCAAACCTTCAAATTGGCTGTTCCTGGGTCAACCTTCATGCAGCATGATAAATCAAATCCAAACCTTCAAATTGGTTGTTCCTGGGTCAACCTTAATGCAGCATTGTAAATCAAATCCAAACCTTCAAATTGGCTGTTCCTGGGTCAACTTTCATGATGTATGTAAAATTAAAAATTGAAAATATGTAATAAACATTTTGAATCACCTTACTTTTGATACATATATTACAGATATACAGAGTCTGCGGTCAAACGGTTCTATGTTATCCATTGTTGTTTGAAGTCAGTGATTTTTACCTAGCACAAGATATGTCAGTAGTGTTAGATGATTTAAAGGTATGTTATCTTGTTAAATATATTCTCTAATGGTTGTCGTCTGCTATCTATTTCTCTCATGAAGAGATATTTTTCATATCATACTGCACAGAGTCTGATATAAAAAAGTGATAGGCAAAATGCGTTAATTTGATTGCATCGTGAAACAATATTTGCAGCATATCAATTGGCTTTATGTTAGGTCATTGATGACTTTTAAAGGTCAAATTAATGTAAATTTCCTCCATGGCAAAGGAGATGTGTAATTTCTTCATAATATGCAAAACACTTATGCGTTAAAATTTTATTTTTATAAAATTTTATTACCCTCTGAAGCATACAAAAAGTTATAAAGTGTCTGATGTTGAAGTTTAACGCTGGAAAAAAAAAAGAAGTAAAATAATAAAAATACGGCAAAACACAGATCAAGTTCGAAATTGTGTGGCGTCACTTTTACCGTTCATGAGTTAAGCCCCTTTATAAACATGGAAAATGCTGAATTTTTTCGTTTCTTGTCTCTAACTTTAGTTCACCTCAACCAAATGTTTTAAAACTTACATGCTGTTTCACTGTGCTTATTACCACAAAACACAGATCAAGTTCGAAATTGGGTGGCGTCACTTTTACCGTTCAGGAGTTATGCCTCTTTATAAACATAAAAATTGTTGAATTTTTCGTTTCCTCAATCAAATTTTATAAAACTCATACACAATGCTTATTACCACAAAACACAGATCAAGATTGAAATTGGGTGGCGTCACTTTTACAGTTTTTGTCGAGCCTGCGACTTTTGTCGCAGAAAGCTCGACATAGGGATAGCGATCCGGCGGCGGCGGCGGCGGCGGCGGCGTTAGCTAACTTCTTAAAAGCTTTATATTTTAGAAGATGGAAGACCTGGATGCTTCATACTTTGTATATGGATGCCTCATGTTACGAAGTTTCCGTCAGTCACATGTCCAATGTCCTTGACCTCATTTTCATGGTTCAGTGACTACTTGAAAAAAAAGTTCAGATTTTTTGTAATGTTAAATTCTCTCTTATTATAAGTAATAGGATAACTATATTTGGTATGTGCATACCTTGCAAGGTCCTCATGCCCGTCAGACAGTTTTCACTTGACCTCGACCTCATTTCATGGATCAGTGAACAAGGTTAAGTTTTCGTGGTCAAGTCCATATCTCAGATACTATAAGCAATAGGTCTAGTATATTCGGTGTATGGAAGGACTGTAAGGTGTACATGTCCAACTGGCAGGTGTCATCTGACCTTGACCTCATTTTCATGGTTCAGTGGTTATAGTTAAGTTTTTGTGTTTTGGTCTGTTTTTCTTATACTGTATGCAATAGGTCTACTATATTTGGTGTATGGAATGATTGTAAGGTGTACATGTCTAGCTGGCAGGTGTCATCTGACCTTGACCTCATTTTCATGGTTCAGTGGTCAAAGTTAAGTTTTTGAGTTTTGGTCTTTTTTTCTAATACTATATGCAATAGTTCAACTATATTTGGTGTATGGAAATATTTTATGATCTATATGTCAGTCACGCAGGTTTTATTTGACCTTGACCTCATTTTCAAGGTTCATTGCTCAGTGTTAAGTTTTTGTGTTTTCGTCTGTTTTTCTTAAACTATAAGCAATAGGTCAACTATATTTGTTGTATGGAAGAATTGTTAGCTGTACATGCCTGCCTAGCATGGTTCATCTGACCTTGACCTCATTTTCATGGTTCATTGGTCAATGTTTAGTTTACTTGGTTAATGTTAAGTTTATGTGACAGTTGTAATAAAGCTTTATATTTAGGACTATCAACATAATATCAATGATTAGTAAAGAAGGCGAGACATTTCAGCATGTGCACTCTTGTTGAGTTATGCCCCTTTATAAATGGAAAAATTGCTTTAGTTTGCCTCAACCAAATGTTATGAAACTTATACACAATGCCTATAATCATAAAACTGTCTTAACTACGTAAATCCTACATCTGCATGTGGAAGTTGACTCATGCATATTTACAAGCAGGGGACTCTGTGGTCCATAGACACATTCTCCATTTATTTATAAATGATTTATTGATTACAGGAATTTTTGAATATGCAAAGACATACCGGTAATTGCTTATTTAAATTATAGTTAACCTTTTGATTATCAATATTTTAAACTTCATAAAATGCTTGAAAAAAATTTATGTTTCAAGAATGCTAGGATGCTTTTTTTCTCTTATCAGAATTGTTTGTTGAACTAAGATATGATAAAATATAGATAACCAACCAATTTACTTTGATTATAACAATTTCTATCTTAATAGATGGTAAGAGAAGATGTTGTACATATGTTGTCATGGTAATCGTCATTACCCATATCTCTATATGTTATACATAATCATGGTAATTGTCATTACCCATATCTGCATATGTTATACACAATCATTGAAGCAAGACAACTCGCCCCACTGCCAAATAGCCCCATTTTTCCACCAATTTGCCCCACTTATGAAAAAGGGTAAAATCTCGATAAATTTAATCCTGCCGACTCGCCCCCACCTATGGAAAGTAGTGTAATCTACACAGCAGTACATTCACTACATTGCCGGCAGCATCTCTGCAACTAGACTCTTAAGTCAGTGTGGTCATGTCAACGGTCCAGTCGTGGAAGCCGAAAGCTACTGAATTGTTTTAAGTGAGACTCAGTGACAATGTAGTATGCCATCTTTGTGTATTTATGTTCTTGTATCTAGTGCTGACATTTCATCTAGTACTGCATTTTGTGTAATCACTCCAGTTTAAAAATAAGAGATGTGGTATGATTGTCAATGAGATAACTATCCACCAAAGTTCAAATGAAGTGGATGTAAGCAATTATAGGCAACAGTACGGCCTTCAACAATGAGAAAAGTCCATACTGTATAGTCGGCTACAACTTGAAAGAGCCTAACATGAAAAATATGAAACAATTCAATTAAGAAAACTAACGTCCTAATAAATAACAAAACAATTTACGAAAAGCAAATATGTCAGACATGACCCAACGACTACCACTGAACTACAGGCTCCTGACTTAGGACAGGCACATATAGAATTGCTTGTTGATTTATTGGATGTTTGTTTTAAATGTTATTGTTATGCATACTTAGGATTTAATTATTTTTTTCATAAGTTGAGCGAGTTGGCAGACCTTTATTCATCAGTGTTAAACTTCTTTTCAATAGTTGGGCATTGGTAGGCCTAAAATTATCAGGATTAAACTTCATTTTATAAGTTGGCAATTTTGGTAGGTCCAAATTAAACTGGATTAAACTATTTTTCATATGTGGGGCGAGTTGGTTAACATGAATGGGGCGGTTTAGTAGAAAGTGGGGCAAGTTTGTAAACAGTGAGGGCAAATTTGTCTTGGGCAACTTAGCAATGGGGCGAGTTGTCATGGATTCATCATAGTAATCGTCATAACACATATTATCTGCATGTGCTGTTGCAAACAGTTGTCTCCTTTCGTAGCCATTGAATGACTCCTTAAGGAGTTATTGCCTGTAAATGATAATGTTTTAATATTTTTTTTTTTTTTGCCTATTATTTCAACTTTTGACAGGTGTGTGATTCAGACATTTAGGAGTCTCTAGTTAAATAGATAAGATCTTTGGTTGAATGATACCTTTTGTTTGATTCAGAATTGCAGTGTATATTTAGATTTTGAATTACATTTTATTTTTCAGAATGATTTAGCATTTTTGTCCAGTTGTTGGAAGTTAGCTGGAAGGCCAACATTTTGTATGTTAATTAGAGAGAATAACATAAGGTAGGGGCTGAGTCTAAATAAATTGTAAATAAATTCAGTAGAGACTATCAGAGATATGCCATCAACCAAGATTCTTTCAAGAACAAAAGCAATTGATACACACAGACCCACTTACAAGATTCTTGACTTGGGACTGACAAATTAACGTGGCAATGTTTTATAATGTGTAGTAACATATAAAGAAATATGTTTGTAGCAACTGTAATTTTTAGGAAGAAATGATTAAAGATAATGCTGTGAAAAGTACTTAGAAAATATGTTGTAATATGGAGTAATGAAGGGTAGGGACATGAATGATTCTGAAACCCAAATATAATTATACTTTTCCACAAACATATTAAATGTAATTTCAGTTACATAAAATGGTATAAAACAGTAGCATAGCAATGAAAATACATGAAAGTAGTAAACCTCTCAAAAAACTTATTTTTTCCTTTACAATTCATTCATATATATAGTTTTTCAGCATAAATTGAAGATACTCTCTGCTTTTTAACATTTGTGTTACTTTAACAATTGAATATGATAACAAAAAGATAATGGGGTGTCATTCATATTTAATTTTGAACACAAAATGTATGCACTGGTATATCTATTAAATATACTTAAGTTTTATCAGCAGTTTTAATTGGACTCTTATGTTAACCCCAAAGTACAACAATTACAAAAAATTGCAATCAATATTTTAAAAAATGATGAGCTTCAATATATAGTCTTTTAATTAGTGTCCTTCTACAGTGAGACCTGTCTAAACAGAACCTTGACTATACAAGTAACCTGTCTAAAACAAACTTGTTTTTAAGTCCCTTTATACAAAAATCAATATATTTTGAACCTGTATAAACAGAACACCTGTTTAAACTGAACAAATTCTTCAGTCATTAGGGTTTTGGTTTAAACAGCTTTTACTATATTAGTTAAAATGTAAATAGGGCTGTATATTGATGATGATGTTTATAAGTCTCCTACCGACGAAGTCGAAGGGGACTTTAGGTTTGCACTCCGTCTGTCCATCTGTCCGTCTGTCCATCCGTCAGTCCGGCAAATCAGCTTTCCACACTTTTTTTCTTCGTTCTTGAAGATGTTGATTTGATATTTGGTATATGGTTTTATCATGACAAGTTATAGATATAGTTCGAATTTTGTTCCAGTCTGATGATTTAGTCAAGAGTTATGGATCATAACTCTGGACCATATCTAATGTTAGAGTACTATGTTAAACCATATTTCTGTACAAAGGGAGATAACTCATTTTTTAAAAGACATTCTTTGTTAAATTATTTGAAGAATTTTTTGGCAGGTTTGTTTGTTATTTAGTTTAAGCTAATTTTCTGAATGCTATAGATATAAAAAAAAATTATGAAGAGAAATCCTTTAACTAGATAATAATCTATTTTTATTAATGTATATATTTCAATACATTACATTGTGTAGATAAAAGTTGTTGACATTTAATAGATAAGTTACAAATCTATATTTGTTTGTGACAAATGAAAGAAAAAATATTTGGAACTATTAATTATTTTTGATTATAATTTGAAAATAGATATACACTGTATTACATCATATCTAATTTTAGAGAACTATTAATCATATCTAATGTTTTTTTCACTCATATAATCAGTTTTCCACACTGTTTTTAGTCATGCTTGAAGATATTGACATGATATTTACTTTTTGTTTACACCATGACAAGTTAAAGAACAAGTTAGCATTTTGTTCCAGTAAAATGAATTTTTACCCAGTAGGGGACTATGTATTGCCATGCAATACTCTCAGAATGCTTGTATTTTTCTATTGTAGAGGTCCAAACTTCTCAGAATTTTTAGACTTATTATCCATGTTTAAAAGAGGTGATGTGGATGGTGTGAGGGTCAGAGTAGGGAAGCTACAGGTAATGATAAGGTAGTAAAACTGATTAGTGTAGTACCCAGTAATGGAAAAAAAAAGTGTTATACCAATGGATAAAGAGATCCATTGTAATTACACTCTGTGGATATCATTTTGCATGAAGTAGCTGTGAGTAACTGTAAAATCTGGATGTCCTCTAAAGCTATATTGCGGAAACTAGAGGGGAAAAAAATCTACCGGAATGCATATATAAATTGGTATAATATATTGTAGAGAAAACACCTTTACATATGAACATTCTTTTCTATGACTGATTTGCAGTGATTTTTATTACTCTCCCTAAAAACAAAGTTAGGAGGATATTTAGAAATCAGCCTGTCTTGAATGTCCAAAGTAACATTTGAGTCATGTGTCCAATTCAAATTAATTCTTTATTTAATAACAGAGTATGATGTGTCACCTCTTTATTCTCTTTAACTGTGGATTCATTTATTTTTGTTGGTACCAATTTTCTTGGATTGAGAATAGCATGTATTTTCATTGATATTTTCATAGATATTTTATTTCATTGTTTTGCCAAAGTCTGCATACAAGCCTATTGAAAAACTGTACTTCTTTGAACATTTGAATTCACTTTTATCAATGAAATCCATGAAAAAATTGGCATACCACGAATAATAATGAATCCACAGTATTATCCATTGAGTGTTTGAAGAACTATACTATTAATTAAAAAAAGGTTTGATACTATTCAGTATGCACTTAACTTTGTGGACCCAACTCCTCATCCATCAGATGTTTATGAAACTTTGTATGTTGTAATATCTTAACATGAAGATTGACATGTTAGTAGGGCATCCCTGTCTGTTGACAAAAGTCTAGATATATGCCCCTTGTAACTTAGAATTTTATGTTACTATTCAGTATGGACTATGTGGGTGCAACTCCTCCTACAAGCTTGATCAGATGTTCATAAATCTTTGTACATTGTAAGATCCAAACATGAAGATAATATTTCCTGAGTACTGGTTATGCACCTTTGAACTTTGAAATTTTAAAACTATACAATATGGAAACTTATAAATTTGTTATCAGAACTTAGATCTCTTTGTTATTTTCTATATAGCCAAAAACATGGTCAAAAAGTTGAGTTTGATATGTTTCTTATTGATTAATGAATTTTAAAAGAAATCTACATCAACATATTATCGAGTGGTTGTCACTTGATTGTTGGTTTCGTGGTTTAGTTTGTCAAAAATGCTGCAGTAGCTGTGGGATTTTCAAGACTGTCTGTTAAATTACCGGCTTCCAGGATATTTAATTCACTAAATATGCCTTTTCATAAGTCGGCCAAGAGTATGTTAGTAGACCTAAATTTTCTTGCAAGGTTTTTTCGAATTTCTAAACCGCTTATGTATATTTCAATGTTATCATAAAATTGTCGGACGCTGCAAAGTGTGTATCTAGGCCACGGAATATCAATTAGTGCCTGCATATATCTTTGTGAAATTTTATGTTGCTGACCATATCTTTCTTGTAATAGGGAAATTGCCTTTTCATAGTTTGCATTAGTGAGCACAAAACCCGTCACTGATTTCAGAGCTTCATCCTGAAGTAACTATTTTAAATAGTTGAATTTTTGGACATTGCTTAAGGTTGGGTTTGCATGTACAGCTGTCTCAAAATCACTGCCATTGAAGTATATCTCCATCAAAAAAAGGGAGATTCAACTTGGGTAGTTTGTTGTATTCACTTGTTGAGCTAAAATATGGGCGGAAATCTGACAAATGGTAGTTTGAGTTGTTCTGATATTCTATATTAGAAGACTGTACTGTATGAACGGGGTGTGTAGTTTCTAAGTGTAGAGTAAAACTTTCTGCATGTGTATTTAAAGATGTAGTTTTTACCAAGATAAGTGTGTTCACTTGAGGAATTTTACCCTATAAGTTAAAAGCATACTCATCTGCCTCAACGATCTCCGTTTCAATATCTTAGTCAACCAGTTCCTGTACTATCTCCTTATCTAATTTGCATAAAAGTTCCTGCTTCCGTTTCAGACTATCCAATATGTTTGACAAATCCTCCATGTCCATGCTTTCATTTTCTTCCTGTTGAATGTCTTCAAATTTCTTTAGCAGTCTGGAAACTGCACTTTTGTTACCTGCTCGTATCAAACGCAGCTTCAGATTCATCCTGGTCTAGTCATCAATATAGTAGAGTGGTTGTATCGGACACAAATTAAGGCTGAGTAATAAGAACAAATATATTTCTACCCCAAAAAGTACTAGGACCTATTGTTTACTTGTTTTTGAATTCACCAAAGATTAAATAGTATCCTTGATAATTCAACCAAAATATAATTCTTCCTTTGTTGTTGTCTGACGGCAGAACTTATTTTTTTTCAAAAATGCTGCAGTAGCTGTGGGATTTTCAAGACTGTCTGTTAAATTACCGGCTTCCAGGATATTTAATTCACTAAATATGCCTTTTCGTAAGTCGGCCAAGAGTATGTTAGTAGACCCAAATTTTCTTGCAAGGTTTTTTCGAATTTCTAAACCGCTTATGTATATTTCAATGTTATCATGAAATTGCAGGACGCTGCAAAGTGTGTATCTAGGCCACGGAATATCAATTTAGTGCCTGCATATATCTTTGTGAAATTTTATGTTGCTGACCATATCTTTCTTGTAATAGGGAAATTGCCTTTTCATAGTTCGCATTAGTGAGCACAAAACCCTTCACTGATTCAGAGCTTCATCGTGAAGTAACTATTTTAAATAGTTGAATTTTTGGACATTGCTTAAGGTTGGGTTTACATGTACAGCTGTCTCAAAATCACTGCCATTGAAGTATATCTCCATCAAAAAAAGGGAGATTCAACTTGGGTAGTTTGTTGTATTCACTTGTTGAGCTAAAATATGGGCGGAAATCTGACAAACGGTAGTTTGGGTTGTTCTGATATTCTATATTAGAAGACTGTACTGTATGAACGGGGTGTGTAGTTTCTAAGTGTAGAGTAAAACTTTCTGCATGTGTATTTAAAGATGTAGTTTTTACCAAGATAAGTGTGTTCACTTGAGGAATTTTACCCTATAAGTTAAAAGCATACTCATCTGCTTCAACGATTTCCGTTTCGATATCATCGTCAACCAGTTCCTGCACTATCTCCTTATCTAATTTGCATAAAAGTTCCTGCTTCCGTTTCAGACTATCCAATATGTTTGACAAATCCTCCATGTCCATGCTTTCATTTTCTTCCTGTTGAATGTCTTCAAATTTCTTTAGCAGTCTGGAAACTGCACTTTTGTTACTTGCTCGTATCAAACGCAGCTTCAGATTCATCCTGGTCTAGGCATCAATATGGTAGAGTGGTTGTATCGGACACAAATTAAGGCTGAGTAATAAGAACGTCTGCTTGCAATGATACTTGTATTGGAACTCTGAAGTAGGTAACGTCACAACAAGGGTGAAGTCGTATACATAGAGAGTGGTAGTATGAACATCTCATTCTAGTATATATGTAATCCGGATTACATATCTATCAGTGCTGTAAAAATATATTCAATAAAATTGGATGTTAGTATCCATATGTCATTGGTTTGGTAGGGGTCAGTCATTGACATACATCCCACATCCCTTTGTAATCATACCACATCCCTTATTTTTATATGTTCTTTAATGAGAGACAAGTGTCTATACCAATTGTCTAGATCTTAATTGCTCCGGTCTAGACTACAGTTATAAATGAATTCAACAGATAACATCAAAAAGATCATTCATCAATACCAAATTCATTATTGAAATTGTAAAAAAATTCTTATATTAAAGAAAAAGAGTTGGGAATATAGTTTAAACCTGTAAAAAATGTTGCAAAATGGTCATTATTTCGGTCTTTCTTTTCAGTCAATGATATCTTCAGCATGTACAGAACATCTAGATTTCTTAGAAACAGTAGGGGATGAAGTCTTTCAAAGGTTTGAGGAAAAAGCAGTCACTCAGAGCTTTAAAACCTTGACAGAAATTCCGAAACTTCCAGAAATTTTAGATGATGGAGAAGTAGTCCGTGAAGAGGTATTATAAATATTTATTTTGAGAATATATAGTTTTTATACGACCGGTCGTATATTGGTATCACGTCGTCCACGTCGTCCGAAGACATTTGGTTTCCGGACAATAACTTTAGTAAATGTAAATAGAAATCTATGAAATTTAAACACAAGGTTTATAACCACAAAATGAAGTTTGGGATTGATTTTGGGGGTTATAGTCCTAACAGTTTAGGAATTAGGGGCCAAAAAGGGGCCCAAATAAGTATTTTTCTAGTTTTCAGACAATAACTTGTGGAACGGTGTATGGATCTCTTTGAAATTATACCACAAATTTCCATACCACAAAGGGATGGTTAGGGTTGGCTTTGGGGGGTTTTGGCTCAAACCGTTTAGGAATTAGAGGCAAAAAAGTGAGAAAAAACAAAAAATGTTTTGAAAAAGAAAAGGGGGGGGGTACCAAATTCTTTTTTTTGGGGGGGGGGGGGGGGAGGTCAATTCGCAACAGCATAGTGTATTGCACAAAAGCAAAAAATTGAATATAAATTCAAATCATATAACCAATTCTAAGTTCTTTGACTACAGTTATTCAGCGTCAGAAACCTATTATGTGTCAAATATTTAATTACAATCCAAATTCAAACCTGTATCAAGCGTGAATATTGTGTCCATTTTTGCCCCAACTGTTCAGGGTTGGACCTCTGCGGTCCTTTCCAGCTGCGCTCAGCGAAGCAATTTAGTAACTTAACAGATGATTTAAGCTCACCTGGCTCATGGGCCATGTGAGCTATAGCCATCACTAAGCACCAGTCATCATAAACTTTCTCAAAAATCTTCTTCTTTAACCTCTGAAACCACAGAACCAATTTCAACCAAACTTTGACTGTTAGGATATCCATAGGATATCTAGTATGAAATGTGCTTTTTTGTTCAAGCCAATCAACCAACATGACTGGGATGAATAATAGAAAATATGGGTAAAATGCAAGTAATTGTCTAATATGTTGAAAACTGTAATAGATAAAAAGGAAATTTGACAAAGGTAAAAATGCTATACGTACTTTCCTTTCCCACCAAAATTATCAATCAACTTCTCTTAGGAGTTAGTGTCCTTTAATGACAATGTTTACCAGGTACCAATTTTCTTGAGAATTATAATAGATTGAGAAAAACTATCAACAGCAAAAATAATCAGCAGGATAAGATTTACAAATAAGTTAATACAAATCAAAATTATCAAATTATCGAGTTGTTGCCCTTAAATTATCATTTTAATTTTTTTTTAATTTTTGGTCATTAGATCAGTTTATACTAATAAATAAAAGTGTGTGTACACCCCTCAAAATGGAGAATGGTTCCTCAAATGAGAGTTGAATTCACATATCAAGTACATTTGGTCTACAGAATCATTGTAAGGTGTGTGTAACTGTCTTTTGGGGTTAACTTGGACTTGTTACCGTTGCTATTGATCATTAATTATGTTGATTTTGCGCTTTGTGGGGGACATAGAAATACCAAGCCTCTGTCCTTCCGGTCTTGCTAGATCTCTCATGTGTACAATTCTTGCCAGATTTTTTATAAAACTTATATCATAGGTTTATATCAGCAATGTCTCAGACAAGTTTGAAAATCAGTGCTGATCAACTATTTTTAAAAGAGTTATGCCCTTTGGAAATATTAATTATATGGAAAATTTCTTTGTTATCGCTCTCATGTGTATAATTCTTGCCAGAATTTTATGAAACTTATATCATATGTTTATATCAGCAATGTGTCAGACAAGTTTGAAAATCAGTGCGGATCAATTATTTTTAAAAGAGTTATGGGCCTTGGAAATATTAATTATATGGAAAATTGCATTGTTAGCGCTCTCATGTGTACAGTTCTTGCCGGATTTTTAACAAACTTATGTCAAAGATTTATATCAGCAATGTCTCAGTCAAGTTCGAAAATCAGTGCTGATCAAATAGTTTTAAAAGATTAGGCCTGAGATGAGATGTGACTGAGAAACATCCTCGAGTTTGAAAGACCATTGCTAATCTGTTTATCTCTTTTTTGCCTATGACGTCAGTGATGTTAACATTGACAACGGCACATGCTCCCTTAGTTTCTAGTGATAATTTTCCATCTCAAGCGAGTAGCATGATATGAAAAATTATCACAAAAAAGATCAAAGGAAATATACACCAAATAGCTATAATGTAAAAATGATGGTGTCAACAATTGTTAAGTTTTCTGCTTAAGTTAGTTTGATAGGAACTACTTGTGATAGATCATTGATATTTTGTATGAAGATGCATTACTATCAGTACATATCAGTTTGACGACAATTTTGAGGCCCTGCCCCTAGGCCATGGTCCAGTGACTTTGAATTAATTAGCTATTTTAAATGTTAATTTTTTTGCTCAAGTTAGATTGATATGAACTACTGGTGATAGATCAATGATATTTTGTGTGAAGTTGCATTGCTATCAGAACATATCAGTTTGATGATTAGTTTGAGGCCCTGCCCCCTAGGCCATGGTTCAGTGACTTTCAATTAATTAGCAATTTTCACTGATAAGTTTTCTGCTTAAGTTAGTTTGATATGAACTACTTGTGATAGATCAATGATATTTTGTATGAAGTTACATTGCTATCAGTGCATATCAGTTTGACAACTATTTTAAGGGCCTGCCCCCTAGGTCATGGTCCAGTGACTTTCAATCAAATAACAATTTTCAATGTTAAGTTTTATGATTAAGTTAGTTTGATAGGAACTACTTACAATAGACAATATTTTCTATAAAGTGACATTGCTGTTTGTACATCTCAGTTTGTCAACCATTTCAAGGCCCTACCCACAAGTTGGTTCAGCGACTTTGAATTAATTAGCAATGTTGCTGTCCATCAGATTGTCTTTTTCTGAATTTTATATCAACAGTTTATCCTTTGTTTTACTAGCATATGGGAAGTTGCTCTGGACGCTTATTTTTGGTTTCAGTGAGGCATTCATGTTTTTTATGCCCCCGCTGTAGCAGTGGGGGCATTAAGTTTTACCCTTGTCCGTCCGTACGTAGGTCTGTACGTCCGTACGTCCCAAAATTGGTTTTCGTTCTCTAACTTGAGTTTGCCTCAACCAAATGTTATGAAACTCATACACAATGCTTATTACCACAAAACACAGATCAAGTTTAATTTTGGTGGCGTCACTTTAACCGTTCTAGAGTTATGCTCCTTTATAAATGGAAAAATTGCAAATTTTTTAGTTTCCGTTCTCTAACTTAAGTTTGCCTCAACCAAATGTTATGAAACTTAAACACAAGGCTTATTACCACAAAACACAGATCAAGTTTGAATTTTGGTGGCGTCACTTAAACCGTTCTAGAGTTATGCCCCTTTAAAATTTTTATTTTCTTCTTAATATCAACTAATTTTTATACGACCGCAAAAAAATTTTTGTGGTGGTATATTGGTATGACGTTGTCGTTGTCCGAAAAGACACATTAGTTTTCACACTCTAACTTTAGTTTAAGTGAATGGATCTCTATGAAATTTTACCATAAGGTTCAATACCACAAAAGGAAGGTGGGGATTGATTTAGGGGTTATGGTACCAACAGTTAAGGAATTAGGGGCCAAAAAGGGGCCTAACTTCCAGACATAACTTGTGTGTAAGTGTATGGATCTCTATGACATTGTACCACAAGGTTCCATATCACAAATGGAATGCTGGGATTGATTTTGGGGGTAATTGCCTCCAAATTTTAGGAATTAGGGGCCAAAAAGGGGCAAAAAACAAGAATTTTTCTAGTTTCATGACAATAACTTGTGTGTAAGTGTATGGATCTCTCTGACATTGTATCACAAGGTACCATATCACAAAGGGAATGCTGGGATTGATTTTGGGGGTAATTGCCTCCAAATTTTAGGAATTAGGGGCCAAAAAACAAGCATTTTTCTAGTTTCATGACAATAACTTGTGTGTAAGTGTATGGATCTTTATGAAATTGTACTACAAGGTTCCATATCACAAAGTGAAAGCTGGAATTGAGTTTGGGGGTAATTGCCCAAAAAGTTTAGGAATAAGGGGCCAAAAAGAAGCATTTTTCTAGTTTCAAGACAATAACTTGTGTTCAAGTGTATGGATCTCTCTGAAATTGTACTGCAAGGTACCATACCACAAAGGGAAGGCTGGTATTGATTTTGGGGGTAATTCCCTCAAAATTTTAGGAATTAGGGGCCATAAAAGGGCAAAAAAACAAGCATTTTTCTAGTTTCAGGACAATAACTTGTGTGTAAGTGTATGGATCTTTATGAAATTGTACTGCAAGGTTCCATATCATAAAGGGAAAGCTGGGTTTGAGTTTGGGGGTAATTGCCCTAAACGTTTAGGAATTTGGGGCCAAAAAACAAGCATTTTTCTAGTTTCCAGACAATAACTTGTGTTCAAGTGTATGGATCTCTCTGAAATTGTACTGCAAGGTACCATACCACAAAGGGAAGGCTGGGATTGAGCTTGGGGGTGATGAATCATAGGGGGTTCAAAAAATTTGGAGGGGGGGATTTTTTTTCCCTTTTTTTTCTTTAAAATTTCCATTTTAAATTGGTTATTTCTGATTTATATATAAAAGCAAATAATAATGATATGGTTTGAATAGGTAAATTAAATTTTTAAATTCTGAGACCACTTTCATTTTGTGTCAGAAACCTATGCTGTGTCAAATATTTGATTACAATCCAAATTCAGTGCTGTATCAAGCTTGAATGTTGTGTCCATACTTGCCCCAACTGTTCAGGGTTCGACCTCTGCGGTCGTATCAAGCTGCGCCCGAGTGGAGCATTTTATTAAAATTGGAGTTATCTTCCTTTGTCCATGATTATAGTTGAATCAACTACAATCAATGCTTTATACAATGCAATGTTTAATTTTGACTTCCACTGATAAAACACAGATCAAGTTGAATTTGGGTAGTGTCACTTTAACCATTATTGAGTTATGCCCCTTTAGAAATCGAAAGATTGCAAAATTTTTAGTTTCCATTCTGTAACTTAAGTTTGCCCCAACCAAACATTATGAAACCTATACACAATATTCATTACCACAAAACTAAGATCAAGTACAAATTTTTTGTTTCCGTTTTCTAACTTTAATTTGCCTCAACTGAATGTTATGAAACTTATACACAATGCTTATTACTACATAATACAGATCAAGTACGAAATTTGGTGGCGACACTTTTACCATTCTTGAGTTATGTCCATTTATAAACATAAAAATTACTGATTTTTTCGTTTCCGTTCTCTAACTTTAGTTTGTCTCAACCAAATGTTATAAAACTTATACACAATCATTCTAGAGTTATGCGTGTTTACAAATAGAAAAATTGCTGAATTTTTAGTTTCTGTTCTCTACTTAAGTTAGCCTCAACCAAATGTTATGAGACTTACACACAATGCTTATTACCACAAAACTCAGGTTCAAATTTGGGTAGCGTCACTTTTACTGTTCTTCAGTTATGTCCCTTTATAACTATATGATATGCAAGCGGGGGCATGATCTGTGTCCACATGTGGACACTATCCACATTTATTTAGAAAAGGTTTGTTTCTCAGTAACTGCATTGAGGGTCAACAACATTTGGAATATAGATAATCTTGACCTGATTTTCGCATTTCTATTGTCAAGTTTAAAGTTTTTGGATAAGGTCTGTTGAATTTATATGATAGATCAATGATATTAAATGTGTGAATTCATTATAACTAGTATATATTTTTCTTTGCAGGATATACTATACAAGGCCACTTGGGATTTAGTGGAGAAGTATAAATTTACACCAGGAATACAATCTAGAAGTATAATACTCAAGGTTTTATATCAACGAGAAGGTCCGGATTTCTACATCAATGAACAAAAAATCACTGAAAAAATAGATAAACTTATTAATAAGGCAGGAGTGTATAAAGAATGGAGAGCTGTTCGATTGTTATCATCATTACTTGGGAAATTAGTGGATAGTTTAGCACCTTCTATTACTACTATTTTAGTAAGAGGGAAGCAGGTTAGTGTATATGTATGTTATTTTTTTATACAGATTCCAAAGGAGGGGGTGGGAGGTTACACTGTTTTACCTCTGTCTGTCTGTCCATCCCATGAAATTTCTGTCACATTTGTATCATGAATTACAAATCTGAGCTTCAAAAATTTTGGTATCAGGCTTTATGTGAACATGCTTTATTGTGTGATGCGTTTTCAGATTCATTTCTCCTCAACTCCTGTTTACCAAAAACATATATTTTCTAACACACAATGGCCATTTTTATCACACTTTTCTGGGGAACTACAAATAAGAACATCTTGAAATTTCTTAAAAGGCTTCATGTGAACATGCTTATATGTTCCAACAAAAAATGACCATGTATGAAAGTTTTGTTGCATTTTTGTAGGGAATTACACATAAGAGCTGCCTGAAATTTATTATCAAGCTTCATGTAAACATGCAATACCATGTAGTGCATTTTCATATCCATTACTCTTCAACTTCTTGTTTATCAAATAGATTAAAGTGATGGTATCAGCAGTGAGCAATAGCTCACAGTTAGTTCTAGTTGTTTTCTCTGTACTGTGAATTCATTGATATTAGTGGGATACCAACTTTCATGGATTTCGTGGGTAATGGTAAACCACAAATCTAAATGCTCAATGAGGTACAAATTTTCTATAGGCGTGTAGGCAACCTTTGACAAAACCATGAAATCAAATATCAATGAAAATACAACTTTTTTCTCAATCCACGAAAAATTGGTGACCATGAAATTAAATGAATCCACAGTACTAAAAATATACATGTGCATTCTTGACATACTTTATACTATGATAAGAATGCTCCTTCTTCCTTCCTACTTGTTTTGATTTCAATTTATTAATTTACATGGGGGTCATTTGAAATTTCAGAATGAGGTCAAGACTCCATCAGGCAGGGTTCACATGACCTTTGACTCATTTCATTGATCAGTGATTAAGGTTAAGGTTTTGTGGTGCAAATCTCAGATAATATAAGCAATAGGTCAACTATATTTAGAGTATGGAATGATTGTTAGGTGAACATGTCCATATGGCAGGGTTAATTTAACCATGACCTCATTTTCATGGTTCATTGGTCTAGGTTAATATTTGGTAGTTAGGTCAGTTTCTCAGATACAATAAGCAATAGGTCAACTACATTTGGCATATTGAATGATTGTGAAGTGTATCTGTCCATCTGGCAGGGTTCATTTGACCTTGATCTTATTTACATGGATCTTGTATGAGTTGTGCCCCTTGAATATTTTTAAACTAGTCAATATTTTAGGTTTGTTTTGAATGAATTGAGCATTGTAATAACATATCGTTTTAGATTTCAACACAGTGTTAGGAAATACTTTTAATACATGTTTTGATTATGTATGATTTTTATCCTAAGTGCCCTTATGGCTTTGAGTGTTGTTGCAAATAGCAATATTTTCTATTTAATTCACTTGAGAATCACAGCCTTTACCAAATATTTTAATTTAATATGCATGGATTTTACATTAGTAATTCATGCAATGTACTTATTTTAGCTGTTTTCATGGTACCTGGAAAAGACATATTATATGCCTTCAATAATATCACTTAAGACAATGAAATAATTTGCATTAAAGATATACTTCCATCATTTATATTTAAATCATATTTTAGGTAACAGTTGGAGTGTTCGGTCATGAAGAAGAAGTAATAGATAAACCCATCAGTCCAGGAGAAGTGAAGAACATTTTGTATAGTCGTTGTGCTCAGTATGATTTACTACAGGCAGTGTTACAACAGGAACTTATTCTAGGAATTGGGAAATTGATAGCTGCTTCACCTGAATTGTTTGATGGTATACTGAAGATTAGAATAGGGTAAAAGGATTAAAAGATCAGTGATATTTTTTTTTATTTGTCTTTTCAGAGATATGAGATGTTATTTGTCAGATTGAAGGCAATTTTTCACATATTGCACAATTACTAGATTATGCTTAAATTGATTTGCTCAAAACTTTATTCTGTTATTGTGATTGATAAATAGAAACTCCCTTTTGATTTTGAATAAGTTTGGGTTTGTCTCTAAGAGTTACATTACTTTAACTGTCATATTAAAGTTTCACATTTTCACCATTAATTTTTCACATGTTGTACACTAACTTGAATGTGGTTGAATTGATTTACTTGAAACACAATTGTTGGTATTGGTAAAAGTAAAAGTCACACAGTCTAGCTCTAGTATACTTGGAACAAATAACTACAAACTTTACACTTTTGTTTGGATTGGTGAATGTAGGTTCCCTTTTGATTTCTAAAAATGTTCTGGTTTGATTTTCCAGAGTTATGAAACTTTTAACAGTCAGAAATTAGGCACAGTATGGTCAACATACAGTTTTCAATTAATAAAGGTTCTTGTATATAAATTTCAGCTGGTTTATCAGAGCTATACAGATAGAGAAAGAGCAAGAAGAAGATGGCCCTATAGATATACACTCACTATCACCTAGTGATATTAAAGAAATGATACTTCAAGTCCTGGTGCAGAATATATATGAGACAGATTGTAGGACTCCTTTACAACAAAGACAAATTGATGGAGCCTTGAACAGGACCCCCAAAGACTTTTATGATAGAGTTTGGGAAATATTGGAAAAAACACCTAATGGTATCAAATTAGCAGGATATCATTTACCTCAGGTAAGAAAAGATTTGATATATAATAGCATACTACTTTTGCCTGTTTTCCTACAATGATCTTACTAGATGTACTGTTAATGTTTTGATGAAATGGTATCCAGTTTTCATCATTTTGATGCAGTGTTCTCCCCAGACCAATATGATGCTGCGGTCCCGCAGCGCCTTCAAAATATTTTCGTTGATTCCGCAGCGCCTTAATTGGCCGCTGTCCCTTAAAACTTGATCCCGCAGTGTGTTAATTTTCACATTTTAATTATAAATGTTGGTTAAAATTGTCAAGTTGCTGATCACTGCTGAGAGGTCGGTCAATGTTGCGCAATAACTGATAACTAGCAAAAGTCTCTGATTAACCTGTTCCAGCTTTATCAGACCATGTAATCAGGTTATAGCGTAAATGATCATCAAGAAGATAGATATTTTTAGTAGAAAATAAAAGTTTTTAAAAAATTCAGTGCAAAAATTGAAGAAATAGATCGCAAATACATTGTATTTACGCATCTTCTGTGTGTATTACTTGGCCATTTAAGTAACAAATTTATTCATTGGTCGAGAAGAAGAATCTATTTTAACACGACCAATGAACATGATGAATACATGTGATAAATTTGAATACACATTACTAAATTAATTTACGATGAAATTTATGAATGAGAGTATTTGTACGTCAAAAAAGTAAAATAAACTTTTATTAAAGATAACGAGGAGTGATTTATTTTATTAGAAAGTGAACAATTTTTGCTTGCAAGTAAAATATGTCTGTCAACTGTCACGTTGTAGAAATAAAATCATTTTTTAACATCGATCATTAATTAGTCCATTGGGATATATATGTAGGGAATCGCTGCAGCATTTGTATAATGTCGCTAGTAAAGAATTTCACTGGTCTTAACTTTGACGAATTTATCAAGTTTCGTTTATATCTACCTGCCAAAGAAACGTTTTGACAATTATACACACAGAAGCGTAATGTCAAACTACAGACACTGGTTAGCTGGTTCATTACAATTTTTTTTGTTTTTAAAAAGTTGTATACCAAACATCTTAAACATAATCAATTTTAATGCTGAATCAACATGTTCTTTGCAAAGAAGAAATGGGTTAAGCGAAAAGCAGATGATGTTTTCAACCCTAAAGAGGATAAAGAATGAGGAACAGGCTGTCCAACAAAATTACAAACAGACTTGTTACTATATCTCTAGAAGGAACAGAGAGTAAAGAAATAAATATTTCTGAAGCTGTTCAGCATTGGAAGGCCCAGAAGAACATGAGGATTTTTCTTGAACTATATATACATTTTGACTTATTTAATTGACTGTGATATAAATGCTTTTTGTGTTTAAAATGAATTTATTTCATATATATATTCTTATTCTTTATCATGTATATTAATACCGTGCATTATTGCATATAATGATTTATGACCGATTGCTTCAGGTCACAATAGTTCACTCTAAAATAGAGTTACGTGCCCTTGAAATTTTGCGCCTTAAAAAAATTCTGGGGAGAACACTGTGATGGTCATACTCATATTGTTCTTGGGAAATTATTTTCCACAATTCACAATATTTCTTGAATACTAATCTCTGGGGCTACATCCAGCTATGAAAAATAATGAAAATTATTACTTTTACATTCTCAAAATAGATAACGGTAACAATATATGTTTTTATGAAAGTTTGGTGAGCAGCATCTCCTCATTTTTATATTGAAAGCAAATCAGCATTAACAGACTTAATATTGGTGATTTATTTGTCTAGACAGTATCAGTGACATAAAGACTAACATCCCTTGTAAGGTTAGGGAAAAAGATATGGGGTCAATATTCTCAAAGTACACATCAAAATAACAATATACCAGGTGAATAGCACTTTTATAGTTATTCCTCATCCTGAAGGTTATTGAAAAGTCTACATCTATGAGTAAGATGAATTACACCACACAACAAGATCAAGATGGCCTCAATGTCAAATACAATTTTCCAAAATTTTTGAAAATGATTTATTTTTCAGCAACCCACCTTGTCAGATATGACGATGTATGAATTGAACTTTTCCTTACTAGTAGAACAGATGTTAAGTAAGATAGCTGATCCTGCTTACAGACAGATTATAGTAGAGGTACCTTTTTCAGTACAATTAGGTCAAAGGTGACCCAGCTATTTTAATGTTAATTCATTCAATTTTGGTAGCTAGCAATTTTCATGGTTAAGGAAGTAGTTGTTTTGAAGATAATTATAATTCCATTGTCATTTGTTTTATTTAGCTTTATGTAAAGGAACTGAAATTTCATTTTTGAATATTATACAACTACTTTTTTAAGAGGTAGATTTGTGGTTTCGTTGCATTTTGAAAAAAATTATAATTTGAAAAAAATATATAACTGAGATAAAATAAAGAACTGAGTTTTATTTTTTTTTAAGTCAAGTTAACCAAAATCCTATTCGAATTCTAAGACAGTAATAGACTTTTAAAGAAATATGTTATTAAATGACTTAATAGTACATGTATTTAAATAAATAAATCTATACATGTCATCATGAAGAAGTTGGCTTCAAAGGTGTAGAATTAAACATAAAGAATAACACACATCATCTATACTACTAAAGGAAGAGACCGATTTCATTGAGCCGCAACTCCTCTGAAACCAAACAAAATCGGAAATATTTGTGATATGACGTATAAATGTAGTGTTTTGTACTTCCTAAATTTGTCTTTGAAACAATCTTTTTTCCACAGAAACCGCCAATTTTTTAGAAAATATCTAAATTTGGAGACCGTTATCGATCCGTGTCTTATACGCTTTCGCACTGGTCAGTCAACATACTGCCCTCAGAGTCTAACTTTATAATAATTAAAAATTACACCATTCCAGGTCTCTGTCAGACGCACAACCAAAGGGTGTATTCAGGATTTGCTATAAAGACGGGTAATAATCACACATGAACTTCGCCATTAAACAGGGAATAACTGTGCACGTTATAATCAGCGTGACTTTACCAAATGACAATACAAATTCTAAAAATCTAGGCTAAAAGTACTGAGTAAAAAATAAGGCGTAGGTTCTTTAATTCAGTCACGCACCCTCGATGTCGTGGGTATGGTCTAGAGTTCAAAATGTTAATAACATAGATTAGTTTACAACAGTGTTCCAGGTGATATAAATAAAGATCAAAGCTTTTATCGCTGTTCTACATCTTGAAAAGGGAAACAAGATTTTCATTGATGAGTTTAGCACTCATGTCCTGCAGCAAGTTCTAGATGTTACTAACTTCACTGGAATGTTATTCTATATAATTGCCATATATGAATCAATTTGGCCAGAAAAGCACACACAACTTTATCAAATAAATTGTAATAAAAAATTACATCTATTTATTGTGAATCATTTGGTATATAATATTTGAGATTGGCATTGATTATATATCAACTTTCATGATATCCCTTGAAGTACTATTTAATATTGTGTTAAATATTATGCTTCTACAGATGGATGTATTGTTTATTTTAGGCATTTATGGTTGTGTCGACCATGTTAAAGAGAAACCCAGAAGTTACATTTGATCACGCTGCTAATATGGATAAGGTATTAATAAAGAAACAGTCATTGTAAAACTATTTTATAAATTACATTAGCAAATCATTCTCCAAATATATGCAACTGTAAACTGTAGGATACTGAAAATATGTACACAATTTGGGTTATAGTAACTTAGCTATGATGTTTGATTCACTTATTACCATATTTAGCCATGTATAGTACAAAGTTGTGTATAATACGCACCCCTTTTCATCCCTCCAAAATCTTGAGGAAGAAATGAAATGAAAAAGAGAAAAAAAAAACTACAAAAAAAGAGAAAGAAAAAGTACAAAAATTTTTTAAAAAAAAATTATAAATTTTTTTTTTAAAAGTCTAGTTATCTGTAAAAAACCTTTAATAGGGAACAATTAAACCATGTATTTAATCTTCACTTAAGTCTTTTGAAAGATAAAAAAAATATTTAAGATTCATTGTTCCATCAAATTGTTTCATTAAATAATCATAAAGTCATTAACAATAGAATGGTAGAGCTTTTATCAATTTGATATCTACATTCATATGCACTAAAGTCTCATAGAGGTCACCATTGCAACTTACTGAAAGTATTAAAATGTCTTAAGATTAAACTGTCAGATGTTTGTCAGAGTCTTTATTTTTAGCTCACCTGGTAGTCGGCTTCGTCGTCCGTTAACTTTTACAAAAATCGTTTCCTCTGAAACTACTGGGCCAAATTTAACCAAACTTGGCCACAATCATCATTGGGGTATCTAGTCAAAAAAAAAATGTGTCCAATGACCCCGCCTGCCAACCAAGATGGCCGACATGGCTAAAAATAGAACATAGGGGTAAAATGCAAATTTTGTCTATTATTTTGAAAACCGTTATAAATAGATAAAATCTGACTGGAGCAAAAATGTTCAGAATGTTGAGCTATACCAATTGTCTATATACGTCAAAACTCTCAGATGACTTATAGGAGTTATTGCCCTTAAATTGAAAAAAATGATCAGTAAGACAAGTTCTACAAATAAGTCTAATGGTCGAAATCGTCAGTCGACTCCTTATTAGAGTTATTGCCCTTTGATGACAATTTTTATACGACCACAAAAAATTTTTGCTGTCGTATATTGGTATGACGTTGGCGGCAGTGGCGTCGTCGTCGTCCGAAGACACATTGGTTTTCGCACAATAACTTTAGTTTAAGTGAATGGATCTGTATGAAATTTTACCATAAGGTTCAATACCACAAGGAAGGTTGGGATTGATTTTGGGGGTTATGGTACCAACAGTTAAGGAATTAGGGGCCAAAAATAAGCATTTTTCTTTTTTCCAGACAATAACTTGTGGAACAGTGTATGGATCTCTCTGAAATTATACCACAAGTTTCCATACTACAAAGGGATGGTTAGGATTTGCTTTGGGGGGTTATGGCTCAAATCGTTTATGAATTAGGGGCAAAAAAGGGGGGAAAACAAGGTTGTCCTGGTTAATGGACAAATACTCCAGTACAAAACATAATTTAAAGCAGTGTAAGGGAGGTAATTCAAATACATCATTTGAATTATCTCCCTTACACTACTTTTGAATTATGAATAAAGTAATGGTTAATGAACAATTAAGACAAGTTAAAAGCAGTGTAAGGGAGGTAATCCAAATACAACTTTTTGATTACCTCCCTTACACTGCTTTTAAATTATGTTTAAAGAAATGCATATTTATAAAGGAAGACCAGTAAAAATATCTGCAAATGTTGCATCTTTTTTTTTTACAAAAAAATCCATATGAAAGATTTGACACCATATTTTGAATTCTATTATAAAATAGATTAAGTTAGCACTATGGTAAGTTTAAATGGGTAATTATGGTTGCAAACTCCATTGGAAATTTGAATTGAGATTATGACCATTTCTTGAGGGAAAGAATTTTTGGGGGGGAAAAAGGAGGGGGGGGGGAGAAATTGTGGGGGGTTAATTTTTTCTCATTTCATATTTCAGAAATTAAAAAGAAAAATTCTTCAAATATGATTTTTTTTGCAAAAAAAAAGTGTGTGAGTGTGGGGGGTTAATTTTTTATTTTTATTGTGGGGAGGGGTGGGGTCAATTTGCAACAACAAAGTGTATTGCACAAAAGCGAAAATTGAATATAAATTCAAATCATATAACCAATTCTAAGTTCTTTGACTACAGTTATTCTGTGTCAGAAACCTTTTATGTGTCAAATATTTAATTACAATCCAAATTCAGACCTGTATCAAGCGCGAATATTGCTTCAATTTTTGCCCCAACTGTTCAGGGTTGGACCTCTGCGGTCGTATCCAGCTGCGCTCGGCAAAGCAATTTATTTCCAATTGTTTTGCCTTATATCTAAAAAATTATAATAGATAGATAGAAACTTAAATAAGCAAAAATGATCAGTAAGACAAGATCTACAGTTAAGACTGAATGAAGGAAATCCTGTGACAACTCCTTATTGGAGTTATTGCCCTTTAAAGACAATTTTCACCATTTTTTTTGCATTTTGCAGTATATGGTAAAAAAGTATAATAGATAAATAGACACTTTAAGTCACAAAAATGATCAGCAAGTCAAGATCTACTTACAAGTCAAATTTTGCTGATATAGTTAGTAGACTGTCACTCTTTATAGGAGTGATTGCCCTTAAATGAGGATTTTTTTAACCCTCTTTTGTGTTTTGAGCAAAAACTAAAGAAGATAGAGAGAAACTAAACAGATGAAATGATCAGCAATACAAGATCAACAAAACAGATTTTTGTCATGAATTCTATTCTTGTCTACAATGTTGGAGAGTGTCCTTTGTTGAATATGCACAAAGAACCAAGGTGAGCGACACAGGCTCTTTAGAGCCCCTAGTTATAGAGCTCAAACTGTAAGCACAATCATGATCAGAAAAGTATTAAGGTTTTCTTTTAATTATTTTGCAGATAATTCAAGACTCTTTTGAAGATTTCCAGAAAAATGCAAGCAGGGAAAATGGATCTGAAAAACAAGATGACATGAGAATTTTCTTTAACACTCCTCCAAATGTTAAACATGGTACAACCAGCTACATAACCAAAGCTGTACTCAGAACTCTTCTAGAAGGAGAGATCAAATTTGTAAATGAAGAAATGTGTCATATTACTTAATATTCAGTTAGTGCTGAATTTATACAAACCTCAACGAATCTCAAAAAATATCGAATAATAATTCAATATGTTATAATTGCACGAGTGTCACACAAGGATAATTATCACAGTGAAAAGCTACTATAAAAGTTTTATTTTTTTAATTTGACTCTCATTCTAGCAGAATGAAAGATAATAAACCACCAAAGTTCTTTTCATTCTTAAATAGAAGCAAATTGTTTACTTGTTTTTGAACAAATTCAGGAATTAAGGGTACACAACCTCCATAAAGGTTTTGTTTTGCCATTTGTTTTGAAACATTTTTATTATTATTTTTCATTTTATAGATTTTTATTTGCAAATGCCTTTTTTATAACCAGTTCTATGGTTCCAATGCAATGAATGTTTCTTGTGTAAAGTTAATGTTTAAGCAAACATGTCTGTGTTTGTGGTCAATGTTTGTTATGTGATGTAATAAGAATGAATGTGATTGTACAGAGACTGTGATATACATACTAATATATTAATACCTGGTTACCTGGATCTATGCGACGATATAAGTCCAGACTTTATTTGTCGCTTGGCATTATTCAGCTCATTATTTTTCTTGTGATAAACTTTGCCTGTGCACAAATACACTTATGATAAAAAAAAAAAAGACTGGAAAAAAACTTATATATATAATATGATTTGTGCTTTCGGCTTTTGCAATCAAAGAGTTATTAAGATCAAATCTTTCAGTCAGAGTAATAAAATGTTTGGTACCAGTTTTAATATGCAAGACACAAGAAACACTTTGCTCAAAACCAAATGTATTGGGAAGCCAAATAGTAAAACATTTGGGAGCATATGAACTGAAAGGGCCTAACTAGAATAGCCAGACTATCTAAGGTCAACTTTACCTGATGGTTGTGTAAACAATTATATAATTTAACTAAATATTAACAATTTAAATCATGTTAATCATGCCAGAACAGATGACCTTGCTGCTCTCTGTTTAAACATGAACATTGTTTTCTATAGGAATAATCTTTCTTAGGTTTGATTAAGACTTAAAAAGGTTGAAAATCAGAATGCATAAAAAATTAAAAAGTATCTAAATAATAATTTGAAGATATCAAAATGCAGTAAATCAAAAATAATTACTGGTATCATAATTGCACTGTTTTTTATGCTATATCTCTACAGATGTTACATTTATTAATCTTGCATTACTGTCTGTTGTCAAAGATTTTATATTAATTAATGAACTCATTGAAATTTTGATTTATAGTAAACATTATTTTTTTTTTCAAATTCAGTTATACAATGCTAATATGATAACTATCTTTTCTTAATAGTGCAGCTTAATTTCAAAATTCATATTTAGAAGAATTGGAAATGAAATTATCCAAGGTAGTCAAAAACTCACAGTCAAGGTCAAATTGACCTTGGTATCAAAGTATTGATTCCTGTATTTGTACAAAAACACAAGAGTTATTGTGTCTTTAGTTAGTTCATAAAGAAATTTGCATTTCTTGGTAATTGGTTTGAAGATCTGAAATGTTTATAGTAAAGGTTAAAACAGTATAAATAGATAACTGAATTTTGAGAAAAAATACATTCAAAAAAGATAAAATTATAGTAAACTGCTCTTTTTCTGAAGTTGAATGAAATGTATTCTTATAGGTTAGCATCTTTTGGTTGTTGTTTTTTTGTAAATTGAAATTGCTCTCATCATGTCAATTTTATTAGATTTGATTATTAATAATTATTTTTTATTTGACAAATTATGTCCTCCCAATTCATTTTGCAGAAGAAAAAATACAGACTTTTTGGATTAGACAAATAAAGGTCATTACTGATACAGGAATATTTGATGTTATATGAGAATATGCAAATCTCCTCTGAAGTGACTTGAATACTTCCTCGGTTTATTATATTTGTTAATGTTTTATATATTTTGAGAGATGGAAAATGTGCATTCAGTAAAATTGATATTCATTTCTAAATCTTCATTAGATACAAATTTTCTTTGAATATTGAATCCCATTTATCAATGAAATTGTAAGTTCTAAACTGTTGTCAAAGAGTTTCAATATTTCTTTATATTTGATTTTTGAAATTTAGACTGTTAAAACATGTCAGTTTAAGAAGTTTTGTAATGATCTATAAGTGGACGGTATGTGGTGGTGAACTATGAAGCAATTAATAGATCATCTTTTTCAATCATAAGTCTTTTATCTGATTATTAGTGCTAATTATTTATTTGTTATCTTATTTGATATAGCTAAGATCATGAAATACTTATTGTCCATAAGAATCAAAACAATCCAACACACACAAAGACGGGTTAGAATTTACTGTTGTGTGCAGTTGTGCATCGCCTATTTAGACTTTTTATCATGGATTAATTGTTTTGTGTTTTGTTTTTTTTCAGTGTATCATATAAGTTATCTACGGATATGAATGCAGATAATAAATTTAATCCCAGACTAAGTACGAATCAAGTGATTTTTAGGGAAATTCTTGAACAAAATATAACATGAAAGCAGCTTTTTTATCATTTAAAAAAGTTTTATTGAAATTTGATAATTTGACATATTATTTTCACAGGGTGTAGGTAGATTTGGTGAAACCCTACAGGTAGTCAAATATAACATGTTTTTAATCTAGAGACAGAGAAACAACAATAAATCAAATTTGAATTTTTTAATGATGTGTCATTAGCCAATCGAAATGCGAGAAATATATAACATATTATTTTCTAAAGTCCTCTTAGACTATACATAAACGGACCAAGCTTAAACTCTTCTACATGAAGTGTAATCAATATAAAGTAGTGCACCTTTTAAAAAAAAATTTGGATCACATTTATTTCCAATCATCAATCAAGGAGTTTTAATTGTGGTTCACAGAGGATACATACATATATTTAATCAACAACTACATCACTAAACAAAAATGGCCAAAACTTGCCTATATTTTTTCAGGGACTGTACTTTGTGCCCCTGTATTTCTAGGGTTTCTAGTCATTTTCAATGGTAAGATCTGGCAGATGGCATCTTACATATTATTAAGAGGTTCACAGCTTAGCCTAACAGTGTTTAATTTTATTTCCATCCTTGCTGCCAAGCTCTCATCATCAAATCAGTCTGACCTTTGTTTCTATATGTATTAAAATATAAAGCAATTTGATCTCACCTACATGTGTTTCTGACCTGGGTTTGGCTGTTATATTTCTTGAAAAAAAAGTAAAAATTTAGAATTTGTGACAAATGACTCATTTTCCATCTGATAATGCCATCACTGAAAATATTTGTATATACATAATATATAAGGCCACACAAGACGAAACACTAAAGGATAATTTTCTTTAAAACAATTTGGTTTATATTAACCAAACCAGACCTGATTTATTCTAAAGGTTATCGACTGTAAATTCAGAAATTATTGCGTGCATTTATTAATGTGATTTTTGAATGATGAACAAAAATACGAGATTAATTATTTCGATTTCAAAATATCTGCAAACAGATATATATATAGCAGATATCAGAATGTGAGTTCTTATTATTGCGATACTCACTCAGTCGCATTATTTGCAAAAATAAAAAACTCGCAATAATTTCTAAATTGACAGTACTTTAAAAGTTGTATCTATTGCTACTGCCTTTTAACAGATTGAGCTGGTATAATGCCATGATGCTAATTTATTTACAATGGCTCCTGGAACCCTCAACAACTAGTCAAAATATAGATGGTTATAAATCTCTCAATAATTATCACCCTTCACAAGACATCTGTTAGATCTCCATGATAATATAGATTTTATAATTTCTTCTAATTATAGGTTTTCATTGCACTCAAACTACAGAATGACTACATGTTATAATTTTCTCCTTTAGACGTTTCACTAATAGGTATGAGTTACAGTCTTACCTAACAAAATATTTGCTGCAAGATATATTTTCTTAATATATTATGTTACTCAAATACATTTTGTTGTCAAACTGTTGCTCATACTTGAATTGTTTGTGAGCATTTTTCTAGTCCTAGTTTCTATCTATTTTGTTAGTTATTTCCATTACCAGCCTAATTTGTCAATTTTGTTTTGTAATGATTGTAATGCTAGGAAGAATTTCTTTTATCATACATAAATGTAGTCTGACAAATTCTGAATGACTTTTGACCTTTGCCCTGTAGCAAAATTGGCAGACATAACTTACTGAGTCGTTTACCGTATTATTAAAAGTATTAGTACCTGGTCATTGAGTTCAATGACATTTTTGTAGGTAATATTACAACACAATTACATGTACATGTAGTAGATGACCTGATAAACCAATCTTTTTCATTCATAAATTAAATTTGTACATTTTTAGTAAATGGTCATTTGTTCGTTTTCAGTAATTCTTACATTTTCTTATTTCTGTTTAAAAACTATCAATTTCGTTTCACAGTTTTATGAAGAAAAAAGTTATATAAACTGTTATAGACCAAACTTTTAGGTTTGCTTATCTTTTAGGCTTTTTTTATTGAAAAGTAGAAATGTCAAAAGGACAACATTTCATTTTTGGGTGTTTTACTGTTTATCAGCGATGGAATTTTCATTTATCATGTTTATATAAATTGTCTTCCTTTATTTCATCTTGTATTAAATAAAGAAAATGATAAATTGTTTGCTAAGCATAACACTTCTTAGAAGATTTTATTTTTTAATTGAAAAATGACAATGTATTCCCATGTTACAATACTAAATTATGATATATTCTATAAAAAAAAAGTACTGCATTGTTTATTTCTTTACATGAGAGATTTTCATATGTTCTTACTTTTTTACTTTTATACAAATATATGCTAATAATTTAATTTTGGATGTAACACGTCTTCTGATTGGACGAGAGAATTTTGTTATCAGCTCATAGACATAATTTTGTCATGTGACCGTGACGTTATCAACGTTTTTTTCATGATTTACTCCTTAAAAATGGAATTTAGAATTAAATTATAAGGAATGATTGTAATATTTTTTTTGTCTATTCGAAATAACAGAAAAAATGTGGTGCACACTGTTAAATAACCCGCTACGTGTGTTATTCAGTGTGCACCACATTTTTTATGTTATTTCTTCATAGACAGAAAAAATATTACAGTCATTCCTTAAGTAATGTAAAAAAAAATATCAATAAATAAAAATTGCGTTGAAAGATGAATATTTATTGAATTCAAGTCACCTTATTTTCTTTTTTTTTAAATAATGTTTTCGAACCTTAATGTTTTATATTCTCATAATAAATTTCACTGTTTTATATTTGATTAATATGCCTTTTAGAAAAAAAGCAAATAATGGATATTGGGGAAAGATTAAATTTGTATAATGCAGTACATCTTGACATAAGTATAAATGATTATTTAACAAAATTTATGAATGCTATTAACCAACATTCCAAGAAGATAGAATTCAAAAATATATCACAAGTCCCTCTTATTTTAATTTCTTCTTATTATTTGAATCTTTATTCCATATGATCTCATGATAAATGGGGGGGAGGGGATCTAATTCCTAATTCCTAAGAAAAGAAATGCCAAATCCTGAATTCCCATGAAAATAATATGACTCTGCCCGCATCAGGATATAATTAAATCACAAATTCCTGTTTTTCCAACGATTTAACTGGCTCTTCCTGAATTCCCACGATTAAACGACCTCAAACGTTAATTCATGAAAAGGTCCTTCTGTCCTTAATTAAATGTCACTTGAAGAAATTTTATTAATTTGAAATTTTTCAAATTCTTAATATTTGAAAAGAACAATTTCTGGATGAAGTCTTTTAAAAACAAGTTTTAATTGATAGAAGCTTGATATTTGTTCCCCTTATTTTCAACAGGAGTATTGTCATCCTTGTAAGTCCCTTGTCATTATTTAAAGCAAAAAATACAATTTTGTCCCTTTTAACCTAATTCTAGGACAAAAATATTTTTTAGAGCTGTTTTTGTGACCTTTAAATTTGAGTTGCTATCAGTGAATTGATTGTTGATTTATTAGATTATGTATGTAAATGTAATATTATTGATTTTTGACAAATAATTTTTACATGTATTGTGAAATGTCATTGTATGTAAATTTGACAGATTGTTTTTGAGTTGTTATCTGATATTAACAGATAATGTCAGTTTATTGGGTTGTTTTTATTTTTAGTTTCTTATTATCTATAATTAAATTGAATAATCAGAATTAATTGTGTCAAATTTTATTACAGTAAGCATAAAATTAACATATTGTGTATACCACCATTGAAAATTACATAAATTTTCACAGTAAGTATAATGAGAATTATCTTTGACAGAGAAGAAAGGTAATTAGACCTATTGTTGAAAGTCAGAGGTGTCATAAGTTTGTAAGGTAAACTGGTTTTGATAAAATTATTTTGATGAAATGGGATAATTTGATTAAATCACTTCCTTTCAATTGTTCACATTCTAATGTTTGGTATCAAGCAAGTTTTGGGGCACAGTTATTCAGATTGTTTCATACAGCTTTGTATATATGTTGTTGTGTAATGGCATTTTTCTCATATAGTGCATCTACACTTCCCCTTAAAGGAGTGGATGGTTTGATTTCCAGTTTCTGCATTGCATGAACCATTTGTGTGCCTCCTTCTGTATAATTTCATCAGATTGAGTTTATAGATTTACAATAATAAAACAAACATTTTTGAGAAAGGGACAGTCAGTCTAGTATTCCTACTGACAAACAAAAAAGTATTTCAATTGAACTTTCACAATTCACAAGTCTTCTCTTTGCAGTGCACATGATATTTCTGTTGGTTCATCATTTGTGTTGTATGATTGATTGATCATTGGTTGCTTTATGTCCAGTGGCAGATATTACCTTTATATTAAGAACAAGAACGTATGAAAATAATGCAGGAAACGTATGGTTGCATGTAAGGTGGTAGCAGTCTCGATTTACTCTACATCTGATTTAATTTAGTATTAAATATTTTGATGCAATGTCAGATGAAGAATATGGTCAGATTCAGGAGAGCAAATTCTTTATGACAAATAATGAAGACGAATGAGAAAGACAAAATCAACCAGAATTGTAGTGCAATCCTACCTCACATTTTTTTGAATAAAAAAAAAATATTGCAGTCTTGGTATGGGTCTACTGTGTATGTTAACATTTTTTACAATAAATGTTGTGTCAGTTGATAATTTATACTTTATTGGCTGAAGGCTAGTACAAGTTTTTATGCCCCACCTACGATAGTAGAGGGGCATTATGTTTTTCGGTCTGTGCATCCGTTCGTTCGTTCATCTGTCCTGCTTCAGGTTCAAGTTTTTGGTCAAGGTAGTTTTTGATGAAGTTGAAGTCCAATCAACTTGAAACTTAGTACACATGTCCACATGTCCCTATGATATAATCTTTATAATTTTAATGCCGAATTAAAGTTTTTACCCCAATTTCACGGGCCACTGAAGATAGAAAATGATAGCTAGTGCTAGTGGGGCATCCGTGTACTATGGACACATTCTTGTTTCTGTCACTTGTCCTTCATCACTTAACTCTTTCAAAGATCTTCTTATCCAAAACCACTAAACAGACTTGAATAAAACTTTAAATATTGATTCTTAGTGTCTAAATTACAGTATGATAATTTTACTGCTCTCCATCAACAAACATGGCCACCATGGTTAAATATAGAACATATAGGTAAAGTGTAAGTATTTGTCTAATATCATGATAACTACATGTCTAATAGGTACAGAAAATCTGACTGGGATATAAATATTCACATTGTCAAGATCTATATTCCTGTAATTTCCACAAAATTTTCAGAAGACATTTGCCTTGTCCAGAATATACATGAAATATAAGTCACTATAATATACAGAAACCGTAACAGTGAAATTCAGCAGCATTACCATGTCTTCAAAAATGCCAAGTACACTGAAACCATTCATTGACCGCTGATTTTTTTAACCAATTTCAGTTTTTAGACATTTTTTTTATATCTTGAAAACAGAACATGTAAACAGCAAAACTGATTAGCATTACAAGAACTAATAAGAAAGCCAATATAACCTATATACATATTTTAGTTTAAGAATTATATTATGATCTATCAACCATCATGGCCATCATGACTTAAATTAGAATAAAGTGTTAAAATGGAAATACTGGGGTACTTGTTGAAAAGGTCAGTAACCAGTTGGTATCTTTGTAAATCCATCAAACTGTCAGACAAATCTTGAATTTCTCACAAGTCAAAGATAATACTAAATTATTTTTAGCACTTTTCCTCTTAAAATATACACAATTCAAACATTTGCCATTTGGTCACCATGAATTATCTTTGACATTTGAATATGACTTTAAGGCTAAGCTGTGCATTTATCAATAATACTTCACTGACTAAATACGCATTCCAGAACCTTGTAAGGGAGCTACCATTTGATCTTTATTGGGGGCCTTGGATGAAAAATTTTGTCCTGCATTTTTTTTTTAGATGTAATCTCTGTCCTGCATTTTTTTTATTAGTGTTTTCTGACTTTTTTTTACATAAATTGTCATCCTGCCTTTTTTTTTTGTGCAAAGTTGCTCATCCTGCCCCCCCCCCCCCCATAAAAATCAAATGGTAGCTCCCTAAATATCACTGCACAGTCTCAGTGTCCACATGATTGATGTGTTCATATCAATTAGAATTTGGAAACAGTGACCTTCTGATAATGCAACATGATTTCAGAATTGGTATATTACCTCATAGAATATTTTCAGCTGGATGTTAAGCATACACCAATCAATCAATCATATAAACTGCAAAACGATTATATTATATCTGCATCCAAATAACCTACATTTCATGCATGATTAATTTTAACTTTCACATATTAATATTATGTAATGAAATTTTCAAGTCTAATAGATCTTTATTCAAAGAAGTTCAACTGGAGCACATCTGGTATGTTTTCTTAGACTACTCATTATACACCAATTTATTAATTTTAAGGATTTTTGTTGAGATATTCCTTTTCATGATGGTATTCTCATTATCAGCTGTCCTTGCATAACTGAATTTTGATATTTTGTTATACTTTAGTTCGAATTCACAACTGAAAGCTGGTTAATCTACATTTGAACTAGCTATTGTCCATATTGACTTGTTTAACCCCATTGTAGTTGGGATGCAGTATCATTGACCTATATTCATATTAAACCAAGGATTTAGATATGTTTCATGACCTGTAGTTGTTCTTTGTCCTTTGATCTTAGGTGGATTGTTGTCTCATAAGCAGTCATACCACATATCATTATAAAGTAGCTATGCAGGCCCTAATCTAGGATTTTGGAGAGGGAGAAGTGACTTCTCTATATTAAGTAGCGTTCCCCTATGTTATCCTTGATTGAACTTAGAAAACTTAATGAACTGGAATTCCTTTCTCTTTTTCAACTGCAGATATTAAATTGATATTTGGTTCAATTGTAAGAGTTGTTACTGGTGTAGTTTGCTTTGTTCTTGTTTACAAATTTTTGACCTAGTTAACATCAACTGTTCTGTATTTCATGAAAAAGGTGACGGTAGAATAAAGGACTATACTATATATATTGGGCATATATACAAAATATCTTCTTAGAGGCTTTCATTAGTGTTTTTCTGCATCTTAAGGTTCAAATGGTTAGGTAGCAAATACATATATTATATGACTACCACATGTTTGTTCCTCCTCTGTATTATTGAAATAATAGTATTGTCCATACAAAAAGAATCCTATACAAAGCTTTTCCTTTGAAACCCTGTAATGACTCAAATCAAAACTTGACTTGAATGATCCCTTAGTGTTTTAAGATTACATATGTAGGTGATACAAATGTAGTATGGTAACCCTTCTTTTCAATTCCTTTAAAAGATCTTCAGTATTTTTTCAGGAGATTGATGTAGGTCTTGTTGATAGCACGAGTTGGGGTGTTAAAGGTGCAAAAATACCACTTTCAGATGTAAATTTTACCTTTAATTGTTTGGGGTATTTTGCACTTAATTTCTCTTTGCAAAGCTTTAAGTGGTTTCATTAGTCTTGTCAATCGAGTATACCTCTAAAGGTCTGTAGGTAATGACTTACATGGGTGCTACATGTGGAGCAGGATCTGCTCACCCTTTTGGACCACCTGAGATCACCCCATTTTTAGAGGGGTTTGTGTTGCTCAGTCTTTGGTTTTCTATGTTGTGTTTTGTACACTGTTGTTTGTCAACAAGTATTTCGATTTTAACCCTTTTTTTGATCATTTTTGTGTGTTTTTTTGTCATGGCAATGTCAGTTTGTTTTGGACTAATGAGTTTGAATGTCCCTTTGGTATATTTTGCCTCTTTTTTAGAACTTCCTTTGGGTGTTATGTATTTATTAATGGAATATATCTTTAACATTTAGATCTCTGGTAATTTCACTTTGAGTAGGATATCCATATCATCAATAAAAATATAGTAACCGCTACATTATATGTTGATTACCATGTGGTGTTGGTTTGCTGCTTCAATGACATTTACTCCAAACCTTGTTTTATCTGTAGTAACAAAAAATTTCAACATTGTTTTTACACTTCCAATATATAGACACAACATCTGTTTCGGAATATTGTGCATTTATTTGTATGTTTTTCTAATCCAAATTACAGTACTACAACTGTGGTAGTACTTGAGGCATATAATATTCAAATGCATGTAGTCATTTTTTCTGAAGGCATGTATAATTTGTATTTTTTTTCTGATATAGCTAGATTGCACTCTGTTTTGTAAATAAGCCGATTAAACTAATAAATATAAAAACAAAAGATAAACTGCAACAAGTTTATTGTTGTGTTAACAATAAAATACACATTTAGTTATTTCCTAATATCTCTCTCACAACATCATACACAAATTAACATCACTTTATCAAGAGGTACAGAATTAGCCCCAATAGAAATGACTAAAATCTACTGCTGATCAAAATTCAGTTTAAGACTTTCAAACTTGATAAGACCGACATTTTTGAAGATTCTGACAAAATAACAGTACTACATTTTTTCAATGAAAAAAAAAAACCAACAATACATGACTACAAATTTGTTTCAAATTTAACTATAATAAAAAATAATTATCTTTTTAATCCAAAATAATTCTGAGAATTTTATTTTTGATATATCTGAGAGAAAACCTAGTGTTTCTAAAAATGAAGGTCTAAGGAGAATCCCTCTTAGACAGTGGTTATTAAAAAAATTATCATATTAAATTTAATGTTGAATTGATTTACACAAGTTTTGGCTATGATTTGACAAAATATGGTTAAATAAAATATGACTGTGATTTTGGTATCTATGGCAAGACAAGGAATTTTTATTTACTCTAAAAAGTAATTTAGCATGTAAAAGTTGTTAAACAGTTTGCTCATATTGAAGTATTGGTAGTCCAATATGATATCTTTCTTGTAAGGTGTAGACAGAAGTGTGAGTGTGTATGTATATAAAAAAAAACACATATGTTTAAATTCTATGACAATATTTTGGGCTTTTTATTACATTTTTAACTTTTTTTTCTCATTTTTTTTTATACGATTTCACTATTTTCCATTTTTTATCACATTAGTTTCTGATTTTAATTAATTTTTTGTTTTTGTTAATATCTTTTTTTGATTTTTTTTTGTGTTAAAAAATGGAACATGCAATAATAGAATATATGATATTCTTAAAATGTAAAAAAAAAATCTGCATTACATAATTTGGACATTTCAAAATGACTGTTGGTTTGCTAAAGTTTTGTTTAATGTTAAGATTATTCACTCAATGTTACATTTTCACATTTTAACAGAATTCTCTCAGACGTTTCCTGACCACATAACTATTTCTCACATTTCTGGATCTCACTAAAAGTATGCACCAAACAAATAAGACTGAGATCTTTTACCAAGTTGATGAAGCTAAAGTCTGATTTAAAGATTGGATAAAAATATCTTTAAATTTAACCACTTAAAGTCTTAAACACTATATTGTTTATGAAATCATATGCCTTTTTTAGAAGAAGTCTTATTCCTTTTTGAAGAAGAATGTCAATACACCATCAAATTTGTTAAGAAAGACAGGTTGGAATTTTTTGCCCGAAACATTTCCTTTATGGTCGCCTTTGGGACTTCTTTACCCATTCAGTGAATCAATTGCATGAATATCCTGAATTCCTACACTTTTTGAAATTTTGACAAAAGACAAACGTAGAAAAATATTTTAGACTGTGTTAAAACCTTAGTCAATTCCATAGACTACAAAACTTATCTGAGAAGTGCCTTTTGATTTCCACTGACAGATCTCAGTGAATCATGTCAAAGTATTATTTTCGTTTACTCTATATTGTTTCATGTGCCAAACGTACAAATGATGATATATTAAATCAGGATATTTTCTGGAACATATATGAATTTAAAAATTAAAATTTACCCAAGTTCTATAAATAGTCAACACAGCACCTTAATTATTATTACAAATGAACAAATCTCTTCTTTCTTATATTTTTATCCAATCTTTAAAGCAGTATTTACAAAGATGTATTTCTCAACTCTCTGAGTCTCATATCTTCTGATGTTAGTAGAGACTTTGTTATCTTCAAGTATCAATATTTACAAGAATTAAGCTAATTATTTACATAGGACCCGCATATATTACTACCCATTGTGGAGAATATTTTGACTGAATTTTATATCATATATCACAGATTTGATCAAATTATAATCTGATAATGTAAAGCTGCATAGATGATTTATATTTACATGTGTGATGGCAAAATTATGATATTTTATTCACAATGGGATGTCATTAAACATTGGCATCATAAATTCATATGGTTAAAAAATGTGTGGAGAATTGTACATGATTTTTTAGATTAGAAGGATAAAAAAAGTTAATTGGCGGTGGTTTAAAATTCAAAACGTGTCAGCTTCTATTTCTATAACATTTACCAGTTCAGACAGTGATTTGAAATTTTACACTGATCAAGTTTTCATTTCTCAAACATTTTCTTAACTCAATAATTTGAATAAAGAAAAAGGTTAGCTGGTGGGTGATATATATTTTAATCAGTTTGAACTCTTGATCTAATTTACTGAATACATGTCTGATCTAGTTGGTGTCCTGAGGTTTTAACCACTTAAATTATAATGATATCTGTACAAAAAACATTCTGAAATCAAAAATATTCCTGATAACATATTTTAAATTCTACTCTACCTTATAAGATATAAATATATTAGAATTTAATTGTAATAAAATCTATTTATTGCACACATTTAGCATCAAATTCAATTAGTTTTAAATTATCTGTTACACGCGTAGTTCAAGATATATATGTACAGCTTATACTTAATTGTCATTCACACTGAATATGATTTTCATAAGCAAATTTCCAATCATCTTTTCTTAGCATTGTATAAATCAATACATTAAATGTAGATTATGTTCTTATTGAGTTCCTTAATATGCATGTACATTCTGTTCATTATTACATACTTTAAAAAAAATAATAACAAATGCAGATATTTCTTTTCATTTTATACATCTGTACAATATACAACAATTATACCTTTTATTAAATGTCTTTGCAGCATAATTATGTTACATTGTCACTGATCTGACATCAAGAAATAAAATAATTCACTGATAATAAACCTTACATGAATGCAAGTGTTTCCACTTGAACATTTAATGATTACATACTAAGACAATGAAATAAAAATACATTCTTAAGTTGCAAGATTTAATACAGATCAAAAAGCATTAAAATTAATGACTATAGACTGCAGATTACACAAAAGTTTTAAAGTTATGCATTTAAACTGAGGTTATTTCATAACACTGTAAAAACTTGATACAAATAACAACATTATCTAACAGGATCAAAGTGTATGTCAACAATAATAAAATAACTTACACAAATTGGAATAAAATATCTACTTACACCTTAAAAACTAAAATTTAACATTTATTGCTAAAATTCTGGAAGAGTTCAATCAGTGCTTCATCTGAGAGTTGCTACGTCCAGCTGGACAATGAATGCGTCCTGATTTGTTGTAGGGTTTACCACCCCCAATCTGGTGGTTTAAGGATTTGTTGAGTCGCTGTAGATTATGACGTGAAAGTTTTTTGCTGTCAGATTGTTTCAGAGATCTTTGAGAACTTTTGACCATTTGGATCTGTGTTACCATTCCTGCTCTAGCTGCCACTGCGTTTGGTTTCCTTGGATCTTGTCGTGCCATTGCAGTCTTGACTTTTCTTGGAAGGATTTTTCTTGTTGCCGAGGGCGACTGATCATCGTTGGATGATTCAGATAAGTCACTTGCATCACCTGTGCTGCCTGAACATCGACTGTTGTAGACTGACATACTTGGATGTTCTATTAATAAATTTTCCATTGGTGTCATCTCTACATTTGATGAGTTACTTCCCCCTGCTAGAAAACATGGTGGAGGTGTGATTATCCAATTTTCATTATAACAACCTTTTTTAGAATGTAAACAGTATCGTGATACAGGTGAACCCTGAGAACACGGAGAACCATTGTTTGAGCTTCGTTGGTTGTCCGATTCACTATCACTACATGTTGGTGTATGTATTATAGAAGGCACAGGTGATTTCTCTGCAATCAACAATGATACTGTGCAGTTTAATTTTGATACCAAAAATTATTTACACCAATAGCTTGCAAAAGAATTTACAACACTGAACTTTAAAAAAAAAAATCAATAAAAATTATCTGTTTCGAGCCTAAACTGTTTCATTTGATTTAGCCAATAATGAAATAAACTTTTTGTAATAGTTAATATTTGTAAGTGTTTTCTTTTTTCATAAGATTTGCTGGTAGAATTGTGTTATTAATTTATTGTGACTTAACCTCATTTAAGAAGTGATCAAAATGCTATATCCATCTACACATTGGATAAAAGAGGAGTATATAAACATGTATTTTAAATCTTTTTTGTTTGCTGCTTTTTTTTATAGTTTGTTTACCTAATATAAACTTGTTGTAATAGAAATTACACTGTTGCTACATGTATATGTAAGTTTTTATTTTTTTTAATTGGAAACATGCAACATATGTTACATGTATACAAAATTTGTTACTGTAAATTCACAAATTATTGTGAGGTTTTTATTGATGCGAATAATGTGCCCTGGTGAGTATTGCAATAATAAGAACTGGCATTCTTATATGATTATGCAGCTTTTCCGTTGTCAGTTTGTTTTCGATCTATGAGTTTGACTGTCCCTCTGGTATCTTTCGTCCCTCTTTTCTGAAATTGCAAAAATTAATCTCGCATTTTTGTCCATTTTTCAAAAATCGCAATAATTTCTGAATTTACAGTATGCTATTGATATATTTATTTTATAGTTATTATTTTCCAAAATACCTGGTAAATCAACAAGAATCCAGTCTTGATCTTTCTCTGGTGCTGGCTTTGTCTGGAGATCAACATCGTTTTGCTCTGACTCAGTTGATCCACCAAAGAAATAACTTGTTACACTGCTGAACATTGTTTCTGATGAGAAAAATGATAAATAGAGGCTTTTATAGTTATAACTTCTATGTCATTTTTTCTAAATGGCAATCATACCACATATAATTTTCATATTTTAAATCTATTGCAGGTTATGATGAAATCACTTAACTGTTTAACATGTAAAGATTGGCTACAAGTTATGCAATGTTTGGAAGACATACACAGATATATTTATACATGCATTGAAAAAATCAATTGCAAATATTTTTTCTTCAAAATGTAATGAATTGTAAATTATAAAAGCTGTTTGTAAGCAGAACAAATAATATTGATGCTAGCATATACAAAGATATATTGATTAAAATGAGAAGTATATATTATATCGCTGATGTATGGTTCATGAATATTTATTATATCGAATACATAATTTACTAAATTTAGAACTCTGTTTAAAAATATCATGATCTGACCTTGGCAATATTCTAAAGTGATTGATCAGCTGTTTTAATGATAACCTCAGTCCTGATTTCCCATTTTGTTAGCTTCCTTTCAGAGAATCACAAGGCGGATGTGCAAAATTCTATTATTTCATTTTGAAAAAAATCAATGCAGAAGCGTTACCGCCCTCTATTGTTCCCCAACGATCCAACATAAACAAAGACATTTGGTATGTTGAAACTTGCAATAATTTAAATTAAATGGCTTGTTTTAAAATTTCATCATTTCAATAAGATAAATATGTAGCTTCACTTCTTATTAATAAAAAAAAGACAGTGAATTTTGCAAGAATGTTTTCAGTTCTCAATGTTGTCAGTTTTGCTCGAAGCCATTATGAAAACAAGGTCACAACTGTCAAACTCTTTCGACGCAAATTTCTCCAAATTTAACCCTTCTTTTCATTAAATATGACTTACCGATTCTTTCTTACGCTAAGTTTTGTTATAATTTAGGTGAATTGTCGAAATATAATCCAAATAAACGTACAGGATCTGAATAATGTATCTGCGTCACCTTCTGCTCAGCTGTTCAACCCAAACACCAGTCACAAACGCATTCACTGGTTCACAAGGCAGCTGTGTTTACGTTTTTGAAATTGATTTTGATTGGTTAATTTTTCTTTGTTCTCACCATATATGGAATATCATGAATATTTATGATGGTTAATAAGGCCCGATATGGCAACCACAATGCGTGCGCATTGCAATGACACGTGTTATTGTTGTGATCAACGAATGAAATGTACATGGCCTAGGGCACGCTAAATATTAACCCTTTGAACTTGAACTGTAGTTAAATTATGATTGCGAATTGCGAAATATATATGGGTTTGAATGCAAATCTAATATTAAAATTATTTATTGTCCTATCAAACAAAGTATATGGTTGAAGACAAGAGTTTTACTAGTTTCTTCCATTGTTTTGACAGATGGCCCCAATCCTGCATTACTAAAATTTAGTTATTTTTATCACTAGTGAAGAACGAAAGTGTCACATGATTTGAAAAAGACGATCTTGGGGAATCATAAACTACCTATCGTATGGACAAGAGCAAAGACACATTAATTAGGTTAAAATTTTATAGAATATTCCCCGTAAACAATAATAAATACGAGTTGGGTTATACTTGTTATATATACACCGCAAACCAAAATGAACATTATATATCATCCTCCAAAAAGGAAAATTAACAATAGTGAACGAAAATTAGTCCTATGTGTCGTAAATTTTGTATAGTCTTTCCCGTATGATCCCGTTTATCCTGTCGTTTAGTCAGAGACATATAATACATGTCTCTGGTCAGTTAGTATAGGTCTGTGTATGTTTGCTTAATTTGTTTGCGTTAGTCAAATTTTTAAAACCTCCAAGCAAGACCAGCAAGAAGGAATTTAACTGCACACAGATATAAAACAAAAAACAATTGAAGCTTGACTTAAATTATAACATGTATGCCATGGAAGGTCATCTGCAAATAAACCTCATTTGGTTCCTATTTCATATATATGATTAAAAAAAACATGGGTCCCGGTGACATTCTTTGATATGATTGAACAATTAAAGACTATGCTCAACTTAACAGAATTGATAATTTGTATCATCAACAAATGATTCTCATTTAATATCATTCTGTTGACAAATATTAACAATTAATGTAGAGTAATGCAGAATATCATTACAAGTGAAATTTACTGGAGAAATTATTTTCCAACCTTTTCTCTGTATACCTTCTTAGCCAAAGTGAATCACATTTGGCAAGAATAATATATGGAGGGTCAGCGAAACCTTTAAAATTTTCTATTCTCTGTGTTTCGTCAACTTTTTTTCTCAAGGACTCGAGGTCGATTCCAATAAGATTTGGCTGGAATAATATGATGCAGGTCAAAAAGTACCATTTTGTTTGGTTCCTTATGATGTTGGAAAAAAGGGATTATAAGAATCATTTTTGTGGCGGGCTAGACTGGACTACTGGAGACATATTTTTTTGAATTATACAGAAAAGTACAAGGTGAGCGATACAACCTCATTGGAAACCTCCAGTTTCCGAAGGTTTTGTTTTATGGGAAACCAAAGACTTGTTTGGACAAAACAATAAAAAGGAGGTGCACAATGTATAAAGGTACTAAAGATTCTTTGAACATTATCATGTCACTACATTGAAGGAGCACCGGATACAAAGTGACGAAAGATGAATTAAATTTATTAATGGTCATAACGATCACGTCTTGAATACTTCAGTCAGATAACTTTCTTCGATATATCCTTGTATGTGAAATGCAGCCTACATTAAGGATGATTTAGAAACTGACATATAAATAACTTATCATTACTTAATATTTTTTAAAGGATATCTATATACAATATTTGGCGTCAGAGTAACCGGACATAATTTTATATTTGATGCCCATTCATAGATTTTTTAATAATAATTACGTGTAAAGGTCATTCAAACCAAGCTTATGTGTGACGTCGGAGGTAAAGCCGTGCTCTAAAGATTATCTCAAGCTAACCAAAGAATTTTAATTTTTTTTTGTTTTATTTTTATTTCCAACGGTTAAACCATAAACATAATAGCCATGGTTAAACCATAGACATGCAAATTCTATAAAGTCTCCAGTAATAATATATATTTTGAGTTTTCGATAGTTTTCAAATAGTTTTATGTCTAAAGGAAATACTGACTTTTTTTAAAGGTTTGTGGGCATCTAATGAAATCACGAAGGAGCATGATCATAGTACTGGTATCATTGATTTCCAAACATATCATGGTCCAAATGCAATAGCACCTGTACTGCTGATGCTTGAATTGAGAAAGTAAAATCATCTTTTTATTTATAGATAAGAAGCCGTGCTGACTTAAAATCTATAATAACGAACTTCAGGGAATTAGAAAAAGGTAAAAATCATCGCGAGCTTTTTGGCGAATGAGTGAAGGTTATGAGACACAATGGTTCATTTTGGGCGAAGCGACTGACCCCCACCCCTCATGAATCCGCCCGTCATGACGATAAATAGACAATCAGTTTAATTCAGCATATAAATATTGAATTTGCTGAATTAAACTGATTATCTATTTATCGTCATGACGGGCGGATTCATGAGGGGGTGGCGGTCACGTACAGTTACAGGGGAGGTAATGACGTCGCTAAATGTTATTTTTCGCGACGTCAGACTGTGACATATCGGGGAAAAGATGCATTTTCCGACTGATATTTATCATTTAGACCGATTTAACTTGAAAACGAGTTCGTTGTTTCCTTTTTTTGAAATGACATTTGATTTGATTATTTGTGAAGATTATTTGTGCCAATTTTTATGAACATTTCACTGATGATTTTTTTTTTAATAGATGCATATACATAAATAAATTCCGCTTTTTGACTGAAATCATGAAAATGTGATAAACATTTATTATTTCGAAAGAACTGTTACACAAAACCAAAGCACACTTATATAGAGAAGATATTCCAAATGTTTTTACAAAAATCGACATGCATTTATCCTTTGGAACAAAAAAGTAAGATATGTCTTTCCAAAGGATAGAAATGTCAAAAAAAACGAAATTTTACTGAGTAAACGTCTTAAATTTCGACCCCATTTATCTCTAAATTTAGCACATAAAGGTAAATTTTTATTACATATTTGAATAAAGTAGGTACGGTACATACAAGTAGCATTATTACGATACAATACATATACAATAAGGAGGGTCTGGCTGTGGTGCTTCAATTCTGTATTCTTTAATTTTTAGGTTATTTTTTTCTCTATTCTTTAAATCTTCGCACCCCATTATTCTCTAGTTTCTAATTTTTGGGCATATTTTACTCTATTCTTTTTTTTTTTTTTTTTAGCCCTTTATTTTTTCTGTAGATTTGGCCCATTATTCTCTATTTTGTAAACAATAAGGTTAGTCAGTATTACAAGTATGCGTGCCTAAAACAGTATCGCAACTACGACGAATTGAAGCATAAGCAGTCGCGGATCCAGGGGTGTTTTCCGGGGGTTGGAACCCCCCATTTTGGTGGCGGGCAATGCTTTTGAATAGGGACATATGGTTGGAACCCCCCCCCCCTTTTATCCTGGGTTGGAACCCCCTTTTAAAAATGGCTGGATCCGCCCTTGATAAGTGAAAGCATTATAAGCACTGCGGTCAAAAAGCATGATGAGTATGATCAAGCTTCATGCATGAGCACTACATGCTAAACACGTTTCAGACATGAAAACAAAGACACGGCCTTCAACAATGAGCAAAACCCATATCGCATAGTCAGTTATAAAAGGTTCGCAATGACAAATGCAAAACAATTTAAACGAGAAAAATAACGGCCTGTTTTATATGACAAAATGATGAACGAAAAAAAAATATGATATATATACAGCAACATTTAAGTATATATATAGTTCACATTTGCGGTTATTTTCATCTTGGGAAAAATCTATGGAACATTCACCAGAGAGAAGACGCGTTTAAAACTAGTAGCAACTGTTTTTTACTATTTTTTTTTATTTGAAATGCACATTTGTACCCTGAATAAACTTTGTAGCCTTTGCTAAATTGAGTTATCTTCCCTTGTCTGGATTTCACAATATTGCAATGCAGAGTTTTCCAAATTGGAACTCTAGAATGATCTATGCAGTGTCAGTGTAAAGTGGCATATATATAGAGAACTTTTCATATTATCAAACTATTTGCATACTTTATTCGCACTAAAAAAACAGTGAGTTGATTCTAAACCATTCCTGGAACACAAAGTCAAAGGTAAAATATAAATTAACTGTCATTTATATATATTACATTTAAAAAAAAACTTCGATAAGTATATGTTAATATTTTTAGAGATAAAACCTCACCATAGACTTAGAGAAAGCGACAAATACACCAAGGGCAAGGAAGGAATAAAAAAAACTTGACGAAGGACAGACGAGGTGTCGGGTCCTTTCGGCCCTTAACTCGTTCGTCCGAAGACACATTTGGTTTCCGGACTATAACTTGAGTTAAAGTAAATGGATCTCTAAGAAATTTAACCAGAAGGTTCAATACTACAAAAGGAAGGCTGGGATTGATTTTGGGGGTTATGGTACCAACAGTTTAGGAATTGGGGGTCAAAAAGGGGCCAAAAACAAGCATGTTTGTAGTTTCCGGACAATAACTTGTGTGTTAGTGTATAGATCTCTCAGAAATTGTACCACAAGATTCCATATCACAAAGGGAAGGTTGGGATTGAGTTTAAGGGTAATTGCCCCAATGGTTCAGGAATTAGGGGCAAAAAAGGGCCAAAAACAAGCATTTTTCTAGTTTCCAGACAATAACTTATGCTTAAGTGTATGGATCTCTCTAAAATTGTACTACAAGGTTCCATACCACAAAGGAAAGGCTGGGATTAGTTTGGGGGTAATTACTCCTGTCTCCAAGGGGGAGGGGGTTCAGAAAGTTTGGAGGGATTTTTTTTTTCCAATTTTTTTGGGGGGTTTATATTTTTTATTATTCAAAATTTTTGAAATTTCAAATGATTGCACAGTATTGCACAATAGCAAGAAATCTTCAATTGCACAGTATTGCGCAATAGCACAGTATTGGGCAATAGCAAGAAATCTTCAATTGCACAGTATTGCACAATAGCTAGAAATCTTCAATTGCACAGTATTGCGCGATAGTAAGAAATCTTCAATTGCACAGTAATGCACAATAGCACAGTATTGCACAATAGCACAGTATTGAGCAATAGCACAGTATTGCGCAACAGTAAGAAATCTTCAATTGCACAGTAATGCACAATAGCACAGTATTGCGCAATAGCACAGTATTGAGCAATAGCACAGTATTGCGCAACAGCAAGAAATCTTCAATTGCACAGTATTGCGCAATAGTAAAAAATCTTCAATTGCACAGTAATGCACAATAGCACAGTATTACACAATAGCACAGTATTGAGCAATAGCACAGTATTGCGCAACAGCTAGAAATCTTCAATTGCACAGTATTGCGCAATAGTAAGAAATCTTCAATTGCACAGTAATGCACAATAGCACAGTATTGCACAATAGCACAGTATTGAGCAATAGCACAGTATTGCGCAACAGCAAGAAATCTTCAATTGCACAGTATTGGGCAATAGCAAGAAATCTTCAATTGCACAATAGCAAGAAATCTTCAATTAAACAGTATTGCGCAATAGCAAGAAATCTTCAATTGCACAGTATTGCGCAATAGCAAGAAATCTTCAATTGAAATAAATACAAATCTTTTAACCTATTTCATTGGGATTAATTTAAAGTCTTTTGGTGGTTCTAACCTTGTATTACTTTTTTGGATATTGGGCCCTACCGTAAATTGGGAAATATTGGCGTCGGGATATTTTGGCGTTTTTCTCTCGAAAGGCATGTCTTTTATTTTGGTGTGTGTAATTTTGGTGCTTTGTCCAATTGATATGTTTAATTTTAGAACAACAGTAGTGAGCAAGCTCATTCATATTTGCCTTTATTTACCCTTTATTGACAAAATATCATTGAATTTCTCAAACTAGAAACACGACAAAGTGAATTTAAGGAAGGAATCGGATACGGATGCAATTGCAAATAATTCTGTATATCGAGTTTCAAAGCTGAAAGAAAATATGACATAAAATCTTAAATATGAAAATCACTTTTTAAATAGATTATTTATTTTTTACAAATATCATATGAAATAAATTTTAATTATCTCTATTGCAGTACAATTTAATCGTTTGCCGATCAAGGATTTAAATTTTAATCCTTATCCCTCTGGCAGTACATGTTAATTAATAGAAGATAAAGGATTACAAGGAGTTTTGATATTCTAATTACCAATAACGGCGTCTAATCAGCAATAGCCTGGCATATTTATAACATGTGTGAATGCAAATTCATATTGTGTTTTCTTAACAATTTCAGAAAATTGGCAATAAAGTAAAATTTGTATAGTGTTGTTGTCAAAGTATACCAGGTATTTATTTGCAGATTTGGCTATGTATAGAATTGTAGGAAATATACGGAAGATATAATAACATAAAATATTTCCCCCAACAATTAGCATTACACATTGTCGTACCGGTATGCGATTTTGACGTTTCAATTTTTAGTGTTTGCTTTATTTTCATGTGTTTAATTTTGGCACTTTCATTGGAGGCACCAAATAAACCAAAATAAAACTACAACCAAAATAACCCAATTTACGGTATTTTTTAATTGGTCTACATTGAGGTCAAAAGGGTCCAAAATTAAACTTTGTTTGATTTCATCAAAAACTGAATTATTGCGGCTGTATGATGTGCCGAATCTTATTGTGCATTTAGATTTTTTATTTTGGGCCCTGTTTTCAAATTACTAGTAGTCAATATTAAGGTTTGAAGGGTCTAAAATTAAACTTTGTTTGATTTCAACTAAAATTAAATTTTTTGGTGTTTTTTTTTATATGCTGAATCTAACCATGTTGTTAGATTTTGGATATCAGACCATTCTAGGTAAATTAAATGTCCCATTTCAAATTTTTAAGATCTTTGACCACATTTATTTTGTGTCAGAAACCTATATTATGTCAAAAATTTGATCACAATTCAAATTCAGACAGTATCAAGCTTTAATATTGTGTCCAAACTTGCCCCAACTGTTCAGAGTTAGACCTCTGCGGTCGTTTCTGGCTGCGCTCAGCGAAGTATTTTATTTAATTCTAAATAAAAAATGAAAAACGATAATAGAGGACACTGACTAACTACTATAATATATTAAAATATAAAAGTTTTTTTTATACCCCCCCCCTAACCCCACTTTTCAATCCACTCCTACTAAGCCACTGATTTTATGTTCTTTATTTCAATACAATAATGCAATTCAAATTACACGAGAAAAAAACTGTATGCACGATTAAAGGATTATACAACAAACTATAACATAATTTCCAATGAATTAATTAAAGAGGTGAACATGTTTATGTCTGGTATTTGACGGACTGTAATAAACAGCAAGACCAAAATGAAAAAAAAATGTGAACAGACGTGCAAACAACAGTCCGCAGAAAACTTCAGACAGAAGCAACACAAATTCACAGTTCACCCCAAAAAATTATATTTCCCATGGGCATAGCGGGAAATATAAATTTTCGAGGGTGAACAAATCTTCATAATTCCCACAGTTTATATGGGAAATTAGTGCTTAGAATTACACTTACTTTCTTTGACTTCCCCAAAATAAAATATATTCATAATACATGCAATATCTAAGTTCATACTCTTGATTTTATAATTACATGGCATAAATAGACTACATCAATAATTTTTTTGTCAATCATTAATTATACATAACATGATATGTTTTCCTTTTGTTTTGAATCAACACCTGAAATCAACATGACATTGACACAGATTTCACTGAGTAAAAACGGTTGTAAAACACTATATAAACAGTGTGTACCGTCGCAGTGAGGAAGACACAATATTAATATGATTTGCTCTATGAAATGTGATAGTCTCCATATCAAATATAAATTTAGCTGTCTATATCTATGATTTGATAATTGTGACATCATAAGGAATGAAGGTTTTTAGCAAAATTAGGTTATTTGGATAAATTAACATAGAGCACAAGATAATGTTTTGCAAGTGAATAACTATTAAACTCGGGACTCTGAATAAATTTTCTGTGCCAATATCTTTTTGAGCAATTAGGCAGGCGAGTTGGTTTTCTATTATCATGATTATGTGTAATCATCTCTTACAGCTTTCAACCAAGACCTTTGAAACTTCACAGACAAATTGCACACATATTGAAGTTGTACACCTACTGCTATTGAATTGTTTGAGGAATAAAAATAAAAAGTTCCAAAATTTCCAGACTTGGGAGCTTTGTCATTTTTTTCATGAAAAACTTCACAAGAAGGTACTAATTTTGTGAAATCAATTCCACCTCCTGTCTTCAACTAAGACCTGTGATACTTCATAGACAGATTGTACACACATTGAAGTTATGCATCTCAAGTCTGATCCATTTTACTGAATTTATAGTTTATAGCGGTAAATCCCATTAAAAGGTTATATTAATAACAAAAATACAATGTTTTATTAAATTACATAGATTCAATATTTTATTATGGAAATCAGAGACAGTTTGAAAAACATTTGTATTTAGGGAGAATTTTAAGCCCTTAAGCATCCTGTCTCTGTTTTATATCACTATCATAAAGAAAATCAGATTTGTGCTGTTGTCAATCTGTGCCACAGTACTAGACATATTATTTTAGCATGTTTTCAATTTCTTTTCAGTAGAGGAGCTTATTTTTAATTCACTAACAACTTCAGTTTCAGGAGACCTACAAGATAGAATTTTGAGTGGACACAACAAAACTCAGCTTGGAATATATTCAGAAATGGAGGTCTGCCTCTATCATGCTGATAAATGTCATTTTGACATTGTCACAAGAGACATAGAAAAAGCTAAGATTATACCAAGGAATTATGTTAAGAGGCTAGCAATGTGTGTGTGCTCATGTAGGAAAAACAGTAAGTGAACTTTAAAAAAAATTAAGGTGTATATATATGAGATAGTCCTGTAATATAAGTCTTGATTATGGAATCCAATTGTTTGCATTCTAAGTCTTTTATCCATTTTTGCATTTTTGCATTTTTTTATGCCAGTGGAATCTTACAAATTGCAATGCTATCAATAAACAACAGCAAAGATAAATAGAAGCAAAAAAGAAAAATGTAAAAAAAAGTCCATATGAAAAGGTAAAGGTTATACAGCTAGAAGGTGTTGATTGATTGACCCAGCTATGCATTAAGAGTTACCGAATTCAAGAGGACAATACACAAAGGTGACAAATTAAAAGCAACAAGGCAGATATATAGACAACAAAAGACATATACAAACTCAGTATTTAAAACTAAAGCTTGGGCAATTACCGAAATATAAGCATATTTCTGTTTCATGTTCAACACTTGTCTCAATTATGCTCTGTGTTCAAAGTGGGCAAAGTCACAATGGTTAAAGAACATGAAGCACTGAGGGAAAATATGTCTTAAGGTCCATTTTGGGTACACTCACTTCATCATTTCCAGTTGCTGGAATGTCCAGTAATACGCCAGTAATATTACTGAAGAAAAATAACCAAACGAGTTAAGTGCTTTAATTTGTTGTTCTTTAGCAATGAATAAAAGAACACTTGCATTACAGATTTGTTTAGAATTTGTTTAATATAAAGCATATCACAATATTTATTAATTTTGTAAAAATTATTAATGATGACAGCTGTCAGTTTTAATTTAAAAAAATTTGCTATGATAAATTGTTTTGTAATATTTCCAAATTCAATGAAATTTATTTATAAAATTGTTAATTTAAAGTAGATGGCAGTCTTCATATAAATTTTGGCAGAAGGTTGCCAATTGTTGATTTTTTTTTTTTATTTTGATTCCTAGTATTTATGCTTTTATTTAATCTCCTTGTTTTTTATCCCCTACAAATTCATCAAGATATTCAGCCTATTTACTTACAATATCATTCACTATTGTTTTATTGGGTCCCTTCTTAGCATGATTGTTCAATATATATGTTATACTAATAATTAGATTTTTACATTACCTTTAGGATAACAGGCTTAAAAGGGTTTTTTGATGTGTCATTTTGTTCTAATAAAATGTGATTATTTGTGCTTCATGTTAAAACGAATTTGACAATTATATTTCAATTTTTTTTATAGAATTTAAGATAACAGATGAAGTCAGACAATTAGATTTGCAAGAAATGGCAATTTTCTTGGGAAACTGTATAAAGACTGAGAAATGGCCAGTGTCACTTGTTACATTACTCAAGCCATTGTTACTTGATTTGAGACTACAGCAATATAGTCAAAGTATGCTTGTTTGGACTTTATATAATGCTATTAAATGCCAAACGTATAGCCTATTAGATTCTTTAATAAAAAAGAAAGAACCTGGTGTAGTTTCTAGAAAACCTGAACAGAAAATGACTCCTGTGCAATATAATCATATGATAAATAAAAAGTGGAAAAACAGTTTGCACAAAATAGAATTCATAGTTCCAATGTTTGCTGGAAACACTAAGGTACTACAGAATGATGAGCGATTTCAAAACTTGCAGTTAAAGCACAAAGATATAGTGGTGAAAATAGACAATAAAGCTAACAGTGAGTTCATGGATAAAAATCTGAAAAAGACAAAAGTCAAACTTGGAGGGAAGGTAAAAGATGAAATCCATGAAATGGCAAACCATCTACATAGAATTGGGGAAGATATTCAGAGAATGCTAGATAAAAAGCGTTCAGTAAGTAATCTTTTTTTGAATCTATGAGTTTGTTGTAGATTACATTGAGTTTTTTAATAGCATTTGTGTTGGTCAGAGTTTGATTGCTTACCCTTCTTTATATTGCCTTATCAGAGCCTCCTTTGCAAACTATCATCTGATAAACAGCATACATAACAAGCCTAGTGCAGCCGTAAACAATAAGTATTGGCTGTGTTCATTTAGTTAATACAATATTAGCATATCTGCTTCAAGTCCAAAACTTTTACTTGTTCAACAATTAGAGTACATCATACAGGAATTAAACTAAGATTATATGAACAAGTATATAAATTCATTTGCATTATTTGACAACCCGGCATATCAAGGTATCCACTTCATGGACTCTACCGAAAGGATTCACACAGGCGCTGGTTCACAAGACGGAGTTTAAGTATATAAATGGTTTAGATTTATATATATAAACATAATTTTGAAGTTTATTTTACTAGGACAATTATCAAAAGAAGAAAATGGCTAGACTGCAAAGAAGGATTGATTATGATTCTAATATTGATGAGGCCTTCATTAATACAGACGAATCATGTATGTATTCATATTACCAACTTTTTATTATGGTTTGTAACGAATAATGACATGAGTTGGATGTTATAGCTTTAAGATATATAACACCTGTTTTAAACAATTTCAAAACATTGAGAACTTATACAGATATTGTTCTGAATGTACTAGATGTACAGATTTTTTTATACGACCGCAAAATTTTTGACCGCAAAATTTTTGTGGTCATATAATGTTATGACATTGTCAACTTGTCAGCATCGTCCAAAGACATCTGGATTCCAGACAATAACATGAGTTTAAATAAATGAATCTCTATGAAATTGTAACACAAGGTTCCATACCACAAAAACAAGGTTGGGATTGATTTTGTGGGTTATTGTCTTAACTGTTTAGGAGTTGGGGGCCAAAAGGGGACCAGAAACAAGCATATTTCTTGTTTCAGGACAATAACTTGTATATAGGTGTAATTGGCCATTACCCTCATAATCAATCCCAACCTTCCTTTCAGTGTATAGATCTCTATGAAATTTTACAACAAGGGTCCATACCTCAAAAAGAAGGTTGGGATTGATTATGAGGGAAATTGCTTATTTCTTGACCAATTTCAATGGGGATTTATTCAAAATCTTGAATTCTTGGTGTTCTTTAATATGCTGAATCTAACCGTGTATTTAAAAGATTATGGATTTTGGGCCACATTTTTAAATTGGTCTGTATTGAGATCCAAAGGGTCCAAAATTAAACTTTATTTGATTTCATCACAAAGGGAATTTTTGGGGTTCATTGATGCCGAATCTAACTGTGTATTTAGATTAATGTTTGGACCCCATTTTTAAATTGGTCCAAATTGGGGTCCAAAATTAAAGTTAGTTTGATTTCAACAAAAAATGAATTCTTGGGGTTCTTTGATATACTGAATCTAACCTTTTTTTTACATTTTGGATTTTGGGCTCCATTATTAAATTGGTCCACATTAAGATGTGAAGGGTCCAAAATTAATCCAAGTTTGATTTCAACAAAAATTAAATTCTTGTTGTTCTTTGATATGCTGAATCTAAACATGTATTTAGATTTTTGATTTTGATCCATAATAGGTTAATGTCCAATTTCTTAGACCACATTCATTCTGTGTCAGAAACCTATGCTGTGTCAAATATTTAAGCAGAATTCAAATTCAGAGCTATATCAAGCTTGAATGTTGTGTCCATACTTGCCCAACTGTTATGATTTCAACCTTTGCGGTTGTATCAAGCTGCACCATGCAGAGCATTTTATTTTAGCTTGGGGTTGTAAACATCTATAAATATATTCTTGGGCATTATAACCATGATAACTAAAATCTTTTCAAGGTCAGGTAAAGTATATTAAAAAAAAGTTATATTCCTTTCAAAACATACAATTTGATCAAATAATGATGAAATAAAACTATATATTTTATCATAGACCTGGCTGAAATGTTCCCATGACTAATGATGATAAATGGAAAACCTGTAAAATAGAAATTGAAAAATCAGGATCTTTAAATTGAAGGAAATTTTTGGTCATGATGTTTCTTTGTAAATCATTTGGATGCTAGTTCGAGATAAAGATAAAGCAATGCTTTTAATTTTAGTGCAATACAAACAAGAAATGACAGATTTATACAAGAGAAGATGTGAAGCAAACAGAATTGGGTATGTTCTTAAATGATTTCAGGTCTTGACCTTTTTACCATTGACAAATGCATACATGTTCATAGCGAAAAAAAGGTGTACTGTTTTAAAAGTTTTTAATGATGGTTAGACTTTCCATCAGTCATAAAGAATATAAAACTGTTCAAGTTAAAGTCATATGATCCTTCAAATTTAACAAAAAGATGAATGTGTTGTATATACTTAAATGGCTAAGTTTTACTTTAAAACATGTGCACAAAGACTTTCTTTTAAAGCAAATCATTTATTTTATTGAAAATCTTCAGAAATATACTGCTGTTGAATTATTTTTCTATACTCTAACTCACGGACATCTTTTCTGTATGCAGTGACCTAAACTATGACACATTTTTAGTTAGGAATTGGAATTTGCTCACACAAGTGCAAAGGGATAAGGGAACGACCATTTAACTTCAAAGAGGGGGGGGGGGGGGGGTTATGGTTTTTTCCTAAAAAAATATTTTGATCCCCAATTTGATGAAAAAAAATATTGTGGTCAAGCAGATGACAAAAAAAAAAATATTCTGAATCCAGATTTTCCCCGTACCTTATAGTGTTAAAATTTTGAAAAAAAAAATAATTTGATTGATAGCGTCGAAAAACTAAACTCAGACAAAAAACCATAACCCCCCCCCCCCCCCCCCCCCCCCCTTTTTGAAGTTAAATGGTTGCTCCCTAAGACCTTGATGAAAGAAAAAGTAAACAAATATGGAAGGAATATAATATTAACTGATTCTAACAGAGATCTTTAATATACACCAAACCATTTAACAAACTTTATGAATTTTTATCATTTAGTTAAAAATCATATGTTTTTAAAAGCAATAAATTCATTTTACAGTTCAAGAAATGCTAAGTATACTATGCTGAAATAGTAGGCAGCCTGACTTAACTATTTTGTAGCATTTTAGCTTTGAGTATATTGTACATTAAAAAATTGAAAAGGTTGCAATATACGTAACAATTTATGATTTCAGATTTTCAAATTCAAGAACATCATCTTAGATTTTCCTCTCAGCCTGCTCTGATTTTTAGGTGGCCAGCCAATTTCACTTTACTTTAAAATTGAATACAATAAAGATACTATTTTGACAGCATTCCTTCACTTTAATGGTGTACACAAAATTTGCTCTTTGTGAGAATTGCAAGTATCTAACTTTGCTGATAATTTCAGGAACAAATCAAGAACACCAGGAGCATCACTAAAGGATGGTCACTGTATGAATTGTCTTGATAAATTTGTTACACTGAAAAATCCAGATGTCTGCAAATATCATTCAGGATTCATAGGTAAATACATATTAGATAGTTATATTGAGATCAAGTTTGAATCAATGGTTTGGATCATGAAATGATATTATCACAAATTCACAATCATTTTGTTCAGTTTTTATACGCCCGTTTACGGAACGTATTATGGTATACCGTTGTCCGTCTGTCCATCCGTCCGTCTGTCTGTCCGTCTGTCCGTCTGTCTGTCCGTTGTCAACATGTCGGACATTAACTCAAAAACACTGTAACCAATTTGCATAAAACTTTGGTGAATTGTTTATAAAATTTAGATTTTACGTTTCCGAGTTAAGGGGTTTTATTCATTAAAAACAGGGGGATTTTCCAGTTTTCGGACAATAAGTCAGAAATGCTTTCACCAACTTGCAAGAAATTGTGGTGAATAGTTTATATTTATTGACATGAGCTTCCTTTCGATTTTTATAAATTTTAGATTTTACTTTTCAGGGTTTTATTCATAAAAAAAGGGGGGATTTTCCAGTTTTCGGACAAAAACTCCAAAATGCTTTCCTCAATTCTTATGAAACTTTGGTGAATTGTTTGTATGTATTGATGTAAGCTCCCTTTTGAATTTTATAAATTTTACATATTACATTTCTGAGTTATGGGGGTTTATTCATTAAAAAAAGGGGTGATTTTCCAGTTTTCGGACAATAACTCAAAAATGCTGTCACCAATTCTCATGAAACTTTGGTGAATTGTTTATATCTGTTGATGTAAGCTGCTTTTTCATTTTCATAAATTTCTAATATGACATTGAGAATAAATTGAACTTTATTTGGTTATAGTCTGACAACAGGTTTACTAAGTATTGCAAAACAGCAAGAAATCTTTAATTGAATATAAATTCAATTCATATAACCAATTTCAAGATCTTTGACTACATTTATTCAGAAACCTATAATATGTCAAATATTTAATTACAATCCAAATTCAGACCTGAATCAAGCTTGAATATTGTGTCCATTTTTGCCCCAACTGTTCAGGGTTGGACCTCTGCGGGCGTATCTAGCTGCGCTCAGCGAAGCAGTTTATTAGTACATTCTATATACATGTATTTATAATTTTTATAGACCTATTTCACAATTTTATCTCTTCAATTATTAATGTGTGCTGCAAATATCATTTTAATGCCCCCGCCCTAGCGGAAGGTGCATAAAGTTTTACCCTTGTCCGTCTGTATGTCCGTCGGTATGTCGCGAAATTGGTTTCTGTTCTCTAACTTTAGTTTGCCTCAACCAGATGTTATGAATCTCATACACAATGCTTATTACCACAAAACACAGACCAAGTTTGAATTTGGTGGTGTTACTTTTACTGTTCTAGAGTTATGCCCCTTTACAAATCGAAAAATTACTGAATTTTTCGTTTCTATTCTTTAACTTAAGTTTGCCTCAACCAAATGTTATGAAACTTATACACAATGCTTATTACCACAAAACTCTGATCAAGTACAAATTTGGGTAGCGTCACTTTTACCGTTCTTGAGTTATGTCCCTTTATAACATTATATGCAAGCAGGGGCATCATCTGTGTCCCGTGGACATTTTTCCCATTTATTTCAATATTCAGATGCAGTTTAATGAGGTGTAAATGCATATAGTGATATCGTCTTCTGTATTTATGGAAGAAATACACAAAGTACTTTTAAATAATAAGTGTCAGGTTCTTGAAATAAAGACTTGATTGATTCATACATTTTAAGCTTGAAAAAATTACAATCAAATAGAAAACAAGACTTTAAACACTGACACACTCCTTTTCTCTTGCAGTTTGGTTGGTTGAAGGTCAGTGCTTACTGAAATTAATACTGTAAAAAGGCTTTGTTTATAATTTAGTCATGTTCTCTGAAAGAGATATTTAAACAGGTTAAGAAACTAAAAAAAAGTAATTACCAAAGATTATGATGCATTTCTTATAGAAATTATTATGAATGGGTAATAGATTACATATTTTTTGTTTGTTTCTGTTGTTGTCCAGTTGCTGATAGATTGACTTTACCTCATTTCTATTATTTTTATATTTATAAAATGAAATATTTACTTATTTTTATCTTTTTTGCTTATATATAGATCTTGAAGGGAACTGGAATTGCTGTGGACTGAAATCACAGTTCAACCAACCAACTCTGAAAGAACACCAAAGTACTGGGTAGGTTGCAACAGAAAATATACAGTTGACCATATTAAACTTTCTATTTAATTGAAGATATATGAAAATGATTAAGTTTCATGATGCTAATATCTGCCTTTCTAAATATACCTTTTTAACTCTGATAACTGGATGAAGGCTTGTAATAGTTTTTGCTGTTACTTGGTATTTGTTGGTATTTGTTGTCAGTCATTCATCTGTTGTCTGTTGAACTTTTCAAGGATTACGACTTCTCTGAAACTACTGATCAACAGCTTGAGGGCAAAATGTTCATAATTTCCAGATCTATCTACAGTTGACCAGTTGTATCATTTCTGCCTATTTTCTTTAAAAGTAGTATATATAGACTGATTCAGCAATAATGTTCAGTTGTACACTATTTTCAAAGATACCAATATGAAAGAAACCGTGAAATTACTGTTTATTGGAGTAATTGCCCTTAAATGAAAATTGTATTTTTGTTTTAAAATGATATGATAAAAATGCCACCTCAAACAGCTGAACCAATTTTAACCAAATATAACATAAATGAATCTTAGTCTTTGAACTACAAAACAACCCAAATGGATGCCATGACTTAAATTTTAAAACGAGATACTGCTTTCGCTTTGTAAGCAACAGCGTAATAAAATTTCCCAGACTCACAGATGTACATATTTATGGCTGTTACAGTTTACCTCCCACACAGAACCACTTTTCTCCTGAATTCCATATATATGCATTATTTTCAATTTTAACAGATATTTCCATTTAGTTGGGAAATTGGTGACAAAATTTAAAAACAGACAGTTGATATGTGCATTCAAAAGAAATGATAAAGTTAAGATACAATTTTCATTTCTTTTTTGAAGAGGCCAAAAAATGGTTGAAATTGGTTTGAAGGTCATTTGGCATGGATGCTTTACAAGTGATTTAGACTTCATAGAGCCTTTTAATCTAGTCTAAAAAGTCACTTTTGTTCTTCATTAATTGAAATAATCTCAATTGTTTCTGTACCTTTTTATATTCAAAGATACAAGCTGTAATAAAATAAAAAAACATTTATTTTTTAGGTGTTCTATTGGCGTGCATAACTGGAGGCATGGTAAAACCCTTAAACAAATGAAGATGAAAAATCCCATGAAGACATATCAGTCTATTAGACAAACAGGCAGAAAGTTTAATATCGAGCAATTAGACTAACATTTTCATACAAGTATAAAGTTTTTTGTGTTTTATAAACATGTTATTAATATTACATCAGTTTTGTTTTTATTTGCATTCAAGACTATTAGAACTTTTTTTATTTTTATATGATATTTATGGTTTATTTATATGAATTAATATTACATCAGTTTTTTACAAGTATGTTTAATGCTTGTTGACAAAAGGCCACTGACACAAAAACTTGTTTTTTCATAATGTAGGTTATAAACAGTTAAGATGTTACTTTGTTGTTTCCTTTGACTGATTACATCCTAATTTTATGAGATACAATTTTCACAATTCAGAGTGAAAATAACTTGTGTTCAGTTCCATTTATACATATGAATTTGCCAAAAAGAGATGTGCTTGTTTAAAATTATGGAAAAGAAGTAAGTTTGGTTAGGTAATGGCCTTTTTAGCCCCAAATTAAAGGTCAATGATTTCTAGATGAAAAATGTTTCAAATTGATCCATAAATTTGTGAGATAGTGAAACGAACCAATTTTTGTAGAGTTTTCTTACAAAGTAATTGTGCTTAGGTTACACTCCATGGTTGAAAATATGGATTTTGTTGTAAATTTACAAAATCTTCAAAATCATCATGTAATCCTAGGGGAAATAGAGTGCAGGGTTTGATAAAATGAATATTCAAGTCAAGTAGTTCATATGTTATAATAAACATAATTTTTGTATAATCTTTTTTGTCGACACATGCACTATTTGTTTCCTGTCTCAAAAGCCTATAAAATTTTGCATGTTTTCATTAAATTTGGTGTTTAATAAATATTTATGCTAATGATGACATCATAGAAACAAAGCTGATAGGTAAAGTTTCAAACAAAAATACCTATTTCCTAACTACCGGTAGCAATTGTTAAAACTATGATACATTGTGATACATTGTTATGACTATAAAATCCTACTTTATCAAGCTAGGTATAATGGCCATATTGAGGTCTTATTGAACATACTCCTTTGAAGTTCCTAATGTTAAATTATCTTTACACTTCAGTTCATTAATGTTAATGATAGTGGTAATGGAATAAAACCACTAATTCATGGCCTCATTTGGTCCAATGTTAAATTCTGCAATTTCCAGCATTTATAGTCATTCTGTCTTAAATTTAGATGAAGTGACCGACATTTCATGTCAAAACAATACCCTAGCTTGGCCTAAAAAATTCTACATGCATAATTGCATATAAGAGCGCACTGGTTCTCTGAAGTTCAGATGTGCAAAAACACCTTGAAAACCTACTGATCTGGACACAGACAAAATATACCTTTCTATTTTAATTTCCTACATTTCCTTTATCATGTAAAGCTTTAAACATCTTCAAAGCCCAACTCAAAATAGTTAACTTTGTTAAATTGTCATCACATGCAAGAAAAATATAATTTATGTATGTACAGAATTATTTTGCTTTTAGTAATATATGTCATTTTGGTAGTTTTTGCTACAAGTAAAATATACAAAACATCCAAGTTTTGTTCACTGTTCAACTGATAGATTGAAAAGGCAAGTATAATAAGGAGATACTGAGAGAAAGTACAAACAGATGATTTATGGTGTTCAAGTTTAAACAGATAATAGTTGAAGATTGATTTTGACTTATTTCCCAAACATTTGTATTATTTTTTCAAGAAATAGAAAATTTTCACATATCTTCCCATTTCATGAAGCAATTCTTTCAAAGACTGCCCTATCCAATCTTCTGAATGTAAAGTTTATTTTTTTTGTTTAAACATTTTTTATTTTTGAAAATAGAAGATTCCATGTTTTGCAATGGGAAGCCCTAGAATTATTCCCCTAAAAAAATGAATGGTATTTAGTTATTTATTGTTTGTAAAAATATAGTCGAATATGTAATGTAGGTGATATAGCATTGACAAAAATTCTGCATTAGTAGAAATGTTTATGTTTTACTCTGAGAAAGCTGAAATATTTATCTTATCAAAATATTGAATAGAAAGTTGACAAAAGTACAACAATAAAAGCAAAAAGACACCTATGTATCAACAGAATAACCTTCAAATTCAACCAAATTTACATCTTTTTGTCAGCTGAAAATTTCTATCAAAGCAAGGATTTGTAAAGAGAGAAATCCTTGATCAAAGTTATTATATATAAAAGGAGATGTGGTATGGTTCCAATTATGTTCATTTGAAATTAAAACATCACCATAGAAATATACAAACCATAAGACAAAGCCTCAGGAACATCACACTCCAAAGAAAAACAACTAGCAATAGGAAAAAAAATCTTTTTCAATTTTTGTAAAGAGTTTCCTGTTTGAAACTGAAATGTACAAAATCAAGAAAATATGCCTGAATAAACATTAAAACTTTCAGTTTCAATAACGATGAAGGTATAGGTAGATCTTTAACCGAGCAACAACAGTATGTTGTTTTAGGTTGTTAAATCTAAAATTGAATCTATCATCGGCTATCAAGTGGATAAAATATATTATAGAACTGTTAAGTAAAGAGGTATATATTCAAACACCAAAAAATGTATGGCTATATGAATACGCCAATGAAACACAATGAAAAAAACTAAACAAAATTACACCTACAGTAGTGTTGTCATCCTTTTTGATATGTTATCTCCATACTACAGTACATTGTGCAACCTTAGATTTTACCTGAATTACTATATTCTTAAATAGCCTGGTTGACCAAGTTGTCTAGGGCCTTGAACTCAGTGGTGCTATTGTACATGTCTGGTTAATGTAACAGCAACAAAACATACTCACTGCCAATGTACCCTACAAATAATGGAGTCGTTATGTTAAAATACATTAATCATAAACTGTTGTAAAATGGAGGCGGAAGATACAAAGCGGACATTCAAACCAATTAGTCGAAGAGACACTGTCAACGTCAGTGGCTATTTTGCAGGGGCTGGCAGAATAGTAAATTTGCTATTTTGCCGGCTCTATTGAAATTTTAATATCTTTTTTCAATTGATTTAAATTTACATTCTAATACAGAATTTCATTAAATTGGTGTTCTCAAAATGTCCTTGGGCAATCTTTACTCTATGTCTGGGACTATTATACTTAGTTGATATATTATGTCCCAGGTACATGTATAATAGTTGAGTATGTTATGCTACTGAAGAAAATATATTCCAGAACAGAAATAAGAGAAATCCGTTTAATAATTACCCAGGAGTTATACTAGAAAATCTACATACAAGACAAAAACAACATTGAGAATGCCATTATATTTCATTGTCAATGTTGAAGATAAAAGTAAAATAGTTGCACAGTTTCTATTTACTCTGGAAAATGAATATACACTTTTGTCTGTGAAAGAATTGTTCATATCAAGAAACAAAAAATGGGAACATGTAGGGGTTATGTTGACCGATAAAGACACGTGTAAGAGAAATGTATTAGGAAAGGCTATGTCTCAAGCTAGGTTGCAAAAAGTAAAATAACAAAAAAATACCGAACTCCAAGGAGAATTCAAAACGCAAAATCCTTTATCAAATGGCAAAATCAAAAGCCCAAACACATCAAACGAATGGGGAACAACTGTCATATTTCTAACTTGGTACAGGTACTTCCTTATGTAGAAATGATGGATTAAACATTGTTTTATAGCTAGCTTAACCTCTCACTTGTATGACAGTCGCATAGAATTCCATTATATTGACAATGTGTGAGCAAAACAAACAAACATATAAATAGGTTAAAATGTCCAAAATTGGAGTACAGCAGTCAACATTGTGTTATAATCTTAATCACTATAAAAACAAATAACCATTTCAACAAAGAAAAACAAAATGGCATATAGACAAAGTACATAAGCAAAAATGAAAGACAAGAATACAAAAATGACCATAGCACAATAACACAATGGCGGGATGTATAAATACCGAGCCACGCCAAAAGTATATTACCAAAAATGGACTAAACCGTAAAGGTTAACAATATACAAAGAAAAATAAAAAGAACACTATAACACGTAATTAAGATGATAAACAACGTCAGTACCTAGAATCTAGTAAACTTAAAGACCATCATGTATTATTTGTGAAGTTGATACGGAATATTTATCAAAAAGGTCTTGGTATCTTCCGATGAACTTTTTCAGAAAAAAGGACGAGACGTTTTTTGACAAATTCCTGGTTCATCAACTTTCTGTTCAGACACTGGTGACGTTTTATAAAAAGTCTGAGTAGTAGCTGCAAGCTCTTGAATACCGAATGAGTTGGGAAATGTATATCCTAAGGTAGGGGAAATTGATAATTTCAAAATTAAAATCGTCTTGTTTGTCGTAGATTCTAGTACTGAGATGACCGCTGTTATCAAATTCGAGTTATGAGGCGGATGAAGCCGTGTCTGTTTTTTCTTTGATTTCTAGTTCTGGGGGATATATCAATGGAACTAAATCAGAAAAGTTTGGATTTTTAATGGAAAGCAAGTGTGTCTGTTTCACGTCTTCATACGAGAAATATCAATTGAAAAACTTGGGATAACTATTGGTGAGAAAACAAACAAAAACTTTGGGAGTGCTACAGAAAATAGATTACTGCAAAACCGGAAAGTAGTATCAAAATTTGTATGTCAGGTTGTGTACAGAATCCCCAAAGTCAGTTATTTCATACTTTGATAAAAAAAAAATAAAAAAAACTGGCACACCATTAGACATGAGTGGGTAGGTGGGTAGATGGACTTAAGGAAGGAATAAATCTAGGTATTCGAACCCACAACAGAATTAAAGTATCAATGATAAAGTGAAGTCTGTGATGCATCATCATTCCACATAACCAGAATTTGCTCTTATAGGTTAAGACTCATTGAGAAGTGAGAGAGAACAAAATAGTGAGGCTATTTCAGATTTCCATCTTTGAGTGGTGTAAAAGTAGCAACTATATGCTATATTTATCTTTTTCAAAACAAGTTTAAGTGACTTTTACAGAATAAAATGAAATAAAACACAACAATCGAAAGCACACATACTGAAGTTTCTAAAGTGAATTTAAATTCCTGTTTTACGAATTCAGCATTTTTATTGTGACTTCTTTTCAGTTTCAATATGTTTTTTGCTTGACACCGCAATGTTTTTAAAATGTTTTATGTATTTTATTTATTGTGTATGTTATGTTTATCAAATTGAAATGATAAAATATATTGATAATGCACACCATTTTACAGTATCCAAAAAGACAAATTTAGGATTCATCAATTTTTATTAGAGTCGGCAAGAAAGCGTATTTTCTATTTTGCTGGCGCAGGCAAAATAGCCATGCACTGCTTAAGAAAAAATATAGAGTCTCCAATCTCATTGGAAGCGACTGCATAATTGAATATTCGACACTAACTACTTAGAGATCTATATATGCAGATATTTTAATCTTTAGCTTTATACAGATGTACTAATGCACATATCTACAGTTAGCCTTTCATGGTGAAATATCAAATCTCACAAAATGTTGTCAATATCTATAATAAGGTAAGGCACCGGGAGCAACTCACAGTGATTAAAAGTAAGCCACTGCATTTCCATTTTTTAAGTTTAACAGTTTACAAATCGAAAGGGGTAAGAATCGGGAGTTGCTGACCTATCTGAAGGCAACCACTTATTTGGTTTTGCTAGAAAACCAAAAAATATCTTCACCTAAAATGGAACCGTGAAGGTTATTTTCGTAAGCAATACTGTAGTCTTTCGTTCCTTTTTTTTAAGTTTTCAAATTGTCCGATTAGTTAGTCTTACGTAGATACGCCATCGATAGATCGATACATTTGAGATCATCATATTACATACTTTAAAAGAGGGACGAAAGATACCAGAGGGACAGTCAAACTCACAGAGATAAGGGTTACCTTGGTGTTTCGCATGTCCCATGAATAAACCAACTGATCTGAGTAATACTTATCTGCTTTTAGCATCTTGCAGGCAATATGTTTATCTTAATATCGTAATACTAAAACGCATTTATATATATATATATATATATATTTGGTGCTCTTTCTAAAGGAGAGGCGAAAGATACCAAAGGGACATTCAAACTCATAAGTCGAAAATAAACTGACAACGCCATGTCTAAAAAAGAAAAATATCAACAGACAAACAACAGTACACAAAAAAAAACTTAGAAAACTAAAGACTGGGCAACACGAATTTCAATATTTCAAAATGATAAAAAAAATTATCAAACATTAATCAAACCAGACCTCTGTATATTTAAAAAAAAAATATTTCAGGCTTATTTTCATTTTCATTTTTATGAAAACTGTGATAAACACGAATAATATCAGAAAAGATTATATTTATTTATCCATTATTTACTCCCAAACTTCCAGTTGATGTCTGTTTAACACTGTTTGAACCTAAGGATCCAGCTGCTGTCTGAGCAACAGAACCACTATTTCCAAGACTTCCGACTCCGGTCTGAGTAACTGTATTTGACCCAATCGACCCTCCATTAGTTTGCTGAATAATTTTTGTCCCTAAGCTTCCTACACCTGTTTGTGCTACGGAATTGGATCCTAATGATCCATTGCTAGTTTGAGAAACAGAAGTATATCCAAGGGCTCCAGTATTTGTTTGCTGCACCGTTTTAGATCCTAATCCTCCAGCATTAGTTTGTGTAGCGGAATTGGATCCAAGGCTACCTGTTGCAGTCTGAGATACCGTATTAGAACCTAGACCTCCGCTATTTGTTTGAGCTACTGTATTTGAACCTAAGGATCCGCTTCCAATTTTGCCAACACTTGTAGATCCGAGACTGCCTGCCGCTGATTGTGCTACAGTATTAGATCCAAGGCCTCCAGCATTTGTCTGCGCAATAACATTTGAACCAGTGGATCCACTACCTGTCTGACCAACACTGGTAGATCCAAGACCACCTGTTGCAGTTTGTGATACTGTATTCGATCCCAAAGACCCAATACCCGTTAAAGAGCCGAGAGAACCAGCAGCTGTCTGTGATACTGTGTTTGACCCTAGAACACCAGTATTTGTTTGGGTAGCTGTATTTCCGCCAATGTTTCCATTGGCGGTCTGTGTAATGGTATTTGTTCCAAGGGAACCAGCTCCTGTCTGAATAACACTGGTAGAACCAAGACTTCCTCCCGCCGTCTGAGAATTTTGCGTTGATACAACATTTCCGTTTCCAGTTATTGTACCCTGTGTCCCAAGACTACCTGTACCTATTTGCTGAATTGTTGTTGATCCTAAACCACCTGCAGCAGTTTGTACGTTGTTAGCATTTTGATTTCCAGTTCCTGGCCCTTTTCCATTACCTGAGGCTAGTCCAGTTTGTTGAACAGTCGTGCTACCCAGACCCCCTGCCTGGGTCTGACTAAATAGACCACCTGTTCCTGTCAACACGGAGGTATTGTTTATCATGCCTTGTGTTGGTCCTTGTTGATACATAGATTGGTGGTAGCCATTCCCCTTGGTCTCGACGGATCCACTTAAGGACCCTACCCCAGTTGCTTGCACATTGGCTGTATTAGTAGCCCCAGTTTGTGAAATAATATTTCCATTGAAAATTGTATTTACTCCTTGTGCACTGTTTTGGTTTGTGACTCCAAAATTAAGATTATGATTTTTGATGCCAGCAACGCTATTTGTTATCTGTGTTTGTCCTTGGTTATTTTGGAGACTTGTAGATGTACTAGGAGTAACCTGTTCTGGTTGAACTCCACTTAGATTTATAGTTCCTGCGTTTTCATAACGAGAATGTGTATTTTTAACATACCCATTTTGTGACTGAGTAGAGGATTTTATTCCAACAAACACTTCGGAAGTGCCTATACCAGGAAGCCCATTTCGATGAGTTGCATTTTCTGAATTAGTTGTGACGGGCAGTGGTACATTCCCATGAAACATTGGCAAACTTGCTTTCATAGAAACCGTACCAGGGTTATATCCAAGACTCTGGAAAAGTTTACTATTTAATGTATCAGGATCAAAACCATTAACAACGTGTGCATCTTGTGGTTTTGAAATCTCTGTCATTTTTTGTTTAAGAATTTCCATTAAGTGGTCGTTTAGTTTGTTTGGGTTGAATCCTTCTGAATCGGTATTTTGACTAGGTCCTGCTGATCCCTTGCCGTTATTGCTACCACTGTACTGTTCCAATGAATGCAAAGGATTATAAATCGAGAATCCCCAATCAGTATGCTGAGTTGAAGGAAACATGCTGTGACCATTTGGATCAAATTCTAATGGTGTCTGACTGTTCTCATTATCTGTTGACAATGAAGTAATTTCGTTTATCAAGTCGTTCGGGTGATAAGATCCAAACGAATTACTATTTGTTCTGAGCTCCATATATTTACTCATAATGGTGTTTGGGTTAAAATCGCTACTACTTCTTTTATGTTTTCTATTCAAACCTGTGGCAGAATTTACATATACTGGATTATACCCGACGTTATGAAACATTTTGGAATTCAGATTTGTGGCATCGAAATGGAATGTTTCATGTCTTGCTGATTGTTTTGATTTGTCCGCTAATCTATTAACTGATCCATGTTTGGGAAATCCATTCATATTCCCATTCAAACTATTTGGAGAAAACATATTTGTCATCATATGTTTGTTTAGCTGGTCTGCATCGAACCTGTTAATAGCTTTATATGTAGTTTTAGAATTTTCACCAGATGCATTATCTATTTGCTTTTCAGTCTTATCCTTTGACATACTATTAATATTTGAAATGCCTTTGTTCCTAGCTGGTGTACCTTGCCGGGAAGGCTCTGTATGCTCAGTGTTATTTTTTTGTTTGATTTCCTCCTTAGGTGCTTGGTTTGTTTGATGGACCACATTTGTTTGCATGTAATCTTTTAACCTATCATAATTATTATGCTGTGGAATATGCATCAGCTGCTGATTAAGAGTATTTGGGTTGAAAACATACTTATTTGTGTTTGCTGCAGAATTCTCGTCCACCGAAGAGATTCCATACATGTTATAATTTTTCATTGTGTTTGTTTTCAGGTTATCTGCATTTATTGTATTCATTTTTATGGCAGTAGTTGCTTGATTATTAACTAAACTGCCACCACTGTTTTCATAATTGTGTTCTCCATACTGTTGTGAATATGAATTAGGATTATGAATTAAAAATCCCCACTGAGCTCCAAACACACTTGGACGTTGATATTTATCGCCTCCAGATCGGCCTGTCATCATGTTATGCATAAGTATGTCGGGGTCATAATATCTTTTTGATTGGTATGCATCTAAAAGAATGGATAAAATAAATACACAGTAATAATGGCATTGTATTGAGAGAAAAAATGCATGAACATAAATCAGGTAAAACAACGACAAAGGCTTTAAAACATCGTGCCATTTGAAGTATTATCGAAATGTTTGACTTCTCAACCCTTCCATTCAATTTTCGGTGTCACACCACCACTTCACTCAATCACATTTAAAACATATGTAAGAGTAGCCCTACCCTTACATCGTGTTTTATGCTGTTGTGGTTTTTTAAAACTGGTAAATACATTTTCATGACTAAAAATATTTTGACCATTCTGAGCCCAAATTAACTTTTATATGTGTTGAATAGTATGCTAATTCAGATTTACAAAAAAGACCAGGGTGCTATATTTTGTTGTATGCGATTTCCGGAATGTCATGTTTCAACATAGGTTGAAAATTGGCATGTAGAAAGTTCAAACACGTATAATACGGGATATGCATAATTTTTATGAAGTTAAACTAGGGTAAAATATTTAGTGAGCTGTGAAAATAAAACATTTGGTTGAATATAATGGGATTTTGAATTGGTGGTGTGACACCTTCAGGCAACAATGATGGGATCAGTAAGTTTGATATATTTGGTTATAGGAAAGGAAAGACAGTTATCAGGGGGTTCGTTGATTCAAACATTCAACCATTGTTATATGTTTTGTTCGGTCACTATTATGTGTTTGAATTGTTGAATGTGTATCCTATCATTTGCGAACAAGGGTCTCAACAGAACATCTTTAATTTCTATAAACAATTACATGAGCCTTTTCTTTTTAATTAAAAGCAAGTTTACCAAGCGTTATTACAGAAAACGGTCATCGCATTTTTTGTTGATGTTACTGAAACTCTCAATATTGAGCCTGAATTGGTCGATCGATATAAAATGGGTGCCTACAAGCTATTCTTCAATCGTCCAACGCCCTTTACGAGAATGACTCATTTCTGGCTTTTATCTATAGGCAAACGTGACAATGTAATTTGAATTAGATCTGTTAACCGTTACACACGACTTTTTCCGTTTTGTGTCTTTGTGGTAGTTTGTATTTCTAAGGTTTAACGTAAAGTTGTGCATGTTTGTAGTAACATCAAACACCTGTCGAACTGTTGAACTTTAGTGTTGTTTCATTGTGGTTTTGTCTCACAAAAAGACCGTTTCTTAAGTCACGAACCTTATTGATTGTCTTTTTCTCATCATGGTGTTTTCCTTCTAGGAATGTGTGTTGCTTGCAGATCTTTGTTAACCTTTGGTAGAATAATATATTTTCGTAATTTGTAAAGCGGTGGGCGATTTAGAGCTTCACTGATGGTATGGACATTTGTACATTGGCTTAAATCGTATGTTGACCTCTATATGTCCCTTTTCTCTTCATTTCTTTTTGTTTCGTTTATTGTTTTGCAGGTTTTTTTGTTTTGTTTTGTTTTGTTTTGTTGTTGTGATATTTTTTTAATTGAATGCCGAAGAAGGCACACTATAACCACGACACACGTTTTTGTAATTACAATTTCTTAATCTAATTTTAGTCCAACAAAAATACTATGGGTGCAATTTAAATTGTATATTTTTTTGTTATTTTTTTAATCTAAATTATATTTATAAAACATAGGATAAAGTTCTATTTAAACTTAATAAGAAATGTTATATTTGAATATTTGACAAAAAATTACTCACCAGACAATATCAAAAGACGCAAGAATACAGGCAAATATGTACAGATCATGATCTTTATTCTTCCAGCTCGACTTGGATGATCTTTGTTCACAAGTGCTCATCAATAGTCTGACAGGTGGAAAGTTATACCGTGTGTCAAACTGATAGTATTATGATAAAGTCTTCAGTCCTCCGATGATAAAATTAAAAACGTGCACAAATGATTAGTTAAAAATACTGAAAACAACTTAGATAAACTTTAGCATGAAAAGATACGGAAATAATAGATACGAGGATGTCATGTTTTTCTATCTTTTGACCGTTGAGCAGGGACTGCAGTATACAGATTTTTGAACAGAAACTCCAAATAAAAAAAATGGGAATACTCATTATTCTTTGGTCTGCAAAGATATATACAATATAAGTCTGTTATATGAAAGTATGAATTTATACAAGCTTTAGCCATTCCCCTCTAATCAGTTTTAAAGAACTTTCGTTCATAAAGAGTACAGTTGATTGAATACTGCCCAAGAAAAGCATTATAAAACATGAGCCAATTCATTTATCTTCCAAAACCGGGAACATCCGTAGGTACGAACCGTTCGCTCATAATCAAAAGAAGCAAAGTGTCTAGAGAATGTTACATTTTTCTGTTCATCTTTTCAATAAAAATAATTAAATGTTAAAAGAAATATTATTTTGAAAATTATTGCTGTGTAAACTAGACCCATTCACTCACAAACGAGGACATGTCCGACAAACTGATCAAAGAACTAAAGTTCAAAATGACTAGACTAATTCATTTACATGATCAAATGTCCAAAGTCCGAAGGACTTTAAGATTCTAAAGAAAAGTTTGTTAGTAAATTGGTCTTACTTAAACATCAATAACTTAGGGAAAAGCGTTAATCCTAATATTTCTTAAAACTTTGTTATCATTAGTTTGGAAAATACCTTTGCGGATCCATAGAACACACACACATTCCATTAAATTGTATCGCTCCCGAATGCACCTGTAACAAAAGATTAAGAACCAAGCTAAAGCATATAATAATAGAATTGTACAGGTAAACAGATGACGAATAAGACTTAAAGATATAGATTGAATGATGGTTTTTTTCTTAGTGTCCAGTGGCAAATATTTCATGCATGTTCAGGACGAGAACAATAAACACAATTGGTAGGCCCTGTGATAGATGCCGTCCTTGATGAAGGTCGGGAAATTTGGACTTTCACCGGGAAATGAGGGTATATAGGATAAGGACATAAAGTTTGCCTTGCAACAAGCCACCTACAGACCCCTCAAAGAGTTGATGCAAGGGTTCTTAACGTGCATCATATAGATCATATAGAAAAGTTAAACTGTTTATGAGCAGTACAATATGTATGAAATAGAACGACTATAATTCTCTAATTTTGGAGTCCATGTTCGCAGCAAGCAGACCGGTAACACAACTTATTTATAAATATCATGAAGATCTGGCAAGAATTGTACACGTGAAAGCACGAAACCTAT